CTGAATAATATATCTCACACACGGCAGAACCCAAACTAGGCAGAGCCTGTACTATGGGAACCAGACTGCTGATAAACATACTTTTATATTTTTAAATACATACATATTATAGATAAATTATAGCCAGACAGAGAACAAATGACCGTGCTTATCACATAGTATTTGTCTTGGATAGGAATCGAATCCACGACCTCCGCTTAGCAGTCAGGGTCACTAACCACTAGACCAACAGGCCCGTCAGAAAACCGGTGTTAAGTTCTTTCGTTTCTTTTCACCGAGTGATTGAAGTTACCGGACCACAAACCCTTTGCCTCCCTCTGATTCTGGGAGGATCTGAAAGGGCGGCAATGACCTCGTAACTCTTGAGGTGTTCCGGGACGGCAGTAGTCACTTACTTTTAGATGACCTGTCTATTCGTTCGCACCTCTATACCACGAACTAAAAATCCATTTAGATATAAACGTACTTAGGTTTAAGGAGCTACTGATATCTCACAACGATTTACCTTTACCGAGTCATGAAACTAAACAAGCTATATACCCAAGAATATGGTTCAAAATCAAATAAATAACAATTTTAACGCTGGACCCGCACCGTCTCAATAATCCGCCCACCTCTATCAAAGAATCGTCAAGAGAGAATTTATTTTTACCTTTACAAATATCACATAAGTAGAAACAAATACTGGGGCAGGATAATACTACGAGAGTGCGAGAACTGGTCTGACAACGCAGGATCTCACAGAAGGAACTTAGAATCAAAATTGTTTATTCTTTTATTTTTATATTATCGATACATAAAAATAACAAGTTATCATTGATACAATTTATAAATTAATTACATTGCGTATTTCAAGTTTTTATTTTTATTGAAGTGGCTTGACAAAATCTTGTTGACATTTAACAGAGTAGTAGAGCATCAACACCTATCTCAAGTTTAAGAAACATACATACTTAATTAAATTAAGATGTTTCTACACACACTGTTTTGGTGATGATCTTGAGTCTAACTAGTATCAACAGAGGCATCTACTTTTTCTAAGATATCCTTTATTGTAATTATATAATAAAGGATATCCAGTGATATATAAGATATAGTAGGCCATAACCTCTTTTCTAAAGAAAGGCCTATGTTCAGCAGTGGACTATTAAAGGCTGTTAATGTGATGTATAAATAAATCAACCTAAACGTAAAGATAGACAAACTTTCACCGCTACGAACCAATAGAGACCCAGCAATTTTCGTTCTGAAATTTCAAATTTTTGCCATCATTACATGTCAACAACAAGCTGCTCCATTCGAACATAATCTTAGTTCGCGTAAGCTTGAGTTTATTGCTTATTTTATTAGGCAATCGCGTCGCTTTCCCTCCGTCTTGTAACGAGGTACCGGGGGCACATTCGTTACATGTTCTGTACAATTAACGGGGCATTATTAGACTCCTTAATTGCTGTTGCAAGTTCACTTTCGTTGGTAGTTAAATAATTTACGTTTGTGTATAATAGTGTTATCATAGCACAAAGTTATGAATGTTGAGAATTATGCTTTGGTTTTACGTAAATTGTTAGTTCATATCACCTGTTTCTATTAAGAGGGTCGGATATGCAATTTTCTTGATTTTGTTTTTGTTTTACTATTGACCTAAAAAAGCAAAGTTTTCCAGCAGCTTTAACAAAAAGTCAAGTTTTTCTTCATAGCTTTCGAAATAGCCATGTTAAAAAAGTAAATTGCTGATTTGCAGATCCTACATTATTAATAGGGATTGGCGATATGTGTGTAAGAATGTTATGAATTTCAGATAGTAGCATCCATCTACAAAAGATTTTATTTAAATTCATATATTAAAATATCCACAGGAAGGTCTATTTTTAGTCTGTATTTTTGAAGAAGAGGTACTTTGTGTAAATTGGAGACAACGCAGCATACAAATTATTCTACTATTTGTTATTTTTTCATCTTTACCAATATCATTATTCGATCAGTTCTATATTTCTGACATACTTGGACTAAAGGCAAATTTATTGTGAGCTTACACAAACAAACTTCTCATCAAATTGAATTTTGCAATAAACCACGTTTAAGTAATTTGTATTATAAAAAAAAAAAATTGTAAACAGAGTGGCCTTTAGAACGAATACAGTAGAAAATTATCATTTTAGTAGAGCACTACTCTTCTCAGGTAGAGTATATCCGTGAATTCGATACAAAACCTTACATAACATAGTGTATACATAAACATGTAGCAAGTAAAACAGTAATAGTCGGTAGGGTTAAGTAGATAGATACGAGTATATCGTTTTAAGGGCCTTAGCCTCCCTTGTATTCGCTCCGCAAATCCTTCGTTAATCGCCTTTCACTCAATCTTTCCACATGGCCGAATATTACATAAACAACTCGCACACAATACCTACTATGTAAGTATAATGTGTTCCTTTTAGTTTCAAATAGATGGAACTGTTGCGATATTTTTAGGGAAACAGACGGCCTTGTGCGAGTTTTGTTGAGTTAAAAAAATTGCGTTCGAACAAAGAACCGTGTCTTGTCGTTTTTAACTCAGATTACACATCCTTAGTGCACTATCCACATCAATCCTTTATATTTAAGTACGAGTAAAGCCTATTCTAGAAGTGATTTCGCGTTATAATATTATGAACTTCAAATTTGTTAGATCAATCTTTGATCTAAAATAAGAATCCCTGAATGACTGACTTTAACTATTTTGGAAATAATTTTGACAAATTATAGCAAAAGTTAACTAGGTCCTGCTCAATTGAACTTTAATTTCATACATTAATATTGTGCCTACATGTATGTATGATGTATACTCGTATAATAAATAAAGATAGACCTCTGCAGAAATTAATAATAGAAAGAATATGTCACTGTAAATAATTAATTTATTAAAATGATTAGTAAATAAATTCTTGCCCTGCACTTTCTGTACCGGCAATGTAGACAAAAAAAACGTTTTTCTACAAAATATAGGCTTTTATTTTTATGCGTGCCTGCCTTATACTATATCACTGCCAATTTATTACGACTCAAGATTCAGATTTTGTTGGGTACTCCTTTTAAGGATAAGCATGAAATATTAGTGTTCATTTTTACAAATAAACGTATACAATATCCCCGGTGTAATGTTGGTACATTTGTCAGAGAGTAATTTGATGTGCGCGCGTTACTTCGCGTCCCACTACGGCCCGCCTTGGTGTCGCATCATTAATGATTAGTATGTAGTACATACATTTACTTGTATGTAAATATTCTGAAGTTTTACCATCCTTATTTAATTATAGACTTATCGAATAGATTTCGTATAAGCTAAGGTGGAAGTGTTGCGTTAATTCGACTTACGCGAAATATCGTACGGTCATCCCATCACTGGCGGTTCAACAGTCAATGTTGAGATGTTTTCTAACAAATAACACGTGAACTCTCATGTGGTGGTTATTATGTGGTGCAGGACTTTATTTAAGTCGTTTATGTACACAGTGTCTCTTTAGTAAAGCTACTAAGAGATAAATAAAAGTTATCAAAATTGCGGACATTGTAAATTTAGGTGTATTAAAATATTAAAATGTAATTACTTCAGAATTAAGAAAATTATCTTTTAAAATTGAGTGACTAAACTTTTAAATGTTTATTCATAAAGCAAACATTAATCAACCGTTAGCTAAAATTTCGTAGAACCTTAATACTGCCATTAATCTTTTACGTTAATAATAATTTAATGACTTAACCAACTCCATTAAATTACAAACTTGCTTACTCGTAAACGTCGCGCGATGTTTGGTTAACTAATTGCTAAAGTATCCTACCTTTCTTTTTTTAACAACAATCATTTTAATAAATCGAGATTTAAAATCACTCAGCATTCTATTTGAAAATATAAAAGGAACTACAATAAAAGTAAACTTTGGAAGAGAAAAAGAGTGGTTACAATAGGCATCGAAAATGATAAAAAATAAATGGTCGTCAAAATAAATACAGACCGTTGCGGCATAACTCAATAGCGAATGTTATGCGTGGACACGGCCGTCGGCTCGAGAGCAACGCCATAGAGCTCTCAGCTGTGAAATACTTTTAACAAACACGCGCCAACAATTAAGGCGTACTTAACAACCACGGGTCGTCGGCGCTCAATTATCGCGGCGCCGCGCCGGCGGCGAGACAGAGCGCGCCTAGTGGCCACACTCGGAAGGAAGCCAGTTTTCCGCAAGAGAACCCGTGCCCGGCGAACTTGAGCGTCTCGGCCGATGCATTTTTGGATGTGAGCCCAAATAACTTGTTGCAACTAGGGGGCTGCGACCTGTTGCGCGACGGCTCGTGCCGGGCCTACTCGCGCCCACCCATTTTTGCCTGTACTCAGCCTGCAAATACATAATGAATGCGAACGCTGAGCGTTTCGCTGGCGGTATTGTGCCGACCGTTTTGTTGTACCCTAGTTTGTGGGATTGCCGTTGTTATAGTCCGGGGAGCACTTTACGCGGCAGCTATTGCAGTTTTAATATTCAACAGGGTTTCGTAGCTGCATTTTTAAAGAGGTCTGTGAGATATATCTGCCTTGCGACCAAGAGAATAATTTGCACTTTATTGTGGTTTGAAATTGAGGGTGACGGGTGAATAAACTTGATACCAAGCTCTTTATTAGACCTATCTGTATCTCTGCACCTAAATAGTTAAAAGGAACACTGGTTGTGGATGTAAAGGTGTGAAACATGCTTTTAATCTACATAAGTCATTTATTTAATGTTTAAATGTTGATTTATATAATAATAAGATATAAATTTAAGAGAATTGAAGCGCTTACGATATTTAGTAAGTACTTAATACCTATCTTGAGCAAGTTATCACGATAATTTAAAAATTAGTACTATGTAACTTCTACATATTTTCTCAAGTTTAGACAAATATGTCCTCAATAAAGCCGTTTTTGTGTTACGGATTGAGTAGTTAGGAGAAATTTTCTATATCCCTATTTAATGTAGAACTTTATCGGCATGAGCACATGCTGCCGGGTATATTCTCAGGTTGCTATTGTATTGTTAAAGGGCGCATCCTCGAGTCTAGTGGTGAAGTTCGCGGACACAGAGAAGGAGCGGCAACTTCGACGAATGCAGCAGATGGCTGGCAACATGAGTATCCTCAATCCTTTCGTTTTCAATCAGTTTGGAGCATACAGTACTTACGCGCAGGTCATCACTGAACAGGTAAACATCTAAGCTTATATAGTTTTTAACGGAGCATTCAATTGAGTTATCTCTTTCAAATGAATTGGGATTTGAAGAAAACAGTTAGTTTTAAAAAAAAAAAATATGATTTAATGGTTAAATAATTGTCAATAATTCTTAAAAAGCTAACACTATGCATAATTCTTTAGAAATAATGTAATTCTTATGTCATTCTAAAGGTCCATATTCACTTAAAAGCTTTAGTTTTTTCAATCAAGATAATTCTTAGGTTAGGCTATATGGAAGTAAATCTAAATATATTTTAAAATGTTATTGAAAATAGTTAATTAAGCTACACTTAATAAAGAAGAAGCAAAAAAAAAGTGCCAAATTATGAAGAACGCAGCGCAATTTTGCTACAATTGGAGGTGCTCACTTGAACTAGTACTTATATGCAGATTTATTATTTTTTGTCTGTAAAAACCAAGGTCACCACCATTCAATGAATCAAAGTGGTATATTGTTAGCAGTTTATAAACGTGCCATATTCTAATACATCTTCAATTGTACTTAGAATTAGTATAGAATAAAATTAATGTTATCCATTATATTAAATAGTTTTCGAAACACACTACACAAAGTTTAAAATTATATAACTTCTTAAGCTTATACTGAAAGCGATATGCAAATCCAAAATATATTCAAAAATAATATTAAGAGTCGTAAACTAAAAGTTTTAATACATATACACTGGCTGATGAAAATTGATGAGTATGCGGCATGCAATATTGCAACCAAAAGGTTGCTCACTAAAAACTTTCTCTTGCCGTCTACTTCATAAATAAAACACTTTATTAGTGTATAAGTTGCTGATATTTTTACAGCATGAATTAAATTTTTAAAATCTGTAATAACGTTTAAGGTAACGAAATTCTAAGAAACGGTTTTCCAAATATTTTATTCGACTGCTGAAGGTAAAGTTTTTAAAGCATACCACCGTTTTATTATAAAACCAAGTTTTCACAACACGCCTATCTGTCTGTATGCGATAAACTTAGAACTTAAACTAGGAAAATAATTTTTACACAGTTTTCACCTATGAACGTAGTTCATGCTGAGGGTTTTGGTAAGAAACATTTAGGTTTTTATACAAACTAGCTGAAATAGAACAATGACTGCTGAAAATTTCATGCTGACTGAGAGATTTCCCGATGTGCGCCGCCGCCGCATAAACCAATAGACTTATTTGCTTTACCGCTGTGAAACCGCGGCTATTTGCTAGTTTAATCAATATTGTAGTGTGATAAAAGAAGAGCTAGCAACTGTAAACACGTCAATTTAATAGACTTACTACAATTAAATGTTACAGATATAGTGTGCAATTTTACGATAAAAATAATAATTATTATATATACATATTATAATAAAAATAATCAGAATAATTTCTTGGTTAGATTTTGTATATGATTAACATCTTATTGTTATTAGATTTTTATATAAAGTATGTCATTAAAGCCAACATGAAACTAGTATATAACTATTCTAAAATGTGCAAAAGTGAATTTAAAAAAAGGTGAAATCAAAATATTACAAATTCTTTTGCAAACGGCCTGAGCGAAGTGTGAGACCTGTATTTCAGGCATTCGCTTGAATATAATGTTAGTTACAGGACGTTCATATGGTGAAGTTCTAATAGATTGATAATGTAAATAACTTCAGACTGGTTTGTATACACAAATATATATTATTGTTTAATAGCCTAATTATAGTTAAAATTATATTATGTTAAAATTGCTAAGATATTTTCTGTGTCTGCGTAATTAAGCTTACCTAAATATTCTCCTAGTAGACACTTTGTATACGATACTGCATATATTTTAAATATTTGTTAATGTACATATGCGTTGTTTGGTACAATGTCGCAAAAAAAAAACGTAACGTAGCAAGCTACATTTCGTAGACGTGCTACGATGCTACAATACTACAATTATACAATAATAGTCCTGATTTACGTTACTTAATGTAAGCTTTATTAAAATATACAACACATAATTTTCTCTTAAACCCATCTTGTTTAATCGAGGTCAAGTCATATAAGTAAACCAAATTTTCTGACCTTATTTCCTTTTATTTTTTCAGCAGCAAGCAGCGCTTATGGTGGCTGCGACTGCGCAGGCAGGCTACATTAGTCCAATGACGGCGCTCGCGTCACATGCACTCAATGGGATGGCCAACTCCGTGGTACCACCCACCTCTGGTAAGAACTGGAGCTCAAGATATTTACGGTATCGATAAATCGAATGATTTACAAATATGAAAGCAACTTATTCTTACGATTATCGGCTCGTAATCGATTAGTGAAAAGTGAGTTATACTCGTATTTTTTTTTTAATAACACTTGTTAGTAATCTATATATACGAGTATAAAAATATTAAGTTGATTTGTGTACGCTTCAAAAACTCAAAAAGATTGAGCACAAACCATACACGATATACAACGCCTATATTTGACACGCTTCAAAGATGGTTTTTATCCATTTTTTGAAACTATAATGTGCCACAGTAAAGCGTGGCAAGGTACTATTTAGTAATAATTTTAACTCTTTTTAAAACATTTAATTCTTAATCTTTGAGAAATTAGTTATAAAATGTAAAAAGTCGACTAAAAAGCCAATCCCACAGTACATCGGGCAAGGCCCACTTGGATCTGATCTTATGAATAGGATCACATGAATTCAAAAATATTTTTAATAAATCTAAAGACTAAACTAAAAAATGATTGCGAACATAAAAGTAATATGTGATTGTTTTATAATTATATTATAAAAATAATTAAAATTGAACTTTAATTATATGAATAAGATATACAGGCATGCTCATCTGTCTAATCATCATCATCATGAACAGCATTTAACAGTCCACTGCCAGCAGTAGACTGTTTCCAGATATAGACCTCTCCTTAAAATAAGAGGTTTTGGCATACTACATGTCTAATAGTATCTCTTTAAATCTAAAACCCTTGTGTGTTTTTATATTTAATTAACAATCCTTCTTGCTATTTCAGACAACTTCTCAGGGCTGGCGATAGGCACCGGTGGGGCGCAGCCGCTGAATGGTGCACTGCCTTCTCTGCCCTCGCCCACGATGCCGGGCTTCAACATGGCCGCGCAGACCGCCAACGGACAGCCACCACCGCAAGATGCTGTCTACACCAACGGCATACACCAGACCTTCACTGGACGTATGTATCGCATATTCTCGTTAGCACTACTTTTGTGGTTACTGAAACTACTGGATCAGTGTTGCTTTGTACCCAAAGTAATCCAGTTATTCTTCTTCACGTGTTAAAATACAATATAATACAAATTACATTTAAAAAATGTATATAATACATGACTCGATTTGCAGCAGTGCCAGTAACCGCGCAAGGTCTGCCCAACGGCGAGGCAGCGCTGCAACACGCCGCGTATCCTGGCATGCAGCCATTCCCCGGAGTCGGTGAGTGACCCGCCCTTTGTCTCCACAAATCCACGACGCCCCATTCCCGAACTGTCCCATACCGCTTATACACACGCTTTTTACTTGACCAATAGTAGTAAAACAATATTGTCATTCTTGTATGATTATGAATATCTATTTTATTAAACGTATAAACAGTTCAAAATACCTTCAAAATGAATGCTATGGTATTTGAACTATTGTAGTCGTTTAAAAACCCAGCATTTCTGAAAGTATTATTACTAAAAGCATTTTTATTTACAATTATGACGTGTTTACTACTGGTCAAGAATAGTATTTACATGTCAGCATTTGTTGCTAAAGGAACCCACGATTTTAATGTTCCTCCGCTATCCTATTAACGCCCTAGACCCGAAATCTAACCGTAACAATATATGTATATTTTTATTAAAAATCCTTTGGCAACATCTCGCAGCTGTTTTCACAAGTGTCTATGTACGATGTATAGAATGAGTATTGAGTAAATATAATTCTGTGTACTTTTAATGGATGATACATATTGTTATATCAATGTACAGGATGAATGAACTTGTATGACAATTGTTTGATCTACTGTACGATTATTGCAAGTGGGGCCAAATGCCATTGGGCCTTCAAATTTTGAACGAAAAATATGCGATATAGATCAATCAATTGTCTATAAACAATATCGTTGTATGTGAGTACCACGCGTAGTTCAATACACGCTAAGTGTTATCTGGTACTCATAGTAGTTTGTGTTCAATGTTTTTTGTTTAACATATTTATTTGTTAGTTACAGCAAAATAAACATGAACTTTCTAAAAAATGTTAAACTGGTGATGGCAAAAGATATTTTTTTTTGGATTACAGCTTCATAATTGCCGATGTAACGTTGTTACATGCATGTATATGTACGCAACTATAGGTGTTCATTGTGAAAATGTGCATATTAATGTTCAACAGCTTACCCAGCGGTATATGGACAGTTTCCGCAGCCCATCCCACCGCCGATGTCGACCATTGCTCCTGGGCAACGAGAAGGTAAGTGGAGCCCCGAGGAAGATTGAAACCACTTTATAAATTCTCAACTAACCCAGCCCCTAACGACTTTATTGCCAAACATCAATCACTCTTTTCATTTACATGCAACGAAAGACAATGGAAAATAATTCAATTTCAATGTTTTTTTTAATTCAAACAGCTTTTTATTTTGCACATTTCCTATTGTCTTTTAGTTCTACAGAATGAACGTGAATCAACATAGTGTAGTATAGTATCTCTAGTCTATGTTTCTGTACAGTGACAAACGATTTCATTGACTTCTCTCACTCCTGTATTACATTTTCTACTTTATTTCTTATACCTTAGTACTATTGCTATTTGAATAATACCGATCTGTACTTATATCGAACGTTTTGTGAGTTCTAAGAAGACCATGGTATTATTTAAATGGTTGTATTGCTCAAGTCTGTCGCTGTACTCTAATAAATACATTGATCTGCATCTGTAATCTATGTTTTGTTGTATGATCTATGTGTATGTTTGTCTATGTCAGTGTAACATACCATCACCTACTCTCACACTAATGTAATGCTTGTTTGCCTACTGTCGTCATCGTCATCAGTGTTCAGAACCTAATCATTGACCCTCATATTTATCATCATCATCGCCTTATATAATGCTCAAACACTTATCTTTTATTTTTCTTTTGATCCTGCTGAAGACAAAGCTTCATTTCTATAAGCCAACTGATTATCTACTTTAGCGTAGCTTGATATCAAATTATCATACGAGTAACCTTTCTTACTTTTCTGATACTGCATCTACTTTTTTCCAACGCCTTTGTCACTGGTTTTCTCTAGCAATTTACATTCATTGTTTTGAAATACAATTGTTTTTAAAATCTGTATAAAATATGGACATGGCTAGTTGAGAGATGTCAAAAAACAAAGAGCCAAGCTTAGGTACAAATGGGGTGACCGGAGTGATAGACCACATGACCTGACAGAAAACCGGTGATAAGCAATTCTTTTGTTACTCTTTAATATAGGAATATATCCTGTGTCTCGGGGGACCTTACAAACAAACATGCAATGGACAAAAAGAAACACCCAGACTCAGAACAACAATTTGTGGATCACACAAAGTGTCGTTCCATGTGGGGATCGGACCTACAACAATCAGCGTAGTAGTAAGCGGTGGCAACCGCTTAGACCATGACGTCATTCGTGCAGACAATGAAAATACAAATTTTTTCACCAAGCGGCAGTAGTCACCACCAGCTGACTCGTTGTAAGACTGTTTTAATTTTTTTGGCTCGTAGTTACCGCGCGTCCTTACCGCGCGTTACATGCTCTGAGCGGGTGGTCTTCGTCCCGACACGGGGTCCATAGACCCGCCGTTTTTTTTTTTTGGAATATTGTCAGAGCAATGATAGACGTTTAAAAAGCCTCCAGTCCTATATAAACTTTCATAAAATAATCAGTAAATATTTCCTTAAATAGGTGATTAGGGACAACTTTACTAAAAACTTTCACAATATTGTTAAAGGACAGATTTGTGAGTTCTTTAAAGATTTCATTATGTTCCCAGGCTGCTCGATCTCTGGCCCCGAGGGCTGCAACCTGTTCATCTACCACTTGCCTCAAGAGTTCGGAGACGCGGAGCTGATGCAAATGTTCCTGCCGTTCGGCAACGTTATAAGTAGCAAAGTTTTCATCGATCGTGCTACTAATCAAAGCAAATGTTTCGGTTAGTTGTTACTTTAAGTTTTACTACTTTTTTCGAACCTTGTTATGAAAGCCATACTTTGACACATGTGGGAGTCATACCACAAGCTCATAATAAACCGGTGTTGCAATTCTCTCCTTGCTTTTCACCGAGTGTGTGAAATTACTGGGGCCCAACTCCTACTCTCTGCTCTCATCACTTTTTTTTCTGTGCGTAAATCCCCTCAGATACCCAACACATATCGAACTTACGACCGGAGCACGATTCGCCTTTAATTCTAATTCAATTACTTTTCAGGTTTCGTATCGTTCGACAACCCAACGTCGGCACAAGCCGCGATCCAAGCGATGAACGGCTTTCAGATCGGCATGAAGCGGCTTAAGGTTCAGCTGAAGCGACCCAAGGACGCCAATCGGCCTTACTAGCCCTAGACGCCGTCCCGCGTTCATCGCGTGCCATTTGTGAGCGTACTTTTTTAAAAGCTATAATATATGTTCCTAAATACCTTACCTAAACATTATTCAAGATTTAACAAATCACCAATTAGATATTAATTTAAGCAATCAAGAAATTCACAAAAGTAAAAAAAACGGTATGAACTCGCATAGTAGAAAATATATTCTACATTACATTATATATTACAACACATTACAACACAAAGCTGTTAGCTTACAACAATTATATGTTTGTATTGTATGCAGAATCTAAATTATAAGTTTTAACTAAAGTAATATAAAGACGTTGATCAGAATACATACTTATGTAGTAGCTTAGTTAATTACAAGTGAAGATAATAAAAATAACAATATTGCATGACACAAATGTGAAGTGTCACCTGGTATATACATATTGTGAACGAGTATTTATGTTTGTTGCAGATGGGCGCCGGATTGGTCCGCCTGCCTGCCGCACGCGTGTTCGCGTATTATCAACAATTCCAAGGAATTTAACACATTTATTGTATAGCAAATATCATTACCTACATACTTACCTAAAGAATTATGCAAGCCCACTCGGCGAGTATACTAAATTAGTTAAAAGTAATTTATTAAATCAGCGCGTAGGAATGCTTCATTCTTATCATTATCGATTAATCATTAAATTACTCTATTATATTATTATATATACAATTTATTAACTTTGATTAAATTATTATTATTATTATAAAAATGACACGTTATAAAAATTTTGTCATTCGTAATCATACTTCTACTTCTAAGTACTTAACGTTTAACTGAAACTTTTAACATAAATTTATTATACTAGTTATTTGCTTGAACTAAGCCAAAGTGAATTTATTAAGTAAGTTGAAAATGTAAGAAAAAAAATGTATTTTAATTATTGTATATTGCAAAAAAAATTGTAGCGTCGCGGGCGGTGCTCACGTGTGCTGTCGCCATATTGTTGTTAGAAGCACACGCGCATCCTTCGAATGGGGCCAGAGTCACTGGACTCGCAGTTGTCGCCCGACCACCGCGCGTAGCACACGTGTCACGTCGGCCCCGACGGTCGCGGACACTGTTGTCTCCCACCGCCGAACTGATCACACTAATGTATATAAGTGCTCTAAAGATCTCTATCGGAGTATTTATAATGTCCTATATTTTGTTAAATTTTATTGTGTGTGTCTGATAAGCTGATATTGCTGGGTCGTACCACACGACATTCTTGTAGGACGTTATTGGAGACAAGCCACACCATCAACACTTATATTGAATTATCATAGAGGAACATTGCAGAAAGTCTACTCAAAATATTCACCAAACCTTCACGTTGTTAAAAACGTTCAAATCTGTCCATTGGTACGGCCAGCATCCCCAGAAACCATGTTTAGAGAATGATGTTGTTGACAAAAATTAAATGTCTGTATTTAACGCTGTGTACAAATGAAAGTGCACTTCAACATAAGACCGAATGTTTAGGCCTTCGTTTCAAAAGATCGTGTTATTATGTGTTGTAAATTCCAATGTGGGCTGTGATATAAAAAAAAATATAATATCAACATAATGGACTGTACAGGCCGTTCGTATCTGTATTGCATGTGTGTCTATCGCTCTAAGGCGCGCGTGCGTCGCTCGCCCGACTCCGCTCCGGGGCTTACTTATAACTAGGCAAATTGTAACAAAATTGTTGACTAGCTAATATGTTATTAAATTTCTTAACATTAGCCTGGAGGCTTGCCTTCACAATTTTCAAGCTACCGCGATAGTTGTTTTAACTATTCGTAAGTTTGATGCACGAAGCTTTTGAAGTGGTGGAACGTTGTAGTAACGGAATGAGAATCGATAGAGTGGGGGCACTTTCGGAAATTTTCTCTAAAAAAAATATAATTTATTTTTGTACACACCCTCAAGGAAATTTCAGAAAATACCCCTTAACCGATGCTATTACATCGTGTTTCCACCTTTTCAAATCTTTGAGTATAGTTTCAATTACTAAAATGATGATAAATGGCTTTAAGAAGTTCAGTAGGTAGTTAAATTGGACAATACCCGGTGCGCGGGCGCGCGGCGAACGAGCGGCGAACACTCGCGAGGTCGCGACGTCAATTCACTAGAGTGTGCTTCCCAAATTTGTTTCAAGCATTCGTGTGTGTGTCTATAATACATTATACATATATGAACTATTCGTATTAAGGTGTTAAATACAATAACTGTGACTTAATGCGTCCGGGGAGTCAACAGTGAGAAGAGCGCGATATAACAGAAAAACAAAACTAGTGTAATTTCTATACAGACAAAAATAGATTCATAATCAAAAGTACCAATATAAATATAAAATGATACTGAGATACCTTAGATATATTGTGTGCGCGTGGGCGGGCTCCGTGCTGCGCTCGTGACGCCCGAGAGCCTCGCTCGGGGGCGCTCCGGCACTTTCCATACGCTCGGGAGTTCTCGATTTGCTCGGGGGGCCGCCACACACTCGTGAGTGCGCTCGGGCACGGCACACGGCGCTCGGCTGCGCCTGCGACGCGACGCGGTGCGCGGTTGCTTCGGCCGCCGTCTGCCACGCCGCCCGCCTCTAGTCAAATATTACACTCACCACAAGACATAGAATTTTATATTTACACAAATAATTATATTATATTGATATAGTATTCTAGGTTAGGCGTTTATGATTTACGAGTAAGCCGTATGTTTAAACGATATATGACAACAAAAAAAACTATCGTTTTAGGTGTCTCTAGTTCTCTTTTCTGACTCACGATTGTGCAATACGTTGTTACGCTTCTTAAAATTGTTTTTATTTATGATGCAATATTTGTTTTATCAATGTTTCATTATGTTACCGTTTTAGATAATTCGTCGACGTGGTCTCGTTTCGTAAGTCGATAAGTCGCAAGTGTTGAGTGGAGAGCAGCGCTGACGGCGGCGGCGCCCGCGCCGTACCTACTTAGGTTACAGATAAATCGATGCCAAACCGGAACACGTATACTTAGTATATCGATTATCGATAATATCACCTCGTGGGTAATGTAGGCGTAATGCGCCCGGGCCTCCCCGCCCGGGACGATTAATAATATTGTGTACTTATATCTTTATACTGATTAAAATTAAATTCCCTAAAGATATATTGCGGTGACGCGAACGTTTGTAATAGATTAATGAGTCCTCTCTGAATGTATAAAACAATCGCCCATAAAAGTGATTCTAGGATACAGGGTATGCTTTGCAATTATTTAAATGTATCTAAATGTTTTTCATGAAGGCAGATATTGCCGCACTCTCTGACTTAGACTACGAATTGTCGCACATCTGCCTGCCCGGCGGCTGCGCCGCATCACTCTCGGGTCCATTGACTAGTCTGTCGCCACTTTTTATACTGTCTCATAACTATCGTAGAATAACAGGCCTCATCCTCATCTCACTGTTCTATACATGGCGAGTCACGGCTCGAACAGAACAACTGCGCTTCACTTCAATTGTTTCAACAGTGCCCCGATCATCCCTCACTTAGTGCCACTTGCGTTACTGAAGTATCCTCATTCACTTGTCGTCTCAGACTTAGTGCGCGCGTACCTTTACAAGCGTTCGACACTATTTCACTGTATGTCGTCACCATTAAACCGATGCGTAGCGTCCTCTGTAATTCCTAAAAAGGCGTAGCATTGTAAACGTCACGTTGGTTTAGCGTTTGCTACGAGGCACGCGCGTAGATCGCAACAACTTTAGTATTACGAAATCGAATTTCTTAAAAAAATACTATTTAAATCCTGAAATTTTATATAATATTTATATCGTTCGCATACTCAATCTCGTCGTAGCGCTCGCGTAGATATGGAAATTATCGATGAACTCAGGGACGTTTGATTCGATTGTAAATGGTATGCGAATCGAAGGCGGGTCGTTATTTAGGCGAAATAGTTAGATCGTCGGATGGTGCGAAGTGTACGCGGTATACAGTATGTTGACTCAACACCGTTCGATGCTAGTTAGTACATAAGATGAATGCCAATATTTTAATCGGAAAAAAAACAAAATTAGTATTGGAATAATTAATCATATTATATCTATTTATATAATAAAAATATGGAGAGAGGCGCATAGTGCTTTTATGAAGTAGGTCCTAGTATTGAACAAAACGATCTAGTCATATCTTCTTTCTGTTATTTGTATTTCCTATCGCTTAGCATAGTTTAGCTTCAAGCACACGTTCTTATACTTGATTACGCGATACTTGTCTAATAACTCTGTACTTAGAGGGTATTTGTTACCGTTTGCGTTTCCATACTGTAATAGAATCGGTGTTTACTATAGAGCGAATATACTGTGCGGGATATCTTCTGTACTTCCTAACTTACTTCATTAGATATTCATATTTTAACATAAAATCTTCTGTGTTGTATGAGATGAAATAATATACTGTAATAATTTTATTTAATGATAAGTTATCCAGAATACTGTAATTGCAGAATGTATCTTTAGATTAGTTAAGATTTACTGAAATAATTTTATCAGTGTAGGGAGGTAGGGTGAGTTATGAATGGTATAACCGTTTGGTTAAGTTAGTTAAAGTTACCTTAAGGCAAGTTATTAACTATGATTTAGGTAAAGACAGTATGACTCTCGTAGTTCCGGTCACCATACATGTTCCTGTAGGAATGCTGTCAGCATACTCAGTCAGTCCCTTCGAGAGTATCCTCGGTACGACTACCGACGCCGGCGTACGAGTTCTGCTGGCAGTAGACTGTAGGAGCTTTTAGAGAGATGTTGATTGCACACTGCCCCGTAGTGTAAAGTCAGCATAAAACAAATATGCGCCGTCCGTAAAGATCTTCGACTATCTAATATATCTATATGTAACTCATTTTTGTTCGTATTTTCGCTTCAACATACATTTGAGTGTATAATATTGTAAAGTTATCGACACTGGACAGACGTCACAGGTTTTGTAAAGTCCTAAGTCCTACTTCGAGCTACACAAATGTGTGTAAAACTAATTTTAAGGTTTTATGTCAATGGAGAATCACAAGTTTATATTAATATTTAAGTCAGTTACACCATAACTATATGTAACCTGAGGTTAAATTGGGATTAATCGTAGTTTAGAAATTGATTCTGTATTAAATGACATGTATTGTAGATATGCGCTTTTGAACCTAAACTTTAGAGACCAGATGGGTAAGCTCGACGTGGGACACAATACATATTAGTTCCACAATAATTCTATTGTACATACATATGACGTCATATCTTTAGGAGCTTACTAGCCTTTTGCCCCGGGACCGCCCGGGCGGGTGACAGGGTGTCGCTGTGTTAATGCTAAGTGAAAATCATAATCACTTACCATTTTAAGGTATGGTACCAAACTTTCCTTTTTAAATAAAATTGTAAGGAATTGAGCAGCTGAAACTATAAGGTCATTTGAGACGCACATTCAGAAAAATTACCTATATGTATTAATGTATAATAATTCTGAAAGTAACAATTGATTAATATTAAAATCAATCAAACTTATAGCACAATTTTTTGCACAAATTCCTGTAGAGAGCGTTTCAGTCGCCAAATAAAATGCAAATTTGTAAAAAAAATATGAACCAAATACTCGTAAACTATATCCCACGCATTGTTCTGGATAACTTATATTGGAAATAGTTTAAGAGTAAACCGTGGCCGATGCGTGTTCAAGATTGTTCGAAGCCTACAACTTTATATTTCCACACTAAACCGAGATTAACAGTTTGTTAGATTGACGTTTAACAACCGATGCCATCCACCCGAGGCGTCTCTGTTAGAATAAATTTGATGTAAATAACTAAATGTTAATAGAATGTCAACTACGATCTTGATGACAGATAATGTAAATACTACAATTTGTACCTGGATTTCAACTATTCAATTCTAAATCGTGATACAATTGTTATTACCTAGTACAATTATAGGTTCTAGAACAATCCTGGGCTTCGACGTCAGTGTTTACATAATGTATAACTTAGCCAAGGGACACCTCACGTGGTGCCTGTGATATACGCTTGTAATAATCGTCCATTCAACCTACACTTATTCTTATAATTACACTCGAGCCATTAAGTTGCTAACTCTCACACTAGGTCTCATACGCACTAGCTACCTTTCCCGTGTACAGTAACCCTTAAAATATTGATTATTACCTGAGGGCACATAACAGGGCTAATTATCCCAGCCTCCCAATAAACAGACAGCAGTCACCGTAACCGAAATGGGCAAGGGAGATATATATAACATAACCTCAAAATTATATTAATCTGTTCCAATGGCATTAACTTTACTTATGACTTTTTTGAAATAGTTTAGTAGTTAGTAAATTAGTAGTCTACGTGAACAAATATTGTATAAAACATTATATTTAAGGTACTATAAGCTTTTTAAAATCCGTTACAATACATCACTCGAGTAAACAAATGTTCCACAACCATTTATCAAATGTGCCTCGTTATGTTTCGTGACAAACTTCTTATGGTGATTATGACTAAATTATTTGTAATGTTATAATTGAACCAATGAATAGAGATATATGAAGAGCCTATTTAATCAATTAATAACCTTATGCTTTCGCTCTTACTGTATGTATTACAATGGCTACTGCGAATAAGAAGTTTATTGAAAATTTAAATTCAAAGACACGTAGCTAGTGTATATGAGCCCTTACCGTAATTGCGCTACCAAATTGTACAATATTGATGCCATAATATGTTAATTGCCATGTTAGTTTTATATTCTTGTATGATTTTTATTTATTAAATTAGATTTAGGTAGAATATCTGTCGATGCCCATAGATAATCATAATGTAAATACGTTTAACTGTTTTATTAATGTAATTTTAAAAAAGTATAAAATATTTTATCACTTTGCTAGAAAGAGATGCATAATTCCATCTCTGTCTCACAAAGCTTTTTCGTTTTTATTGGTTAACGCGTCTCTGATCTCACAAAGTTCAATTGTAAATGAATACTTATTACTGTTTTTTATTTTTAAGTTGAAGTTTTTATCTAGAGACATCGACAGATTATTGAGTTGTCTATCGATAAAACTCAATACCGTTAAAGTAACGATAGATAAATAAAAAATATACATAGTTTTTTTTTCTGAGCCCTAACCACCCGGCCCTGACTTGTTGTATTAAAACCAGTTAGTTACAAGTAATAAGTTAGATAAATTTATTGTTTAAATTATCGTTACGGTTACTGAGATATAAATACAGTTAAAGGCATGCGAATAACATATTTCAATTAACGACTGGATAGCATCAATTGCTATGTAATTTTTGTATGTGAACCATTGCAATTGTTATTTCATGTCTAAAGCCCGTCACACACGGTAAATAAACCTATATCTACTAGGTTCGTAATTTACTGCTCTTAATGATACTAATATACCTCATCATCTTCCTACCTTTGTCACTATTTTATTTGGGGTCATCGCTTGATGTTACTTTCGTTCATGCTACTCTGTTATCTGCCACTTTTCCCATTTCTACTGTTGTATCTGGCATTTCCATACACACATTCATCACATTCTGTTCATTCTTTCCAAGCACATACGACGATAGTTTTTTTCAGACTCGTTATAATATATCATGTCTCGCCTGGTCTATCCTAGTCACATCAGATAACCATCTGAACATTCGCATTTAAGCCACACGCAGTTATCTCTAAACCTTATTTTTTGTTGGCCAATATTCAGATTCGTACAAGACGATGAGTCTAATAGTACTCATATAGGCCTGTCCTTTTAGTGAATATGATACTTGTCATCACAAACAGTTCCTATTTTTAACCTGCCGTTACTTTATCTACTCTGTTTTAATGTGATAGTATTTTATTACTGCTCTATTTTGATATCCCTTAATAGGACTGAGCCGAAATGTTAGTATCACATTCTCCTGTCTAAAGTGTAAAAACTGTGCGAGAGAAGATTGTTAAGAGTATGCATGTGTAAAGATATAATATTGTAGCTAGCAAATATTTGTAGAGACATTGTTGACACGTGTGCGGCGGGTTTTGTAATCGTGTGAATATGAAATGTATCGTCAATATCAACATTAAGTTCCGATGAAACTGTGAAGAGCTCAGTGCAAATAGCTAGCTATTGAAATGTTTATTCTCATATATTGTTATAGTTCGCCAAAGAGTTGTATAAAATGATAAAAGAGTGTTTTATCACTTTTTTGGGAGTCGCTAGTTAATGATTCAATTTTGAGTTTTCAATTTTTATTTATATTATATTATTAACTATTATTAGTGTATAGAGTAACTAACAGTTTTAGCAAATTGTGGGATATGTTAATAGATACATGTTATTATGGAACTAATAACAATAATAATTCGCCTACTTTGAATGTCATCATTTAGTTAATGAACTTTAAAACCTACTATCAAGTTATTAATATGTATATTGCTGAAATTTTCATAACTAAATTACTATTCAATTATTTATTATTATACACTTATTACGTTTAGTATGCTAGAGATATGATGAAGGATAATAAATAATTTTAATTATATTATGGTATGTGTTTTATTTCATATTTACGTTAGGATCTCATCATACATACAACAATTTCAAAACTTTAAATCTTATCTCCCAACAAAATAACGTTGTGACATGGTATCTTTTAACTCACTCAAAAGTAACACAGTTGGATATTAAGTCGAAAAAACTAAATGTCTTAAACTGTATTATTATTATTTAAAAAAAACTACACTCACTCAAACAACGAAAAAATTGCTTAACAGTGGTTTTTCAGTCACAAATCTTTCTTTTTAGAGTTCCGTACCTCAAAAGGTAAAAAAGGAACCCTTATAAGATCACTTTCTTGTCTGTCCGTCTGTCACCACCGATTTTCTCAGGAACGGGCAGAACAAGCAAGTTGAAATTTATAAGAGATACCGAGGTCTATGGCCCCTATTAGGTGTATAAAAATCAAGGTCCTGAGTCAACACGATAAAAAGATATAGCCAAATTTCGATTTTTGCGAAAACTTGTAAGTACCAAAATATACCTTAATTTTCAACTCTTTTTTTTAAACTACCGCACTAGGAATAAATCCTGTGTTGTAAGGCGAAAAAATAAATTAGCTTAAATAGTATTATTATCTTAACTAAAAAAAAAAGCTGCACCTCGTGTTCTCTCTATGCTTATATCTCTATGGTTGTGTAGGTACGTACGGGTATTGTATCCCTACAACCGAAAAGGTGGATCCTTCCACCAGGCGATTTAATCGTACCTGGCGGACCTTGGCCTATAGGCTAGATTTAAAAAAAAGAACTCCCGCACTAGGAATATATCCTGTGTCGCGGATACAAACACCCAGACTCACAACGACAATTTGTGGATCACACAAGTGTCGTCCCATGTGGGGATCGAACCCACTACCTCTAGTTTAGCAGTCAGGACCACTAATCTATAAACTAATAACCGTGACTCTGTTTGTAATATATTGTTGTTCAAACTATCAAACAGTAACAGCTGTAATCCATCCGATGAAGTCAAATAAAAAGCAGTGATATTGTAAAACTTGTAATAGCTCCACAGAACAAATTGATATGATCAATTATAAGCATATATGAACATTATATAACATGTATACATAAACGTAACCGCAGTACATAAATTAAATAGATGCCGACCGACTTTTGGGCACACTAATTGCGCAAGCGCATCTCTCGTTCTTCGAGATCAAATACAACAATTCATTAATATTTAAGAATTAATAGGACACCTTTTTTCAAAGATGTGGGTGAATCTAGAAAACTAATCTACAGCATTCCATACAATTTACAGGGTTACTGGGTAAGTCGACCTGAATACTTTAAGGAGTTGTAGTTACCATCGTTACTGATGGATTTCACTATGAACTACCATATCACAAATATAAACATTTTCAAGATATTGGACTTTTAAGACTAAAAAATAATTAATTATCAACTACACAAAAACAGTAAAAAAAGAAGCATTAAATAAAGAATATAAGTTCTAAAAAAATTGTATTAGACAAAATTTCGGCAGTTTTTACAAAAAAAAACATAAACTTCCAATATCTTGAAAATGGTTATTTTTGTGATATGGTATTTCATAGTGAAATCTATCAGAAATGATGGCAACTACTACCCCTTAAAGTATCTAGGTCGACTTACCCAGTAACAGGGTTACTGGGTAAGTCGACCTAGATACTTTACATACTTATACAATTTTTTTTGTAATGTAAGTACAACAAATAAAATAATTAATTTAGTGTTAAGTATCACCAACTACAATGCGCCACATATTGATAAATTGTAATAAACTACATTATACAATCCTTTATTTGCAACCTCAAAGGTAGAATATTTCCCACAAATTTTAATAGAACCAAACAGGTAAAATACATCTTGAAAAAAAATCGCCTAATCGGTTCACGGAGTTTTGAAGAACAAACATAAAAAAATACAGCTAAATGGCAACCTCCTCCCTTTTTGAAGTCGGTTAAAAAAGTAACAAAATAATATTACATCTAAACCATGTGATTTATTATTCAATTAAGGATTAATCATCACAACAACAAAACAAGCATCAAGTAGATTTCTTACTAAAATAGTCTGTAATTTTCTTAGTCGTTTTCTTCTTCATTTCACTTGTGGGCCGATCCCTTTGTCCACATTCCATTGACAAGTTGGAATCATTTATGGAAACATTCTTACTCTGATTTCCCAGCAATGGACTTGAAACAGTTGAATTTGGTTCTTCATCCATCTTTTGCATAGTGTCAAACAAAGATTGTCGTGTATTTAAAGTTTGTTCGTCATCTTTTTTACTGTTTTGTTTATCTGCAGTAACACCAGCAGATGGCATTGTACCTTCCTCCATTCTCTGAATAGTATCAAGCAAAGATTGCATATTATCTGAATTATTTTCTTCACTTTGATCATTGTCTTGTCTGCTTGTATGCTTGTTTGTAGCAAGCAATTTATTCGAAACCAACGAATTAGAACTATCTTCAATTTTACGTTTAGTGTCGAATGTAGGCTGCCGAGTTCTACAAATGCTTACTTCAGCTTTGTTATTAACTTGTGTGTTCGATTGTTTCTCTGTAATACTGTCCGTCTGTCTGTTCACCTCCTCCATTTTTATTGCTGTGTCTAATAAACATTGATCCATTTCATCTTGTGAGAAGAGATCGGGTGAATCCTTAAGACCACTTTCAAGTTCCAAAACTGTTTCTGGTATTGTTTCTGTAACACTCTGAAATAAATAAAACAAGTCATAACAGTTAACTTATGCTTTACATCTTAATAAATAAAATAAAGACGGGTTAATTAAAAAAATGATAACTCAAGAACGACTGGACTGATTTTTGCGTTTACCTTTTTTTCAATTTTTGTGTCTGCCCGAATAGCAGAAACACTTTTAAAATATTTAGGAGATTCACAAAAAAATAATAAAGGGAATTCGTCTTTTTATTGTGTATGATGACACACTAAAACTCAGATGTAACTGTGGAGAACAACTAGGTTATATTAAAACTGTTCTTTGAAAATACTAAGGCAAAGAAAACGGCAATATTTCAGTATTTCTGCCTTCTGACTCGGTAAGGACTGTTCTGACTGGTAAGAAGTTCCAAAGATTCCTAACCAAAGTTCCACAAACAGATTTATACTTAAGAAAGTTGAGAAACTATAAACTACCAAGCAAATTTACCGTCTCTAGATCAATTTAAAATGGCAGTCAGGTAGAAAACCTCTTACACATAGGTAGGATCCTACGACAAAGTGAGTTGATAATGCCGGGCAGCCCAACTGTTAATGTTCGGAAGTATATATACATACATGGTAATCTACGTGATTTACGTGACGCTAATCGGCGTAAGAACTTTTCATATAGAGATGCAGGATTAACAGTTGCTCCGTAGTTCGGTGAGTCGGCGTTAGATGTCACTGAAGTAAGTTTTTGATTATGGAAGTCGCTACAGAATCAATCAATTAGAGTGGAAACTTAACCCGTCACACACTCAATTGAAACAAACTATAGGTATACTCACTGTCTCCATTTTATCATCTTCATGACTAGGTGAGGGAGGCTTGACTCCTTTCAGAACTTGTTCTAAGTACGCGTGCAATTTACCCTTGACTACGTTCTGCCGATTCTCGGAGAAATTTATTATGTGCTTGTACAGCTGACCTGTAAAAGAAATATAAATTAATAGAACATAAGGAAGACCTTGATCTTACTCTATAGGAGTTTCACTTTTTTTATGGTACTACCGCCGCTCATTAACCTATGCGACTAAGAGTCGACTCCTTTGGGCGTGATTTTGACTGACTTTAAAACGGTCAGAATTCGTTCAAACTTTGTAGATATAACGAGAACCGATGACAATACGGTAATTTAAAAAAAAAATGGTTTAAAAAAACTAAAAAACACGCTTTTTCACACACACCAAACTAAAAATAGAAAAGCGGGGGGTGCTGTTTTACTGTTGACAACAGACACACAACGCTTTTTTTCAAATTTATTAAAATTTATTTTCTATTTTTTTAGTTTGTTTTTTTATAAAAAGCGTGTGTTTTAGTTTTCTTAAACTATTTTTTTAAGAGATAGTTTTTCAAAAGCATAGCTGTTAATGGAGAGATGAATAAACTTTGATTATGGGTATCATTAATAGAGATGAAACGGGTATCTGGTCACTATCCGGTTTTCGGTCGGTAGTTATATTTAAGAGGAATCTTAAAAGTTTTTTTTTTATTTATTATAATAAGCTACTGTTGTGTGTACCTGTAAAACCTGTAATAGTTTTTAAATGACTTAAATAAGACAAATGTACGAAGACTCGATCATCCAGTAAAACCATCAACCAGCTTTTGGGGTTTTGGGGGACAATTAATGTAATGTCATGTTAAAAAAATAAAGTTGAAGTTAAATAAATAAAAAAAATTAAATTTATAGAAAGCGACTTACCTACAGTAACATTGTGCCTCGCGAGTAGATTGTACATATTGATGATATCGTCCCTCAAGGTGTCATCGCTGAAGGTGTAGTAGGCCATAGGTCTGCCAGCCTCGGCGCAGGCCATGAGCTGCAGCAAGCTCTTGAGGTGCGGAGTGCCCCCGAAGGCCCCGCAGCCCCAGTTGCCCGTGGCCACGCCGGGGTATTGCAGCGAGCTGGACTGGGGGTCCGTGTCGAACGAGAAACCTATCCATGCCTAAGAAACACAAAGTAAATTTTCGTTATAAAATTATTCTATTAAATTATAATTGTAAAGGAGTATATAGACTGTCAATGTACAACAGTATTTTTAAATTAAAAAAATATATTTTAAAAATATGGAAATAGTTTGTGATATTTACGCACGGACTCCCTTCGAAGAGAATATGCTGTACTGGCATTTTATAAGTAGTCATCAGCCACATTGTACTCCCTCTTTTAAATAATTGTCCAAAAAATAAATCAAATGTTTTCAGGGTTCATGTGTGTTTGTAAGTCAGATCCTTTATGAAACCATAAACAGGGAATTTTTGTCATAATTTACAACAACGCAAAGTTCTATTGCTACAGTACAGTCACAACCAAAAATATCTTGTTCACCATAAATATGTTCCAGTACTGATATTGTGATGAGGTAATCAATTGTGTGTACTTGATTATTGCATAAAATATTATTTTTCTTTAATAAGTACTTATAATAATAAAAATAACTTTACACATCTCACACACGCCAGTCTTATTCTAGGCAGAGCCTGTACTATGGTAACCTGTACTCTGGCTACCATAGTAGAGGCTGATAAACATATTTAAATATTTCTAAATAAATACGTATATATTTTACAAAGGATAGTTATCATCACACAGTTATTTATCCTGAGTAGGAATCGATTCCACGACCACCAACTTAGCAGTCACGGTCACTACCTACTTGATCAACAGGCCGTGACTTGGCCGTGCGTAATTTGACGAAAATAAGTATGGTATTTCTTAATACATGGATAAATCACATTATTAAGTTATATTTTTATTGCTTTTTTTTTCTTTAAAAGACAACTTTCGCATTAGGAATCTATTTCTGTGCCGCAAGGTGACTTTACAAACATACATAAAACGGACACAAAGAACACCCAGACTCAGAACAACAATTTGGGGATCACACAGTGTTGTTCCATGAGGGGGATCGAACCTACAACACTCAACGAGAAGCGGCGAAGCGACCGCTTAAACCACTCCATCCTCTTAAACCATTCCGTGCAGTCTTCAAACAAAATATTTTTGAAAGAGCAGCAGTTCGTGCGTGAGTGTAATTTTTATAGCTTCTTGATTACAGTGATAATTTAATTCTAATCGAAGCCATACCCTATGTTATGGCGGTAGGTCAACATCGTCGTCCATTGCGATCTACACTCGATTACTTGGCTTGGATTAATTGGTTCGATAGTATGTAACGATACTTTCTTATCAGATACAATCAGATAGCATGTGACATGTCAATGCTAGTAAATTATATTTAAAACAATCATAAGAAAGAGGTTTAATGTATATTTGAAAACGACACGTCAGTTAAAAGCTTTTCGTAAGAAGTTACACGTTTAAATATATTTATGATTCCGACTGTACATGAACAAATATGACCTTATTGAGTTCTCTAGTGATGTTGTCCTTCCGGAACTCCCGCAGCAGGCTGGTGTAGGGCAGCGCGTCCACGGCCAGCACGGCGCAGCGCCGGCGCGCCGACGTGTCGCGCGGCGTCTCGTCGCCGAACGACCCGCGCCACTTGAACGAGCCGCCGTACCCCGAGTACTCGCTGTACCGCTCCGCACCTGCATCCGTCGCACGTTACTTACGAATCGTAGCTAAAAATCTCAATTCCACTAGAAACGAGTAATCATACCGATAATTATGAGAGCTTCGTTAGCCTTCAGCTCTTCGGTGAAGAGCATCGAGAGTAACAGTTCTGGACAGATCACAAAACGGATCTCCTCTTGTACGCAGCCGTGACCGAGAACGCCGCCACCTAGGAACCTGCAAACGTAAACAAAAATATTGTCACGATAATTCTAGAAAGCATAAGAAAATTTATTCAATCGCGCAATCGAATTCTAAGAACACAGCACAATGAGATTTATAACAATAGGTATAAGATCGAAAATAGATTGTCACGCGATTAATTTTCTTACATTTGAAACGAATTTGCATTTCTCAGAAATCGAAAATTCCACTAGGGATTAGGGGCACGTCTACGGGGACAGTTCAGACCAATTAGAGCTACAATGCTATAAACATCTAAGCGAATAGAAGTGTACCCCAGCGACCTCGGCGATCACTCCGGACTGTTATTCGGTATTGTTTGAACGCTTTTAAGTGTCTTAATTCGTCAGTAGGTTTAATATTCCAAATCAATGAACCCTAACAATGTTACTAATAAATTGTTAGATGAACTTCCAATTTTAAACTCATCTTGATTTATGCTCAAGTTTTTTTATGCTTTAAGTAGCAAACGGGTAAACAGATCACCTGATGATAAATGATTCCGTCACCTATGGACATTATTATGTAACTTAAGGGTCGCAACTGCATTGCCATTTTAGAACTAGAAGGTTACCGCGACCCCACCCACTAGTTGAAAAGCAACTTTGGTGCAGTATTCATGTTTTTGAAATGAAAACTTCTTTGGGCGCGTTGGGTATTTTTGAACAACAGACAAAATAATGTATTTTATGGTTTAACAAAAGACACATTTTTGAGATGGGACAAACCATTGAACTCACGACACTGTTACGGTTACCGACACCCCTGTTGTAGAGAAAACTTGTAGGGAAAAAAAACAATTGAACTCGCGACACCGTTACCGTTACCGACGTTTATAAGTTTTCACTTCTGTCGGCACTCCCGGAGTGCCACTGTTTTTTTTAGTAACGGCTCCAGTAACCCCGCACTGTGACAATCGTAAGTAATATAACTATATACGGCTTACCCTGCAAGTTAGATTGCACTTTATTTCGTGGTAGCGAGAGCCATTATTTATTGATTTTCAACAAGAGGAGCCGTTCGTATGGAAGTTCAATATTTTCAATACATTCAAGAATTGCAATCGTGTTTAACAGTGTTTAAACCCGTAGACGCTTAAAAGAAATTCGACTAGAACCGGAACTCTCGTATCTCAACACAAAATACTCACTTGTTAGCGAAGTCGACCTGTATGAGTCCGTCGGCATCTTCGATGGTGTGTCGCGAGTCGACGTGCAGCGGCACGTGGTGCAGCGCGCGGCGCGAGCGCGCCCACCCCGCCCCCGCGCGAGCACCCCCCGCGCGCCGCCTGTACGTCACCGTCCCGACCGGCACTGTACTGGAAACATACCCGGATGTACTCACTTGTTCGCTGGAACCGTTCACCACTTAGGCCTGGACTTTCTAGGGTAAAACGATATTTGAAAATTTTGGCACACCATTCCATTCGATATCATTGAACGCTATAACTATATGGAATTAGTTATTGGTTCCTAGTAACTCTGAATTTACTAAGCCTATGTTAAACATGTTTAACACGATGAAAATATATTTGTGAGAGTTATGAGCGAGTATTATTTCTATTGAAAGTTATTTACGTCGGGGTACGTCGAACCTTCCAGAAGTATACGAACATTCCAGACTACTCCACTGTAAATTGTGTACCTGAACCTATATATATTAGTTCTAGTTGTAGTGATACAGCAAAACAACAAATACGAAGAGTAGTGAACAATAAAAGCTTAAATTAATAAAAATTGCAGATTATTATTACAGCAGCTAACACTGTCTTGGACTAGACTCACTGTAGGTTATGGAGACTGCACTTGCCACTAAATATTTAAACAACATAAGTTTTAGCCGTCACTAAATGATTGTAACTTCTGCTAAGCGAGGTCATTATTATATTAATTTTAAATAGTAAGTTTTTATATTGACAGGCTAGTCACCACAATTGCCATCGATTTACGAAAATAGCTATATTAAGTAAATAAAGAATGTCACCTTTAGTAACAACTCTCCTGAAGTAATGACAAATGCACTTTAGTTTCTCCAAGTTGGCGTCAGAATCCGTGGCCTCATACAGCGAGTACCTTCAATAAGAAAATTTAAATTATTACAGATGATGTAAGACTTAATAAATAAAACTTAGTGGGAACTAAAAATACGGGTTTTAGAAGCTAAGAGACAAGTAGTAGCAAATTGAACCTTAATAGATACTTAATTAACATACAATTTAGTTTAAACATAAATAACCTTGAAAAAGAGTTCTAAATTTTTTGTATAATACTGATAAAATATGAGTTAAAATAATGATTTGTACTTCATCATCACACATCACATCAACAGCCTTTAATAGTCCACTGCTGGACATACATGGACTGGCCTTTCTTTAGAAAAGAGATTTCTACTTACGTATTGAAATTAATATATGGATACGAAGCATATTCTGAATTAGACTTCCTGGAATTTCTTCTGGGAAATGTGGAGAAAAATGCATTAGCAAGCAAGCATGCTATCTGCTGTTGTGACAGAGAAATAGAACGGTTCTTGTTTTGCCTGCAATAATAATAATAATTTAATAGCATCTATGGCCATCTGCTCCCAAATTCGCAGAGCCTATGTTAACAAGATACTTGTATTTTATGTATGTTACTAAATGTATGCATATTATAGATGAATTACACCTAAACACAACAAAGAATCGTACTCTTCACATTTCAAATATTTGTCCTGGGTGGGAATCGAACCCACAACCTTTTAAAATAGTCTGAAATCAATGCAATGTCTGATGCAGTATTAAGGATCACTATCTACTAGACCAATGGGTCAGTTATTATACATACTAATTCATACTAATATTATAATGCGAAAGTGTCTGTCTGTCTGTTGCCTCCTCACGCTTAAACCGCTGAACCGATTTATATGAAATTTGGTGTAGTGTTAGCCCGAGTCCCGGGACTGGACATAGGTTAGTTTTCATCTCAGAAATCATAGTTTAAGGGGGTGAAAAGGGGGTTGAAAGTTTGTATGGGGAATCAAGAATCGCTGAACCTATTTAGGTGAAATTTTGATTTTTGAGGTTAGACATATGCTACTTTTTACCGCGATAACTAACATTTACGCGGACGGAGCCGTGGGCAAAAGCTAGTTTATTAATTAATAACAAATGTAAATTAATTACATATTTTTGTGGTGGCATAATATTGCACATATATATGTATATACATGAAGTATATGGTACATAGATAGACAGCATGTCTTAGAAATTATTATAGTATATTGTAGAGAAAAACATGGACATGTACAGTCAAAACAAAAAATATCTATTATAAACTCATATATGGCTGACATATAAAACATATTTAAAATAATTAATTAATAGTTCAGCAAGCAGCAAGTTCAGCAGTAATGATGGTGCTGTCAAGTTATTTACTTCCTTACTATTGGTTAACTTCTAATTTGAACAGAATGCTTCTAATTCTTCTTGATGAAATTTTTATTAAAGCAGATAATAATTTTAACAATGTATTATCAGCACCGTCAGTTCTCAACAATCACCTTTTAATATAACAATAGGTGTGTTCACCACAGGCTACTTAGCTTACTTGTTACTGTTGGCACAGCTTTTTTTAATTATTTTTAATTATAGGAATTAAAAAGGAACTATCATATGTCAAGTCTAGTTATTTAAAATAATTTTAAAACAAGAGTGTTATCTTTGAAAAAGAAAACTAGGTAAGTTATCGCTGCTTACAAAATAGTTGTACTTGTGCTTGTTCCCCATTACACGTTAACAAACTTAAACAAAAAATTCTTTTATAATCTAACATACATACATACATTATTTTATGAAATGTTTTCATTTTAAAAGTTCGAAATACATTTGCAGGTCTAAAGCCCTATATTTTAATAGATGCCCTAAGTTCGGTTAAACTCTGATTATATGAAATTTGTTTTAAATATTCTATAATGTTATACCCAGTAAATTTATTTATAATGTCTTCACCACAAATTTTTCTCATAAGGATGATAAGTCTAATATATCTGACAGCTATATAGATATTTGTATAGAACTTACTTAAGTAAAGGTATTGGCGCCTGCACCAATTTAGGGAGTGATAGAGCCAGTTTAGCAACCTCTGGCAAGGTTACATCAAAGAAGTATTGTGATTCTTCTTCCTCTAAATACTAAAACAACAAAAATGAACAGGTACTAAGTATACTACACCACATAAAATAATCAAAAATATAATTATGCATCATCAGTACCTCATCAAAGAATTTATGCAATCCCTTAAACTTCCAAATGTTCCTGAACTTGGTATTATAACTGATTATGGCATTGGAGAGGTCATGGCTATTTCGCAGTGGCTTAGATAGAGCATTTTCTATCATTTCCCATCTCCGCTTTAAGTGACTCTCACCAGCACTCTGGAAATATTCATAAAATTTTATTTTTACTCTTGTATTGTAAAAGACACCACTGAACCACACTACTGGGGTCTTGTTTATAATTGTTCTTGTTAACAACACTACCATTATTGATATCATTTATTATTCATTTGTAAGATCCGTAAGATTCGTAAGACCATGACCATTTACAAAAGCTTTTAGAGAAGTTTCCAGAAGATGCTTTAAAGATAGCAGATGAAAAGACAAAAATATGGTGTAATAAATGAATAGTTGTAATTATATATAATATAATTGTGTATAATTATGAAATCAAGTTTTATAAATTCATTTAATAATGGATACAATTGTTATGTTTTATGAATCCTTGTGAACTCAACTAATTTCAACATTATAATTAAAAATTAACACATAATAGTATAGTATACATCACTAGTCAGCAGAGGTGTTGTTAACAATAAAAAAATTGTAAATGACTCTCCAGTGGTATCCTTTAATATAAATATTTTTACTCGCTATGGCCGGCAGCTTGGCTCATATGACATATTTGTCCCATATCCGCCTTAGGGGCGTAAATAAAGGGTTTAGGCTCTGCATTTATGAATCAGTCAGTCAATTAGGGCTAGTCATTTTATAGTTACAGATAATACAGTAATTATATTGTTCCATTAAAATTTTGTTTGAAAGATTGATATAGGTATTCATTATGCTTTTAACTATTATGCTACCACATTCCTAGTAAATTGATGAATTTGAATTTCATTACACAAGATACATCATCGTCATTCATCATAAACAGCCTTTCATAGTCCACTGCTGGACACAAATACACTAGTACTGACTGCAGAGTTTAGCTCCATCTTTGGCAAAACATTGTCAGAAGTATCTATCTCTATCTGTTCACTGTTCTAATCTAGACTTTAAGTAGTAGAGTGAGTTGTACATTACATCCTTATAACTGCATTATACTACTTACATCCTCTACAGGGTACAAACTATGACTTGAACATGGCATTCTAACATGTTCAGAATCCCATTTATCTTGTCCAATCTGTGGTTTGGGTGGCCTATCACCCGCCACGCATCCGCTGCTGGGCACATGATACAACACTGCGTGATTATACGACGGAGCCACTAGTGGAAACTCTGGAGCACCCCATGGGGACTGCGATCCGTACAGCTCAGTTAAAGGCACACCTCTCCAATGGTCATTACTTCCCGTATCAACGTTCATTGTGAACAGTCGTAAATGTATATTTTTAACTGTAAATATTAAAAGTCGTTAAAAAGGGCACTGTTTTTTATAAACATTATTGGTTACTGAATAATAATGACATTTCTAAAAGTATACCAACATAAAAAACTTTTGAGTGCAGATCTGGACAGTAAACTCATAAATATAATTTGATAAGATATTGCAATGTTTTAAATCATAATTTATCGCACTTTAAACCATGAGTAGGTTATCAATCGTATCAATCTTGGGCTGTTTTTAGACACGACGATAACGACACGATTCTGCAGTGACGGCAAACAACAATATTTAGCGCCCGTGTCGTCGTAGTGTCGTTACTCGTGTGATCATACTAGGGATGTTAAAAAATAATCGATTTTTATTGAAATCGATTATTATTTTCTTATAATCGATTATTTATTCTCGATTTTTATAGTAATGTTAATCGATTTTTAGTAAATCGATTATATAAATTACGTGTTTAAATCGATTTTCAGAAACAGCTCGCATCTATGCGACGAATGAAAAAATCTTGCAGTATGTTTCAATTTTAAAAACAGCGCCATCTATGCGAAGGATCAAAAATCTCTGCTCCGTCCGAAAGATTATTTTCCAAAGCGGGAAATGTGGTCAGGAAAACACGAAACCGTATTTTAGGAAAGAGACTATCAAAATTATTGTTTTTAAACTGCTTACTTACCTGAAAATTTATGGTAATAATTATTTTAAATTTTATTATTGTTTAATCCTAGTCAAATGTAAAATAGGACTGCACATTTGTGGAAATAATTATTTTTAATTTTATTATTGTTTAAACTTGCAGATTAACGAAAGATTGTTTTTTATTTTAGTTTTAGATACCATAACGTAGTTGTTCAGGATTGATAATGATCCTTTTAAGTATTTTATTTTAATACTAGTCAAATGTAAAATAGGACTGCATGGACATTTGTGACAATAATTATTATTTAAACTTAAAGATTAACGAATGATTTGTAATTTACTTTAGTTTTTGAGACTATAGAGTAACCAAGCCAAAACCTCCTTTCTAAGGAGAGGCCTACGTCCAGCAGTGGACTATCAAAGACTGTTGATGAAGAGTAGTCGTATAGTTTTTTAATTCTCATTTTAAGTGTTTTATTTTAAAACTAGTCAAATAAAAAATTCTCATCATTTCATTTTTATTATAATAAATAAAACGTTTCATAGTACTAAAATGAGTATTAATAATGCTATTTAGTTTCCTAATTCCCTACTTTGAAATTTTTCGAATAGGTTATTCTTTTATTCATATAATTTTATTATATTTTTAATCTGATAAATAGTTAATATGAATCTCTTAGGTTTATTATTGGAATATGGAAAGCATATACTTTTAAATAATACAAAAAATCGATTATTTATTTTTATTAAAATCGATTTTTGGCAAATCGATTAAATTTTAATATAGAAAAATCGATTTTTATTTAATCGATTCTTTTCCATTAATCTCACATCCCTAGATCATACTGATATCCATGCACACATTATATATGTATTGTGACGTATGAGAAATGTCTGTTTTAATTAGAGTTAATTTAAGTTTGAAAATACATTTTTATTGCTGACTTAACAAAACAAAAAAGGCCTCCGTCCACTAGGATACCCTTGGATGGGGGATCTGCTTGAAATTCTTATCCATTATGATCCCCAAGGGGATTAATTTGGATGTTTTTATAAACACAAAACCCCTAAATTCTGCGGATTCACTTGTATAAATTTTCGTTTCCCGCTGTCAAGATGATTAAGTACAAACGAATATAGAAACATTGAATTTTATTTCTATTTGATTTCTTTTTAATTTTTTTATTTCGTTATTACTTTTTGTGTTTGTAGAACGGTTTATCGTCTTCGGTATTCCCGGACCGATACGATCTTCAAACCTTCAAGAAAAAGCGTACTCCTTCGTACGCTTTTTTCTTGAAGGTCGTATCGGTCCGGAAATACCGCAGACGATAACTTGTTCCACAGGTTGGTAGTGCGAGGCAAAAAGTGTCTTGAAAAGCACACAGTGCTCTACCACTGTGTGCTTTTCAACAAAACCGTTACCAACCCCTAACCTCCATCCCTATTTCACCATTTTGAATATTTTCGTGTTATTTTTTTTTTTTTTGCTTATATTTGGAACCTCAACAATATTTTCCAGCTGGTTCATGCTCGTTATATTTTTCCTTTCACAAAAATTATCGGCGCCAGCCTCTAGGATTTGTTTTCTAAAGCAAATTGAAGAAATCTTTCTATCACTCTAACTAATATTTTTTTTTTTTTTTTAATAAAAGGACTTTGTCGCTGAGCGACTACATCGTCCCATATGGACAGCAACCAATACAGTGAAACATGAGTATCCATGACTTAAAACTACATTATTGTATACTTAAACCTAAATCAGCCAGTTTAATTAACTGTTTAACTTCTTCTGTAGTTGGATTAGACAACATACTATTCAAGTAGCCTCTTGTTTCCGTCAAAACACGATACTCTCAGACGCTCGTTCCGGACACATTCCATCAAAACGTGTTGAACATCTTCTATTACACCGCATTCAAGGCAACTAATATTATTAAGAAGTTATTTCTATAACTAGTCAAAATACATTTTTAATGCGGAGGGCTGTCTGACTGTTGCTGGCTGACGCTATGCGATAATATATGTAACATGGAATGTACATAATTTCGATGTTTGACATCTGCCAGACATCCCGCGACAACTAAATTTTTTTTCTTCCCCTTGGTGTTGATTCTTTTGACAAAAGATATAAAAGATGTTTATTTATCAACTATAACTATATCCTTTTAATCCAGCCCACCAAATATCGAATTTTCCTCTTTCGTAATGTTTTCCTAACTCTCATCTGTAAAAACGATGCGACAAGTAAACCATAAAAATATTACAAGATTTACCCTCACTTGTGAGTAGAATTTTTCACTTGCAGCATTGCACCATTAGCAGGTGACCCTTCTGCTTTGCCCACCTATACCATGAAAAAATAAAAATCCATTTTAAAATTTGACAAGTATTACTTCTACCAGTAAATTTTCTTGGATTCGTGCTCTGTGCATTTAAAAACCTGGAAAGATTTTGTGTATTATCTATGGTGTGTGTGGAACGATATGTCAATTTAGCAGCAAACATTTTTTTGTTATGCTGCGCGTCTAAAGCTGGAAATCGAAAAATTAAGACGACAACGTGATTGCAACTACGAGAGTTTTATTTTAGATTATGACTAAAGAATAGAGAAAGTGTAATTATAAGTTTTAATCATGAACTTGGAGTTACTTGGTGAGTATTTCAGTTTCATTACCACTTTCAGCTGTTGTGTTTTTGTTTACATTTACAATGAAGCATTTTTCGTTTTGTTTACATGCTTGTTAATACTTTTCAGAGTCATTTGGACAGAACTACCCAGAGGTGCGTCTTTTTATAAAAGAGTTCAATATTTATCAGCTTCAAATAAAATAAATAATAAAATGAAATTGTTTACAGAGTATGTATAATATGAATAAATGGTAAATAACCTAAATGCTTTCAGGAATTTGATGGGACGCTTGATTCAATATCATTAGCAGCAACTTGTGCCTTCAACAGAAGAGGTACTCTACTGGCAGTGGGATGCAATGATGGCAGGATTTTTATATGGGACTTTTTAACCCGTGGCATAGCTAAATCAATATCTGCACATGTTTATCCAGTTTGTAGCCTTAGCTGGTCCAGAAATTGTAAGAAGGTAGGTATACTATATTTCAATATTTATATGTATGTCTATGGTTCTTAATAGATCTGAAGCTCTAATTTGTTGTACTTAATTACACTCACAGAACCAGTTAACCACTCAACCTAGGTAAATAGCATAATTTTGTATACAACAATGCTTTTGATGTTAAACGAAAATTTGTTTATTGGGTAGTTTATGATAAGTTTTCTTTATTTACAAAATTATATCTTTATTTTATAATATCTTTCTCTTAATTTTTTTTAAGATACCCTATAGTGTGAATCTTTTATTGAGGTCAGTCAAATCTTGACTAATAAAGTATGAATTTTTTTTCATTATTAAAGAATTAAAGAGCTTTGTTTTTATTTTTTTCTATTTGAATTTATATTGCCAAGAAAAAAATTCTAAATGGATTTTTGAAAATAAATTAGAAAATTTTAATGGGCATTTTATTGTGCCTGAATAATTAACCTCTCATAAGCTGCAAAAAGCGCGAAGTGCCACCACACTTCACAGCTGCACACAGTGCTTTCACCGGTGAGCGCTGATCAGTGTAGTGGCACGCCGGTGAGTGCAGATCAGTACAGTGGCATGTGAGTTATTATGTTCTTAATGGAAGTAGTGTTATTGATATTTTAACTGTAACAATAATACATAACAAAAAAAAAACAGAAAAACAAATTGATTTCAATCAATTTTGAACTTCTTGCATAGAAAAATAAGAATGATATTTGGAAATATGCTCGAATAACGTTTTATGTTACATGAATAATTTTTATACCTTTATAAAGCTTAAAAATGTAATTTCCAGCTACTCTCAGCATCAACGGACCACAATGTATGTATATGGGATGTTCTGACTGGAGAATGTGAACAGAGGTACAGATTTCCAACTCCAATATTAAGAGTGCAGTTTGACCCAAGATGTGACAGACGATTTTTAGTCTGTCCCATGAGACATGCAGCACTGCTGGTCGACACAGAAGGGGAACATAAAATACTACCTATTGATGAAGATGTAAGTTAAAATTATGAATCCTGGGCCTCAATTCTACTGTTTTATTTTGATGTACAAGCCACTGTCATTCCATTGAAATACTATTGAGATGTCATTGACACTGATTAAAATATTGTTATTCTACTAACATAAATTCATAGTGTCAATAGTTTGTTAATGTAGTGACAATTGCTCATCAATGCTGATGATATTAACAACGATGCCATATCTGAATTATATTTAATTAAATATATATAATTTCGTTACAAATTTAAAATGAACCGTTAGCCAAACTATTACAAAGATACCGACGACAGTTGTATCTGTGACAGTTCAGTGACAAGTCAAAACTATTCCGAAGACAGTCCATCGACAGTCTATAGGGGCTATCCATAAATTACGTCACACGTTGATTCGGGAAGGGTATAACTGGAATGTGACATAGTGTGACAAGGTACATTAAAATATGTAATTTCAGGGAGACATAAATGTAATAGCATCATTCGACCGTCGTGGGGACCACGTGTACACAGGCAATGCCAAAGGAAAGATACTCATTTTAGACTGTCAGTCGTTAGCGTTGAAAGCCAGTTTCAAAATAACTGTTGGCACATCAAGCACTACTAGCATCAAAAGCATAGAGTTCGCGAGAAGAGGAAAGTGAGTTACTGTGTATATTATTTATGTGTATTGAAAATAATATATATTATTTAAAAATGTGATAAAACATCTCAATTAACACCATAAATAACGAATAAAATACTCCAATATGATCTAACAAAGACACGGAACTATAAAAAGCACCGTTCCTATTGCAAGTTTATTTCACATCAAAATGTTCTAGACAGCGAACGCGCATTCGTTGTTGCGATTGGTGATGCGGGCTAATCGCAGCACCGAACGCAGTCACCGTGACCGATGTAAATTAAACTTGCACTCTGAAGTCTTGCGTCACTTCGCAACATCAAACGTTGGGCATTATCACCTCGCCTGGTTAGAAGATCCTCTTTTCCCGTTGCTCTACTCCCGTTTTGAAAATTGGAATTAGTGTAAAAAAAATATTTATAAATTAAGTTATGTAAAAGATATAAATATATTGCACGGATGACGTAGTGCGGTGGTTACCGAGGTAACCGCTTAAACCACTACGCCATCCGCGAGCCTCTTCCAACTGTGTTGAGTGTCGAGGGCTCGATCCCCTCATGGGACATTCCTTTCTGTGCTCCACAAATTGTTGTTCTGTCTGCGCGTTATTTGTGTCTGTTTCATGAATATATGTGAAGTCCCTCGCGACCCAGAATATATTACTAGTCCGGGAGTTGTCTTCAAAAAAATAAAAAATACAAATTTTAGGACTGAAAAAAAAATTTTTTTTTCTTGGATTGTATCTTTAAAACTCATACAAAACGCAGAATTCTTTTAAAAAATTGATAACAGAATAGACTAGGAATTACATATTATTTAATACCTATTTTACATAAAGATAGGTAGAATAATCTTGTTTTAAATTTCTAGTTGTTTCTTAGTGAATACATCAGATCGTGTTATAAGAGTCTACGATACGAACACAGTTCTCAGATGTGGTATGAACGGCGAACCTGAACCTATACAAAAATTACAGGATTTAGTAAACAAGTAAGTTTCTTGTTTGTTTGCATTCTTAGTAGAGTAATTTTAACTTGTAAGAAAAAAGTCCTCATGATATTTAAAGGACTGAAAAGTAAAATTTTTAATTGGCAATAACTAAATATTGTTACGTGTTAGGGTTCGTTGATTGATTAATATACCTTTTGAAGACTAGAGAGATTTGTTTTATGTACTTAATACCTATTGTGAGCGGGTTAATTCCCTTAAACATAATTATATATTACGGAACGCGATAGTTTAAAACTTAGAATAAATTAACTCCGTATTCTCTATCCGTGTGGTGACGGATTAAGAATACGGAGTATCTCCAACCCTAATTGTCCCGTGGGTGTCGTAAAAGTCGACTAAGTGTGCAAACCACGCGTCACAACGGCACTTCAAAGAAAAGGAAAACTTGACACCAACCCCGCCAGCGTGGTATAGTAGGCCAAAACCTAATTTATAAGGAAAGGCCTATGTCTAGCAGTGGACTATTAAAGGTTGTTGATGATGACAATGAAGGTGACATACTAACTAAAGTTTTTAGTATCATAAAAATACTTATATCACTAATATTCCTTTTTTACCTTATAGTAAGTACCTGGATGACCGAGCTTTGCTCTGTGTTTTTCTTTTTTTGGTAAATTTTCTTAAAATGATACCTAGCTAGATTGCCCCGAAACCCCCTGCATACTAAATTTCTTCTAAAATCGTTGGAGCGGTTTCCGAGATTCAGATAATATATATACAAGAATTGCTCGTTTAAATCCCCGCAAAATAAAAACCAAATTCAATTCACAGAACGACATGGAAAAAGTGCTGTTTCTCCGGTGACGGCGAATACATTTGCGCAGGTTCGGCGCGACAGCACGCCTTGTACATCTGGGAGAAGTCTATCGGCAACTTGGTGAAGATCCTTCACGGAACCAAAGGGGAGTTGCTTCTCGATGTCGTCTGGCATCCGATCAGACCGATTATAGCTAGTATAAGTGCAGGTGAGTTCTACTAGGTACTTAACTTTATCGGATTCCACATACAAATGTCCCGTAAGTGGCAGCAGTTCCACAGAAAAAGTGACATACGCACATATCCCCGAAGTGGTAAACAGAGTAAAAACGCCCAAGTTTTGCAACTATGACTTTTTAGTGAACTAAGACTCTTCCTTCTTTTAATAAAAAGACAACTCCCGCAATAGGAATATATTGTGTCGCGGGGGACTTTACAAACATACATGAAACGTACACATAGGACACCCAGACTTAGAACAACAATTTGTAGATCACACAAAGTGTTGTCCTATGTGGAGATTGAATTCACAACACTCAGTGTAGTAAGAAGCGGCGTGGCGACCGCTTAAACCACTACGCCATCCGTGTAGACAAATTAATAAACTGAAACAAAAAAAGGCATTAAATAAATGTATTATTTTTAGGTGTCGTATCAATCTGGGCACAGAACCAGGTCGAGAACTGGTCGGCGTTCGCTCCTGACTTCAAAGAGCTGGATGAGAATGTAGAGTATGAGGAACGGGAGAGTGAATTCGACGTGGAGGACGAGGACCGCTCTGTAGACCAGACAGGGGAGAGCCATAATGATGAGGAAGTCGAGGTTCGCAACACACAATATATAATTATTTTAATTATTACGTACCTACCATTTAAATACGAGTTAGCCATTTACTGGCGACGTTATTAACTACAAGGTTTTATATACATATGTATAGATTTATTCCATTCACAAACCAAACTTGTCAATGAGGCAATCATTATCGTTCACGAGAAGAAAAAATATGTACACAAACAAACTTTGTAATTTTTTACGTTATAGACGTTTTACGTACGTCATAAAGTATTAAAACCTAGAAACCCAGAAAGTCTAATATAATGTTATAAATATCCAATCGCAGGTTGACGTAACGACGTGTGAGCCGGTGGCAGCTTTCTGCAGTTCTGACGAAGAAGGCGAAGACGAGAATATGTTGTCCTTCTTACCTATTGCGCCAGAGATTGAGGATCCAGAGGTACACGATACAAATTTGTTTTATTATACGACTTCAACAAGCTAAATCTGTGAGGGTTCTCGGTGGCATACTTGTTAGAGTACCTTGTGACGAAACCCATTGATTTGACATGACATTTGACTGACATACTACGTCAGCCTCGACTCTGGCGAGGTGATGACTTAGTAAGGGTTTCCACACCAAAAAAAGGATAGGTATTTTAAGACATTGAGTGTGAATACTATTTTTCTTGTCACCATCACAACATCTTTTGTTGTTTTTTTTTTAAGGTGCCTTACTATTATTTCCGTTAACCCCTCCCGCTAAGCTAAATTGCTTGTGTTACGAGTGGTTTCAAGTCGTTAGTGTACTGGTCGTTTTGACGGGCCTGTCGGTCTAGTGGTTAGTGACCCTAACTGCTAAACCGGAGGTCGTGGGTTCGATTCCCACCCAGGACAAATATTGTGTGATGAGCACGGTCATTTGTTCTGTGTCTGGGTGTAATTTATCTATAATATGTATGTATTTAGAAATATATAAGTATGTTTATCAGCGGTCTGGTTACCATAGTACAGGCTCTGCCTAGTTTGGGATCAGACGGCCGTGTGTGTGTGTAAAAAAAAAAACATAAAATCATAAATCAAAATCATACTGTAATCTGTGTTTATCTAGATGTCAACTGTACCAATAATTATATATATATATATATATTTTTACATTTAGGATGGTTGGGCAGCTACCCAAGAAACAGTTACACCGACAGAAACACCTGAGAAGTTAGAACCTGCCGCTAAGAGGCCAAAGAGTAAGACCTACGACATATCGCTGAAGATAGCGCCACCTGGTAAGAGTCGCCTTTCCTTATATTCCACTTCAAATATCTAGACCGTTTATTCTTCCATTTCCTTTTAGGCAATTCGTTAACTTGTTAATTAGGGATGACATAACATACTACCGATTAGATTAAATAGAACAATAGTTTTTAAGCTACTCGTGGCTAAGGGTCAACAGAGTCAGGTCAGTTTATGGATACAAAAATACCAGATTTACAGTTTAGTGTACGAGAAACTAAATTAAAATAGATAACTAAGCGATATCTTTTTACTTCTCGTTTTAAAGTTTCTTGAAACTTTAAAAAAGTTAAAATTAATACAAATAATAACGCTTGTTCTATATGTACAAATGTTTGTTTCAGAGCAACCGTTATCGTTTGGAGGTAAAAATAAGCAAACATCTGGAAGTAAAAAGGTTGCTGGCCGTCCTCGTAAATAGCGTTTAATCAGATTATTATCTCGACCTAGTAAATAAAGTGTTTAATCAGATTTTATCTTTTATTTTTAACCCCCGACGCAAAAACGGGCTGTTATAAGTTTGACGTGTCTGTCTGTCTGTGGCATCGTAGCTTCTGAACGGCAGAACCGATTTTAATTTTGTTATGTTTGAAAGGTTAATTAGTCGGGAGTGTTCTTAGCTATATTTGAAGAAAATCGGTCCAAAATGGCCGCCGCCACAAAATGGCGGATTATATAATATTTCACAACTCCCTCAATATGGGTATCAAATAAAAGGGCTTGACTAGTAGAATACTATACCCTATGACTAATTGCAAATCCATGATATGTGTCGCGGGTTTTTTATTTTTGTAACTATACGCCGAGGACTGTAGTAGAAATATTTTGTGGAAAAACACAAAGCGTTTTTGTACACCATTTTTTTTAATGGATCACTTATAATTTTATTTCTGCAAATCACATAGACAGACCATTGTCTCCAGCGAAAGGCTTCCCACACAAATGGCTATTTGTGTGGCCGCGAGATCGTGAGAAGCGTGGAGTCCTTAAGGAGAAGTAAATAATATTCCAAATAATTATAAATCTGTAACGAAAAGTTCATAAATAACCCTTTTTTAGAAAAGGCTTTGAAGGTTTTGTCTGAATCTTTCTAAAAGTTAACTTCCAGTTTTTCAATCAGTCAGTATCATATCAGGAAACATTCGACAAGACTATTAGTTGTTAATTTTTTTGTTAACTTTTTAATTCTTTGGCAGTTGTCATGTGTTAATTTACTTTTAAGTTCTATTTTGAAATATTTTACTCTCCACTCAACACTAGGGCAAGCTCGTTAGTATGCTTCTTCACTCTTTTTTTAATGTATATATATGGTCATTTTCATTTAATCATTTGTTGCTGCTTTCATTTAATCGGGAATAGCGTCCAATTAATCAGTGTAAACCGCGAAGTTTTTGGTGTCGTTTTGTCTAAATATGCTTTTGACCTGTCTTTTATTTAGGTCATGCCCAAATATTCAACATCACCTTGTGGAATTTCCTCGTCATAAGAGTCTGACTTGAGGGTAGATTTCTTTCCCATTCATTAGTTGCGTAGGTAAACTTGTTTTGGTTAGCTTTTATCCTTCATCATTTCAACCATATCTAAACCTCGATTATATGCTTTTGCAAGGTAAGCGTGGCTATTTTAGGATCTCTGTGGGTTGATAGTAAGGCGGTATCATCAGCATATCCTGCAGATGTCGTTGTCTGTCCGTTGTAGGCGAGTCTGTTGTATACATTAGGTGTAGTATGTGACCCAATATGCTGCCTTGAAGGACACCTGACTCAACCTCGTAAAGCGGTGATGGATGTACTATTTGGTAATTGCTCTTATTGATTTACCTGTTCTACTGTCCCATGTTTTTCCCTGAATCCAAATTGGTATTTTGGTATCATGGCAATGAGGTATTTTCTAACGTTTTAAATAATACCAAAATTATAGGAGAAAACATTTATTTTTTCAAAAAAAATGTCATTGATCTCTTTCATAAAATTCGTATTCCAGAGTATACTGTAAGTACCTATCGGTCGTATATAAATAAATCTCACTTAAACATAAACAAAATAATAATACATTCGCCTATTCGAGACCAAAAAGACTCAATAATATATAATATTTAGTCCTATCGCTAAACTAAACGTCCTACGCTAACACATAATATCGTACAGGGGCGAGCGTAGCGTCGCCTTACTGTCGCCGCAGTCGACCGCACGCCGCGGACCGGCCCTAGTTCATTGCATTGCGGCCGGACCGAGCGTGCGGCCGGGCCGGGAGCGACCTTAAATATAATTATCTATTCCATATATGTACAGTGACGGCTACGCGTCAATATCGTCCTCGTGCTGACTCGAAAAATACGAGACCAGACCGCCAAAGACGCTACCTTCCTCTCGGCCGGGAGGGCGCATCAGCGGAACTGGTACCGCCTCCCCGTCGGGGGGGGCCACCCGAGGAGGAGTCGCCTCAGGCGGCCTGGCTATCGGCGAGCCAACTTTCACGGGAGCCAGGGCCTCCAGTCTTGCAGGGGATCCGCCTCGCTCAACAGAAGACGCCCGCGTGGGGTCGGGGTACTGAGGCCCGAACGATCCAGCCGCGGGGCTCAAACGCTCCGGTGGCGGCCCGAAGGGCGGCCTCATTAGAGGCCGCAGGTGCGCCGGGAGGTACGGACCGGGAGGCGCGTGAGGTCCGGAAGGTCCGGTAAACGCGTGAGGCCCTGGAGGCACATTTGATCCAGGTGGCCTGGGAGACGCATGCGGCCCGGGTGGCACAGGTGGCGCGTGTAGACCGGGAGGCATGAGTGGACCGGGCGGTCCGGAAGGTGTATGTGGCCCAGGTGGTCCTGAAGGTGTGTGTGAATCGGGAGGTCCCGAAGGTGCTTGTGGACCGGGCGGTCCTGAAGGTGCGTGTGGTCCGGGCGGTCCTGAAGGTGCGTGTGGTCCGGGCGGTCCTGAAGGTGCGTGTGGTCCGGGCGGTCCTGAAGGTGCATGTGGTCCGGGCGGTCCTGAAGGTGCATGTGGACCGGGCGGTCCAGAGGATGCATGTGGACCAGGCGGCCCGTGGGATAGCTCCAGGGGATGGTGTCGCTCGGGGGCGGGACTCCGCGGTCGAATCTCGCCGGCGTACGGATGATGTAAGGGTGGAGGTCCGCGAGGCGGGAGGACGCCGCGCTCGGCGGGGTTGGGGGCAGGCGCGTAGGGGCCGTACGGCCCGTACTGCGGTGCGTACGGCCCCAGCGGGTACCGCGGCCTCCTGTCTTTGTTCTCTGTGACTTTCATCTTTGGGTGTCGTGGAGGTTCGTCTCTTGGAGCAGGTACCGGTGAAGCTTCCCGCGTAGGTGAACCGGTCGGGGATCGATAGGCCTCCGGTTCCGTTTTAACTTCGGCTTTTATCCGCACCAGCGGTTCCTGATCTATCGGCGGAGTCGATCGGGGGGGACCAGAAGGTGATGCAACCGGCGGAACACGGCTCGGAAGCCCCGAGGGGCCGCCGAGACCCGGAGGTGGGCCTCGAAGCATCGCTAACTGGCCGGGCCCCACGGGACCGCCGAGAGAGTTAGGTGGTCCATGCGGACTCGTCGTCGGTGGCATAGAGGGAGGGCCAGGCGCGTGAGGCCGATGCAAATTAATATGACCGTGTCCTGTAGGCGACGGTCCGTGGCCTGGTGGCGGACCATGACCAGGAGGTGAAGGCCCATGACCCGGAGGCGGACCGTGCCCTGGAGGAGATGGACCATGTCCTGACGGTAGACCGTGTCCCGGTGGTCCATGGCCTGGCGGTAAAGGACCATGAGGCGGCCCATGACCAGGCATAGGTCCATGTGGTCGTGTCATGGTATGAGGTGCATTGTTCGTTGCCGGTGAGCTCGGTCCAGAGTACGGACCTCTTGGATAAGCAGGATGTGATGATATTCCTCGCATATGTTGGTAGTATTGTGGTGGATACTGTCGTGACCCCCCTAGAGGCCCATGCAGAGAATACATTGACATATTTTGTGGAGGTCGCGGGCCATAGGGAGAACCGCCGCCTGGATACATCATTGGACCCCTGAAACAAAAACGTTTTGCTGGTACCTACAACAAATTCATCTACGATTTATATAATCTAATTGCACTTTTAATAGTGTTTACCATTAGACGTTATTCATGGCATATAAAAGATTAAAAACTAGTAAAAAAAATTGTATGCACTTCGTAGAAAATTTTGAGGTTTCGATGCGCACGCAAAAAAACCTTCCTTAGAAGCCTCAAAATTTTGAACAGAGATATGAGAGAATATTTTGCAACATGACTTTAAGAACTTGTACAGAATGCCAAATAGCATAACCGTAGTAATGGCAACACATTCATTCATTGTTTTTTTTTGGGTTTTGTGAACGTTCGGAAAAAAAATAAAAATTGATTCACTGTTTTAATTATTTCACTAATTAATGTCCGAGATTTTTTGGATATCTTTCTGTAACCTGGATTCGTAGCTCTCGAGTGTACTTACGAATTTTTTCTTTCATGTAGTTCTGTCTGATATTTTAATATCCATACATTTTTAATAAATGACAGATTTGAGTTAAAAAAGAAGACAAATGAAAAATTGAATATACCTGTATTGTTGGTTGATCATGTGTGGCATTCTTGTGATGATGCTTGGTTCTTCTGAGATCGGTTTGAAAGGTTGCGGGGAGCCGGCCACCGACAGCGTACCTAAAAATGTTTAAAATGTTATCGATAAGATCTAATCCGTAATGTCCGTGCGGTGACGGATTAAGAATACGGAGTGTCACCCCTACTCATCAAGTGGGTGTCGTAAAAGTCGACTAAGGGAGCAAACTACGCAGGACAACAACACTGAGAACAGAAGGAAAAAACCTTGCCAGAAACCCTATACCAAGCCGTCTGGCCAGCGTGAGGCCTATGCCCAACAGTGGACTATTAAAGGCTGTTGATGTGATTAAATGAAGATCTAATCTAAGATAACTAGTCAAGTCGAGTTGAGTAACTTTAACAAGTTACTTAATATATTAATGTTTATAAAATAGACTGGATATATTAAGTCCCTTGGCAAATTTTTGGACTTGTTAATAATTCTGGTCTCCTCATACCTTCTCTTAAAGCATTCTGAGGATGGTCAGCTCTCGGCTGTAGAACACCGCGTAACTCCATGCGCACTTGCAAACGTGGCACAGATGGCCTCTCTCTCATCTCTCCTGGATTTAAAGGAGGCCCACCGGGAGGGCCTGGAGGTCCGTGCGGTCCGGGAGGACCATGCTGGGGGCCGAAAGGTTGAAGATGAGGTCTCGGGCCAGGGCCAGGAGGGCCGTGTGAGAAAGGAACTGGGGCAGGTCCGACATACTCCATTTTCTCTCTTTTTACTCGTTTGCTCTCTTGCAAAGCGATGCGTGCAAGACGCTTTTCCTCTCGCTCTTTCGCTTTTAGTTCTTTCATTTTCTCTTTCTCTTCTTTCTTCTGTATACGTTCGACGCGTTTCGCCTCACGTTCAGCTTGTTTTGCTTCGCGTTCTTGTCGTTTTCTCTCTCTTTCAGCCTGTAAATGTTTATGAAATGTAAGAACTATTTTTAAACATAGACTATAGATATATTTTTATAAGTAATCCCCTTACTTGATTAGGTTTCATAGGTGAGCCGTCAGTTCTGAGATCTAAAAAATAAAATTAGATATTTTAATATGATTAAGCAAATATACTTAAGTCTTATTCTACGTTTAATTAACATTTTACATCACTTCATTTGTGATATTACACGTCCAAGTATAACATAAAGTATTAAATTTTGAGAAATTTATATAAAAATATGGTGTTATAACTTAATCTTCATGAGTATAATACAGTTACAAAAATTTAGTGTAGTTTTGTGTAAGGAGAATTTAATCGTCTCTTAAATGCAATTTATTTTACTAAGATAGCTTTCGAATTGTCCGAGATTATCAACCTTATTCAATCCATTTTATTCAGTATTTTGTCTCTCGTTTATTACAAGTCATTAAGTAATTCACGGTGATTTTCAAGTAACTCTTTAAATACACATTTTTAATTGCAGTTCAAAATATATTTAAATATGATATATCTTTGTTTATTTCAAAAATTCGTTCAACTTATAATATATTTTTTTGAAAGTAGAAGAAATATGAGACTCACCCTTAATCTTTACCCCGATGAGTTTAGCGAGCGCGTCGTCACTGGCGGGGGCTTCCGCGACGACCCCGAAGCCCCCGCCGATCCCCCCTCCTCGCCCGCTGCGAGCACCGCGAGGACCTCTGCAATATGGAAAGCTTTTAAACTCTTAAAAAAGTTTTGCTTTGAGAGGCTTATTGGCAAAACACCAACACACACATGCACACATTTTCGTCGTGTCAGACAATACAAATTTAAATTCATGAAAAAAAAACATGGTTTTATTGCTTTCGGCTTATTGCTTTTAATTCACTTCAACTATCTTCTTTGGTTTGGGTCGATACATATACAAATAGGATGGGGTAACATAGCATAAATTGAGAGAAATGTATTTCATTTACAGTAATAATTAAAATAAATAAAAGTGGAGTGTGTGTGTCGCAGGGTGTGGATGCAGTCGAAGCTGCACTGGTCAGGTCTATATAAAGTTTCATGACGATACGACAACTATAAGGTCACACACAAATCGTTCTAAGTTGCAATCCAGGGATTGAAATGAAACTCCTATACAAGGGAACCGTACGTACCTGGCCCCGCGCCCCCCGCGACTGCCCCGCCCACGCCCCGGGCGCGCCGGCCCCGCCCCCGCGCGCCCCGCCCCCTCCGCCCCGCCCTCCGCCGGCGCCTCCGCCTCTGGAACAGAAACATGACGTCACATACTGACCACTAATGAAAGTACATCTCAATGAAACTATCATAGAGTTCAGTTCCGATTTCAATTTCTGTAAAATATTGTTAAGCGAAATCACGACACGATTCAAACTAAGCCTAGAACACTACGGAGCTTTTCGGCAGAAGTTAACTAGTGTCCTCGACGACAAGATTATTTTCGACAGCTATGATAAACCCTCGCTAGGTGCAAATGTGACGATGGGATCCGCTTCGATTCGACTCTGCGTTATTTCTTTACGATATAGGCATCAAAGGAGCTGGGTCGCCGGTAAGTAACTACCGCTGCCGAACGACACCTACAACTCCATAATCCGAAGCATGTGACCGGTGGATATCGCACCGACCCAGAAAACCATAAACAATTTGTTTCGATGATTAATAATGATAGAGTATGGTGACAATCTGCGGCCGGTATAAGTCCGAACAATTCCTCGGAGCACTCTCCATAATACAAACGATGGACAATGCAGAGTAAAGCTACATCTCTACACAACACCTAGAGGTCACCCCAATCGGAAATATTTTGGCAATCGACGATTCGAATCGCTCTCCATTGAATGCGGTCTAGAGCGAGACTCTAGCACTGCTGTAACCCTTACCCAGAGATGAGAATAAAATTCCATATACGGTCGAATTTTCGCCTTATAAACTTTATAGGCCGCAAATTCCAAGTGAAGACTGTCGAGGCTGATTTAGTTTTAGCCTCGAAGTGACCGCGAAACTTGACTTCGCTCGATATCGACTATACACACTTCCCCAACTGCTACAGCCAGGACACGCCAAAGATGCCGATGCTGGCTGTAGCAGTTTGGGAAGTGTGTTTTACCAAGTTGATACAACACAGAACCTATCTTCGTAGGGTTAAATTAGACCAAATTAAGTCGACTCAGATCTGAATCTTTGCGACATTAAGCAATGTGTATTAAATTATTTTTACATCTAATAAAAGTCGTGTCCCATTAAATAAATAAATACCATTTATAACACATTATTTCGAAAATCAAAAATATACCTTGATTCTGAGCTGCCAATTCATTTAGGTGTGCTTGTAATTCTTCTGTTTTAGCCTTTGTCACGTCCTCTGGTAACTTCTCCAGCGGAACGACGGCTGTCTTTTTTATCAAATCGCTGAGAGCTTTTCTTTTTTCTTCTGAGGTCTGTTCTTCTTCTTCGATCTTCTTGCGTTTATTGCGCTCGGCGTCCGAATCGGATGTCACATCTGAATCGTCGATCTTATATTCGTCTGAGCTGTCAGGCATATGCTTACCACTGGATTTATGCATTTCCTGGAGATGAAATAGTTGTTATTATTATGCGGCAAAAACGTTGTCACTAAGATGCCAATATATATATATATATATATATATATGTATATATGTATATATCTCTAATATATAAAATTCTTGTGTCACGGTGTTAGAAGTTGAACTCCTCCGAAACGGCTCGACCGATTTTCGTGAAATTTTGTGTGCCTATTTGGGTAGGTCTGAGAATCGGTCAACATCTATTTTTCATAAACCTATTTTTTTTTGACAATTCATAAACAATGCTTATGGCAAAACAACGTTTGCGGGGTCAGCTAGTATATATATAAGATTAGGCCGTTAGTTTTCTATCAAGAACTTACTAGATTGAGGATCAAGAACAGAAATACTCATGTTTGCACAATCCTTTTTTTATGGTATATGGGTTGCCCCCTACGGACAGACGGGGGATCTGATGGAAAGTGACTACCGCCGCCCATGAACTCCTGCAACTTATAGTCCATCTAATCGTCTATTGTGTAATGGCACATTATAGGTTTTACTAGTAAATCTTAGTATACACTAGACTTGGATACGAGCGATTTTTGTCTACAAAGATTTATTTAAAATTACATTAACTAACTAATAAAATTAAAGAATCTGAAGAGCCGCTACACTACGATAAAGGACATAAATACGTGACTTTGAAACGGAATTTGAATAAAACATCTGTTGTGTATTAATTGGTTATTTTGCTTTGTTTCAAACATAAAAATTTTGTCACTAAGAATTGTATATATTACGATAAAATAAAAATAGTTTTATAATTTCGTGGTTTTACGGAAAATGTTATTAAAATTGTGTGAGTTACGCCTATACAACGTTGTTTCGGGTTGAAAAGTATGAAACGTTAAACGGTACCTCTTAGATGGACTATAGGAGTCACGTGTGCGTTGTCGGCCTTTGAGGAAGAAGTGTTCTCTTTTCTTGAAGGTCGTATCGGTTCGAAAATACTGCAAGCGATTATTTATTCCAAAAATTGTTTTGAAAATCACGCAATGGTGGAGTGCCAATTATCCAAGTGATGAGAGTAGTTTAAATTTTGTCGTGTGGCACGATGGCGAAAAATTTCGGCCGGTATTAGTCTGACCAGTTCCTGGGAGCACTCTCCGTGATACATACGACAGAGAAGCAGAGTGAAGCTATGTTTCTACGGAACGCCAAGGGGTCGAGCCGATCAGAACATTAACATCCTACATTAAAAATCTTTAAAAATGTATTTTGGTTATTTTTAAGAGACGACAACAAATATAAAAAAGTTTAAAATACAAATATTTTGTAAACGTAATTGAATTTCGATTATATGCGTGTTTTTGGAAGACGGAATAAAAATGTAAATTTGGTAATTTCATGACGTTCCTCGTGGTCGTCGATTCGACTCACACGGTGGCGAAGCAGTAAGCGGAGGTAGGCACTTACGTCCTCGGACTCGGTGTTGGGCATCTCGGTGTAGTTGATCTTCTTCTGCCTGGTGCGGTGCTTGGGCGACCAGTCGTTGAGCCCGTCGTCGCTGAGGCCGCCGTACGTGACGCGCGCGCGCACGACGTTCCCGTCCGCGTCGTACTGCGTCAGGCTGCGGTGCTTGCGGTGCTTCTTCGATTTATCGCGACGCTTCGACTTCCCGAGCTTCAATTTTGATTTTGACCTGCGCAAATTTTACGTTTGTTAATTTTTTATACTACTGATTTCTTTAAAACAAAATACCAAAATGGTGTAGTTTTTATTAGTATTTGGTATTATTTAATACACAGAATTACGATTTACGGTGCCCCTAACCAAGCTGTACAACGAGTAACTCACTTGGGCTTAGACGACGATGACCACTCCTTGGCGCCGGCGGACTCACTCGAGCTTTCTTCAAATAACCCTCTCTTCTTCTTAACTTCTGGTGAAGATTCAGCCAGCTTCGGACGTTCTGTTGACAATGTATAATTCATTACGAAAAACGACATAAGCCAATTGTAGAACAGAACATTGAAAGTATCACAAAACAATAATAGACTGAGAGGTATAAAATTAATACGTCCATAAACTCATTCGCCCTAAAGTTAGTACGATAATTCAAAACAATAATATTAGATTAACCTAACCAAAAAATAATATAGTAGTAATAATAACTAGACCAATTTCATAAAACACTTGTTTTTAACAGTTTCTATTCACTCTGTCAATGGTCCTTCGAGCCGACAACTATTCCGCAAATGTACAAGCTTACAACCTGTACACTATGTTTATAACCAGATATTATTTCTGATATACCTTTTCTATGATCAGATCGACACGCCCGGCGCAGCGGTATAGAGTCCGACGAGCGAGAGTCGCCGGAACTGTCGCGCTCTGCAGACGATGATATCTCTTCTGATGACGATTCCATACTGAAAAAAAAAGGAGCATTTAATCACTTTTAACTCTATAACAACATGCTGTACATAATACCTTTTTTATATATTTTTTTCTCTTTAAAAAAGACAACTCCCGCATTAGGAATATATCCTGTGTTGCGGGGGACTTTACAAACATACATGAAACGGACACAAAGAACACCCAAACTCAGAACAACAATTTGTGGATCACACAAAGTGTCGTCCCATGTGGGGATCGGATCCACAACACTCGGCGTAGTAGTAAGTAGTGTGACGACTGCTTAAACCACTACGCCATCTGTGCAGTCAATATAATATATATATATGTATATATACCTGATGGTAAGTGACTACCTCCGACGATGTACACCTACATTTTAAAGAGATACAACTGCGTTTCCATCTTTTGAATTTTGGTCCTGGTTGGTCCACGGTGGTTCTTAATGGCATTAGAGTCTATGGGATTTGGTTGATATGGTTAAACTACAAGTGTGATGGGTTGTAATTACCCGGTATCTTTGAAGTCCTCATCGGTCTCATCATCATCCTCTGAGGGCACTTCGAGCGAGTTCAACTTGCGTGGCTTGCGACGTTGCTTCTTTTTCATTTTCTTTTCTATCGGTTTACCCTGAAATAGTTTAAATGTTATTATTTTTCATGCCTTACATTAATAATTCACTGTATAATTAATTAAACGTAATGGTATTAAGCAGCATGGGTCTTTCTTGTAAACTTTTAAGAGACTCCACTTTAAGCCTGTATGATGACCTTAAATAAATCGACTTAAAGAATCAGATCTGATACTTGACAAAGGAAAATAATAACACGACATGTATATACCTGTTCCATGGCCTCCCGTTCAGCTTTCATCTTCTCCTCCTCGGCGGCTTCGATGATAGTGGAGATATCTTTGCCGCGGCCCTGGTTACCCGCACTCGTCGTTGCCTCTACATACTCCTCCTATTTAGAAAGGCATAGTTATCTCATTGCAAGATATATTCGATCGTATCACAGTTTAATATACGAGGGCGGGTCAATAAGTCCGTGACTTTTTGAATTTCTGACCTCTTTACTGAAAAAGCAACACTACTCCTGTCAACAGGCATCTGTCAGTTGACTCCTGTCAAAATTTGAACTTGCTGCGTCAGTTAGTTTGTTTTTGACAGCTATCTTTATCAGACTACCCAGTAATTTGAGGAAAAAATGGAAAGTGAATTTCGTGTGCTTATTAAGCATTATTTTTTGCGAAAAAAAACCATTACCGAGACCAAGGCTAAGCTTGATAAATACTATGGGGACTCTGCACCATCGATTTCAATGGTAAAAAAGTGGTTTACTGAATTTCGTTGTGGCCGTACAAGCACTGAAGATGCCGAACGTCCTGGACGCCCAGTTGAGGTCTCTTCACCCGAAACAATCGAAAAAATTCACGATATGGTGTTGGCCGACCGAAGATTGAAAGTGCAAGAGATTGTGGAAGCCGTAGGGATCTCGCATAGCTCAGTGGTTTCAATTTTGAATGATCACTTGGGCATGAGAAAGCTTTCCGCAAGATGGGTGCCGCGATTGCTCACAGTTGACCACAAACGCAATCGTGTAACAACTTCACAGGAAGGTTTGGCGTTGTTTAATCGCAATATGGAGGAGTTTTTGCGCCGTTTTGTAACCGTGGACGAAACATGGATCCATCACAATACACCAGAGACCAAACAACAGTCAAAACAGTAGGTTTCTAAGGGTGAATCGGCGCCAAAGAAGGCCAAGGTGGGTTTGTCAGCCAATAAAGTTATGGCGACTGTCTTTTGGGATGCACGCGGGATAATCCACATTGACTACCTTCAAAAGGGAAGAACACTCAATGGGGAATATTATGCCAACTTATTGGACCGATTCAATGACGATTTGAAAAAAAAACGACCTCATTTGGACAAGAAAAAAGTTCTTTTCCACCAAGACAATGCAAGGGTGCACACATGTGCAGTTGCCATGGCAAAAATCCATGAATTGGGCTATGAATTGCTCCCTCATCCGCTCTATTCTCCAGATTTGGCTCCGAGTGACTACTTCTTGTTCCCAAACCTGAAGAAATGGCTTGATGGAAAAAGATTTGACTCCAATGATGAAGTCATCTCGCAAACAAAGGCCTATTTTGAGGACCTCGACAAATCATATTTTTTGGAAGGGATAAAAAAATTGGAGAAGCGTTGGACAAAGTGTATAGAGCTCAAGGGAGACTACGTTAACAAATAGAATGATTTACTTATCAAAAAATCTGTGTTTTATTCCAAAAGTCACGGACTTATTGACCCGCCCTCGTATGTACGTATCTCAGCAGCGGGTTGCCTGGAAACGGCCTATAGACCAAATCGAATAGGTAGTAAATAAAATGAAAGTGAGTACTTAAATAGATAGAGTGTGTAAGTCCACAAAGAGCGTGTTGGCCGTGTACCTTGATGGCGGAGCTGATGAGGCGGTCGTACTCCTGCGCGCGGTAGCTGACGGGCAGCTGGCGGCGCGTGCGCAGGCGGTACACGGCGCCCTCCTCCTCCGACGACGACCACGAGCTGCTCGCGCTCGCTTCTGCAACACCAACACTCGATATAACCATCGCTTAGCTCCTACTCCTCTAGATCATACGAGGATACGGCACGATCTACATTCGAGCATTACCACCACTAACCAGAATTTATCAAACATTATGTACGTTTAAACGGTGCAAAGGTTTGACAAGTTACGATAAATGACGACAAAATTATGATGAACGCTCACGTCACGACAGTAAGCACTACGACACGAATGTCACGTGATCTTGCGAAGGCTATTGTTATGGCGAGTATATAGAACGGCATCGAATTGACGCTTGAGGTAGTAGAGATTCAACAACAAAATATATTTGTATTACGAGAACTATCCGTGTGGTGATGGATTAAGAATTCAGAGTGTTACCACCCTAATTCATTTCGTGGGTATCGTGAGAGGGGACTAAGGCAAAGTGAAGTTAACTACACAGGACTGCACTGCAAAGAGAAGGCCAACTTGACACAAACCTTAACTATAGCCACCCGTCTGGCCAGCATGGTATGTAGGCCAATACCTCCTTTCTTAGAAGATATGTCCTAGGACCTATGTCCAGCAGTGAACTATTAAAGGCTGTTGCTGTGATGTGATGTTAAGATGACTATCATATTAAGATATCATTCATCATTTTCCACAGTTTAATAACTACAGTTGTGGTAGAGCCATGCTTCAGATCAAATGAGAGGCCTCGATCAGAATGATACTAGCATACATAGAACGATACATAAAATAGCCTTACATAAAACGAATGTTAGGATTTTTTTTGCCTTGATTGTCTCCAAGTAAGCGAAGTTAACCGGAGTTCCAAACCTCCCCTAATTATAGGGAAGGTGTGAAGTGGCTATAGATAGCGGTAATTATAAGTTCCCGGAAACCACAACGATCCTGGGTTTGGACTCTGGTAACCTCACACACACAAACACGTTGTTGAAAAACAAGTGTGTAACTGTGACGAAGTATGGCTCTCCCACGGTTAAAATAATTTAAGTCTACTAACCACTTGACTTATCCTCCTTTAATCTCTCTTTCTCTTCTTCTGACTCTTCTTTCTTCACCGGTTCTTCTTGTTTTTTCCGTTCTTTTTCAGCTTCAACCATTATGACTAGCTCATCTAACTTCACCAGTTCTTCCTCAAGCGATGATATTAACATCTCCTGAAATTGAAACAAACCATCATTATTTATAACTGCTAGATAAGTAAAAGTAACTAAGTTGTGTATTATACTTTGTTAATAAGTTACATACATAAGTTTAAAGTTACCGTCTATGTATATAATTAGATAAAAAAATAAATGGGCAATTAAACATATGTCACACATAAATACACACTGTCGCATACAACCTGATATTTTGTAGCCAAATTGAGGTGGAGATAACATTTCTCATAGAAATTAAACAATTTACGAATAATGCCACTAACAACCTCTGGCTGACAGTGGATAGTTCTTATTGCATTCGAATATTTTAAAGGGTTTAGCATGAGGGTCATTTATAAATTACGTCATTCGATTTTCACGGTTTTTTCTTATGATTTTGTACCACACACCCACCCCTTCCCTGGTCACATTTGAAGAACATAACAGTACCCATAAGTAACTAAGTTAAACACTCGTGTTGAGTCAGAAGTTATATATTAAAATTGGTAGTTTTATCAAGGGCCATAAGTCGTAAAATAAGATAACTGACGTGGTTGCAGGGCGGACAGAACCACAGCCCCTCGGGCACCACAAACAGCACGGGCTTGAGGCAGCTGGCGTGGTAGCCGGCGTCGCACTTGTCACACAGCAGGATCCACTCGGGCTGCTCTGCGCTGTTGCACCGCTTGCAGTACCCGTCGTCTTTCTCTGTGCAAACGGACAAACAAATTCCGTCATTACGAGGTATTAGAATTCGCCCACGGCTTCTTTTTATTCCCGGACTAAGTATTTGTAAAATTGCATAAAGATCTGTTGAGTGGTTAAGACGTGAAGATGTAACAAAACGAACATAAAAACTCGTATACATAATAGACAAAAATAACATTTATAAGATGACAAACAAAAGACTGAAAAAATGGAATTTATCCCAAAGAATGAATGGGATTAAGAACTCAACATACTGTTTGTAAACAATTGTGTTCACAAACAGTATGTTTGAGCTACAACTCCTTACTTTGTTTTGGCATAAACCTATTCACATAATAATAATAATTAATTATTTGAATTATACTTCAAATAATTCAAATCTTGAATTCATAAATACCTTCTTGTAATGTACGTGCTCTCTTTAACGGTTCAACGGGCTCTCCGGTTTCCAAGTCAGATTCGGGCGAAAACTCGTGATCCGATTTATTAAAGTCCGCTGTAAATATAAATACAAACATTGATTATTACTTGCACATTAAGATGGACACCAGATGATTCTAGACGTTATAAGATCGTTCATTATAACATTTTATCGTTCGTTAGTATTTGTCGAATGACTTACGTTCGGGTTCTTCATGCAGTTCAAACAGTGGTTCGTCAGAATCGGAATCAGGTTCGGGTCCGGTGGAATCAGATCGCCAAGCTGGGGTGTGACGTCGCCGCCTGGTCCTGTCACAGCTGCTTGCACCCGAAGCCACCCATTCCTCTTCTTCGTCGTCGTCTTTATTCTAATAATAATACAATAGCACAAAAGTAAGGTAAGTTAATCTAAACATTGTTATTGTTTTACAATCTGATCTCTCTCGCGTAGTTATAAACTTGGCGCAAAGCCCTATACGGGCTTAAGAGTAGTGGCCACATACAACTCGCCTACTAACATAAAAATTATTAAAAAAAAAAACCTTTTGAGAGAATGGGACGTAAGACAGAGTAACATTATATCTTAGAGTTGTAAAAAGCTTGCTTAGTTCCTTCTTGTGTAAATAATGCAATAAAAATCATACACTTGATTAGAACATAAAAGCAAAAAGGTTTTTAATTAGAATGTCAATAGAATGTTGATTTCAACATACCTTTTTCTTATGTATCTTCTTCATTTCTCTCAACGCTACTTCTTCCAAGTGTCTCCTGTCAGCCTCCTCCTTTATCTTCATCTGGGCTATTCGGCGGGATTGTCTAACGGGGGCTAAGTCAGAATCCTCCGACCCACGGCCAGATTTTAATTTCCTTTCATCTTTTATTTCGTTCTTTTCTTTAACCTTAACTTTGGTTTTCTTTTTTACCGGTTTCTTGGTATTTTTCTTACCAGCTGAAATTGTAATAAATTATGATATTAATATGCCTACAACATATGCATATATAGATTCATAATGCCTTATATCAGAATAAACTCATTGCTTCTCCAGTCTTAGGACGGTCATAAGGGTATGCGGGCCCGACCTCTCCCTTTATTTATGGTGCACGGGGCAAAGGAACAGATGGATCTACCAGCGCCCATGGACACATCCCTTAGAATTAACCCAAACAAAATTACGAAAGGCGTAGAAAGATAATGTTACACATAATGCAAAATATTATTCCAGTTTAATTATACCTAACAATAAAACTTAGAACTTAAAAATAAACCTGCATTAAGGTAAATATCTATATATGCTTCATGAACTTAAAAGTTCTGCACCGAATAAGATATAAAAGTAGTAGAAAGTAGTAGAAGTATATAAAATAATGCTAATACCTATACTATAGAGAGTCTCTTCCTCAGATTCATCACTTGAAAGTTTTTCCCGTAACTTTGCCTCTACCTTTTTTCTGAAAAAAAAAACAAAAATGATCATTTGAAATGCACATTTATAAATACTATTTCGAAGTAGTAATCGTCTTTGGATTCTTTTTTTAATATTACCTTGTGGACGTTATAATTTTCTTAGGTTTAATTTTAAGTCGTTTGCCACTAGAGATAGGTTCATCGTCTTCACTTTCGCTCTGAGATTCGGATTTGTTATTACCACTGACTGTGGTATCTAATAACGAACGCTTTAAAGATTTACATTCTTTCTTACCATTGTCATTAGCAGTATCTTTGTCACTATTCTTAGCTACATTCCCGTCATTTTCTTTTACTATGTTTTTTCTTCTAAATTTACCTTTTTTAACTTTTATTTTCTTACGTTGCGTTATAGGCGTTTCTATATTATTTACAATGTCTTTCTTGGTTTCAATGTTATCTACATTATCTCCTATTTCCTTGGAATGTGTGCTTACATCACTCTCTGGTGTAGTTTCTAGTCGTAGCTTTTTAGGAGGTAAAGGATCTTCTATTTTCACATCTTTTTCTGGACTTTTCTCTTTCTCATTATCTGTGTGAACTGTATCCTCTTGATCTACAGAAGATACACTACTTTTTCTTTTTTCTATAATACTTGTTTTACTATCATGATAATTATCAGTCTCTGAGTTAACAACTTCTGCATTTTTTATCTTAAGTTTTCTTGCTGCGTTAGATTTCTTTTTAACTTTACTTCTGCTTTTTTTTATATTGTTTTTCTTAGGATTTTCACTATCTGTCACACTCTTGTTATTAACACTAGGCTCTCTGTTTAAGTCATTTTCTACTTTCTTAGTAGAATTTGACCCATCAGACTGTTCTATATCACGAACACAGTGCTTCTTAGAATCTTGGTTTAATACTTCTGTGGTATCATTTTGTTTCCTCAAAGACCTTTTTGTGACTGATGATATACTCCTTAACTTAATATTTTTCTCTACTTTACTTTTATTGCTTGAATTTGACAGTTCATTAAAATGTTCACCATTATTATGACATTCGTCATTACCATTTTCTGCTGCCGAATTTTCTTCTGGACTCTTTTCTCTTTCGATCGTCTCTGGATTGCCAGTTTCATTATCATACCCGTAACCTTCGCCATAAAAATACATGACTGGTTCTGATATTTCGTCACCAATAATATATGACGTATGAAAATCAGACCATGAACTTTCACAGTCAGCCCCATCTCCTTCACCAGTGACAAGCATTACTGGTTCTTCTATTGCTTCACCTACTTCACCATCTTCTGTTAGTTCTTTGCTATTCTCATCTACATTGTCCGTTTCTATAGTTTTATCAGGAGTCTCTTCTCTACTTGAAGCTATCTGTTTTTCAGGTGTTACAGATCGCTTTATTGTATCTAATGTTTCAGGCACTTCTATAGTGCAACAATTTTCTGATTGAACAGTTTCAGGGGAAGATTTTGTTTCAGAGGAAGATTTTGTTTCAGTGGCATCAGGAACATCTGAAGTTTCACTTTCCTTATTTTCTGGAACTTCAACTTCTATGGGGTTTTTAGTCTCTGAGTCTGCAACTGGATCTGAAAGTGGGTCTAACAGTGATTCTTTGCCTTCTTCTTTTTGTTCATCTACTTCATGATCTGATTCAGATTCAGGGCTTAGGAACTCTTCTTCATTTTCCTCTTCTTCAACTTCTGATGACTTGCTAGGCTGTAAGTAAATTAAAAACTTAAATATTAGTACTTTAAAGTCAACTAACTAGACTTTAGTTATTTTATTTAATACTGACATGATGAGGGTAAAAAATATTTACAAAAAACTTACTTCTTGAGGTACTAACGCTTGTGAAGCTTCAGCACTGCTGGAGTCTTCGTTGACAGTGGCTATAAGAGGACATACCTCTTCACCACTTTTTAATTTAGCTATTACATTCACCAGCTCATCCCTGCTTCTGTAATCAATGTTTTTTTTTATTTAATATAAACCTAAACTTAATTTAGAACAATTATATAGTTGTAAAAGCATGAGTATTTTAAGCTCTTTTACTACATTTTTTATGAAAACATACTTATTTTATGAGAAAAATGTGTGAAAATATCATACAGTCAAGCTTAGTTTATTACTAATCAAAGAGTTATAAAAGTTACTGGAATAAGTTTCAAATCTAACAGCCATGTAATGTATGAAATTAATTTTTTTTTAATTTTAACCAAATATTGTTTTACCACCATACTTCTTTGTATATAGATTCATATAGATTCTTTGTATATATTATTAGATTCTATTAGTAGTGACAATTTAATCTACTCTTCATACTTAAAAAAATAATTTAATGTGATGGTGACATTTTCATACAAAAATCATGAGAAATGCCTTTTAAAAAAATGTATTCAAATATTTTAATAATAAGATAAAAGATACCAAATATAACAAATATGAAGTTATCAATATTTAAAATAAACATCTCACAAATAAGAAATTTATTTTTATTCTTTTAAAATACAGTTTTAAATAGTAGTTTAATTCTAAGACTGTTAATCGTTTTTTTATCAAATAAGCCTTCATAGCCTGTATGTTGTTCCTTACTACAAATATTATTTTGTTGAAATCATGAAGCAAATAACTAAATATTTTCTGTTACAAAGTTTCATTTTAAAAATTGAGATTAGTTACAAATACCAAATTAAATCTCCATGCTAAGAATTTTAGGCTGAATGCCTAGCTGCCAGTGAACCTATTATTAAAAATAAAAAAGGTGTATACCAAATATCAGATCAAAACAAGCTCAAGAGGAAGGAGGTAAAATTTTAATTATAAAATAAAACCGTTTAAAAACAGGGGACTTACCTAGCCACAAGTTGCCATGTTTCCTCATCCTGATCTTCTTTGTACAAACACAAATTAGCTTCATGATCCACTTGGAGCCAGTACACACAGCCATTCTTATCCCTGCCTATAGGGTCCAACCTCAAATCACTGCACGAGATGGCATTGACATTATTTTTGAATTTAGTGTGGCAAGTGAATTGATATTCTAATAACACCTATAATGCACATATTAAATATTTAGTATTTAATAAGGAAAATGTGTACACATGCACAAACTGTATTCATATTCTTCCTATGGATATAATATTTTTATTATAATAACTGAACTTACAATTGTCTATTCAATTTCTAGTCATTTTCATCATGATGATGATAAATAATAACTGATGGGCCTGTTGCTCTAGTGGTAAGTGACCCTGACTGCTATGCCAGAGGTTGTGGGTACAATTCCTACCCAGAACAAATAATTGTGTGATGAGCACAGTCATTTGTTCTGTGTCTGGGTGTACTTGATCTATAATTTGGTTCAGACTGCAGTGTGTGAGAATATTTTATTATCTTTTTATTATAATCACTGAACTGGCAATTGTCTTTTCAATTTCTAGTCATTATCATCATGATGATGATAAATAATAATAACTGCATACATCTCACACAAGACAGTCTGATCCCAAATTAGGTACTATGGTAACCAGGCTGATGATTATAATATAACTACATAAATTAGTTTTTAGTAATTTTTGAAAATAGATTAGAATTTGCTCAGTTAGTATATATTATGTTTTCAATATGAAGGAAGATGGTAATTATAATATTTATAAATATATTTTATATAGACAGCTTATTTATTTACATTCATAAAAACAGTTGACATAGATACGTAAGAATGCAAAATATTTGGCTACTGGCCATAATTTCCTCAATAAATAAAAATGAAAATAGTCATTGTAGTTTGAATAAAAAATACAGTGATGTTGGACCAAACAAAAACTCCTTTAGTAAAAAGCACTTGACAGTGTTACAAGCATGAATCATTTGTGAAAGTAGTTATAACTGGCATTAAATGAGATTTAATGCAAACCATTTTGAAAAAACTGTGTGGGCGTAATTACCTTCAAAACTTTCAATTTGACCTGTGTGCTAGCTTTTTTGTACGAGAATCTCTCTATTTCCCAAGCCTCCTGATGGTGACCTTGTTGATGGCAAAACTTTATCATGCATCTCTCCCATCTGTCACTCGGCACCGACTTCTGAGCACGACGCAATAATCTCAAGTGCAGTTCCTTCAATGGATCCAACACTAACAACAAAAAACTTATAAGATGTTTGTTTATGATTGGAGTGACGAATGTATGAAATTACCTTACCTTCTTGTGTATTCTCAATGAATTCTTGCAATTTAGTTATCGTAGGTATGTCTAAGCCATACAAATTGCCGAATGTTTTTAAAAATGAGTAAATAACAGCGAAATTAGGATCATTCGCACACGAAATTTCACCATCGGACGCCATCGTCAGAACTTAGCAAGCTTTTTCACTAAACATCACTAATGGTTCTAAATACAGATATATGGGTATTTCACTTATAACTAAAAGGAAATTGTAAAACATGTACATGATTCACGAAAATATTTTCATTTTATGTGCACTCAAATTTATTTTCATATTTTACTCTATTATAATAAAACTCGATGACAGCCATCGCTCCATAAACTATTAAATTGCTTTTTTTGTAAACAGTCGAATGACAGATAATACTTCTCTGGCAATGAAGCATAGACTATCGGCTGAAAACCTTTCAATGAAACAAAACTCAAACACTTTTTTACTTATATACTGAAGAAATAGAGAAATAAAGTGCTTTTGGAAGTAAACCGCCATAAGTAATCGGAAGTGTAGTAATTAAATTGATAGAAGCCACATGGTTTGTGTATAGTGTAACGGCTGCTGTTATACACCCAGATTCCAGGTCCTCCTCTAGAAGCCTGAGTGCGGGTATAACCTCCAGATAATACACAGATGCACTAAGACATTTTAAAAGCTATGGCTTTATCATCTGATTTGAGGGTGTATATAGGTTATGAGTGGAGATCTTCTCATAAGGGATTCACTGCCTTCTTTCATGATGATGTATTGTCATTTCTATGCAACCTTGCTACGACTCTTGCTCTTAATTATTTGTCGGATGCCGTGCCCAAAAAACTGGGTAACTGATGAAGGCAAATATTATTGTAACCCCCTCTTTAACTGCCTAGTGTAGTAGCACGAAGGTCCTGTGGGAGTGTTACAACCAAATGGTCAGGTGGGTAAGGATGCTAATGATAAGAGGCTGTTTACACGACAACCTCTACTAGACTAACTGTCTGTGTTTGGATCGGCTTGCGAGAGCTCGTCGTCGATTGGGATTATTGACAGTTGTTGAACATAGATCAAATTGACATAGATTGTTCCCCAATACTCAATTCAATATTAGTTGAGCAGTCGAGATCAACATTAAATCTTAATGCTCTACCTGTTTTTTTTTTTCATGCATGAATATTTACTAATACTGTCATTAAAAGAAAAATGAAAAGTGAGCACAGCACAAACAGCACATTGTGCACCTTGACGTGTGACGTGTGTTTTGACTTTTATATAGTCTGTAGTCACTGGCTGAACCCATTGTAAGCAGTGTTGCCAAAAGGTTCAATTTCTTACATTTTTCAAAACTTTTGTCACTTTCACAAAAAATACTTACATGGCACGCGAGTATCATGTACAATTACGTAAGAATGCAATTTTTTTAAGTTTTGAGAACAACGAGATTAGTACTACTAGATTTTTATTACAAACAGTTTACGAACGCATTCAAATTAAACATACAAAAAACAGCGTCTAAAATTATTAAGTAAGTAGGTACTACGTCTTTCACTCCATATCAGTGATCTGGAGTAAAATACTTTTAATGATTTTGCTTGAGCGTGTGCGCGCATGTTTCCTACTTCGCGAGTTGGCGTCGTTCACGGCTTCGTAGCTATTTGGCTAGAATAAATTATAATTTAAAAAAATAGGTTGTAGGAACAAGTAGGAAATAACATTCTATTAGTTCAAAAAGAAAAAAAAAAAAACAAAACTGAGAGAAAATTATTGCCTACTTTTTAGTTCGGCTAGCTACAAACGCGTGTATTTTTAAGACTATAATTTACTTTTCCTTTTTTAGTCATTAATGATTATTACACAGGCCTTAGACGCGCCATGGAGGAAAAAACTTAATCCTAAAGGTCCTGATCTCAATAATAGGACAAACTATTTAAAAAATTGCATTATCATAGATCCATCATAAGTGTGCAAAGTTTTAACTTAATTCGACGTTTTTAAGGGGGGCAAAATCATACATAGATACATACATAGCTAATAAAAGCGTGTTAAAAAGAAAATAAACTTGGCTCATTGTAATTTGTTTTGTTTAGTAGTATTGTTTGGTAAGTTCATCGTTATGGTTTTTCAAATTATCGTGATGCAAGTGAATATCTTAAATGTATTAAGTATGTATTAGGTACTTAACCTATTGATAATGATGCGATAATATGAGGGAGCATCTTTTAGGTGTTTGAATAACTTCTCTTTGACCATTCCGAAATCAATCAAACTTCCGTAAAAGATTTAGGTTACTATTGTCAAAGCTCGAAAAGTCGTACTATGTTATGAACTGATATATTTGGGTGCTATGACATACTTGGGTGTCACATTTGACCATAAGCTAACGTTTCAGGGCCATATAATTTCACTGAAAACATTACACTTGAAAAATACTATTCATATATGTAGCCCACAAATTTTCTTCTCGGTTGTCTAGGCTATAATTCATTGGAAGCTACGGGAGGTGAACCAACTTGCAAATATGTGTAAAATTTTAAGATAGATAGTTGAGACCTTCATGATGAATTTTGTCGATTGTTTGTGCCCTAAAAGTGTCGATTTTTTAAAGTGTGTGAACTACCTTCGCAACCGGGCTCATATGTTGTTTGCCGCAACATGGCGCGCGCTAAGTCACCCATGCCGCGCACTCTTTGGATGGATGAGCAAATATAATATGCCGATATTTTTATTATCTTGTTATATTTACATAGGTACTTAAATAAAACTTGATTTTTGTAACTTTTGCATCAAAAATGAAACATTTCAGGGAACGAAACGTAATTCACGACTCAAGGCCCCTGGCAACACTGATTGCAAGAAACGAGTGTTCGGTTTCCGCGGTTTCGTTTACTTATCATTATTGAGGTTCGGTTGACTGATTTGTTTCTTAGTTTTAGTGTAATTATTTTCAATTTACACCATGTCTTCAGTATGTTGTGGAACAAAAAAACAAAAACTGAACAACTCGTACAGTAACAATATAGAACGACCTTTGAATGGTTACCAAGAGTCCGTGGCTATTCCTGATATGTGTTACTTTTGTTTCGATGTTTTGTATTGTCAGCTGCACAGTATGGACCCTCCCCAAACGCCAAATTTTACTAACGATGCCTAGTAAGTTGGTTCAGTCTTGTAAGTATAACTTGATTGCTTGCATGATAATATTTCTTGCCTTGTCTTAGGCTTGCTTTGTCTGCTTACTGTAAATCTTTGTCCTAATGAGGTCAACATTGTGGAGGTCGTAATAGTAGATTTAGTATCGAGAGATCCTTGATACGTATTTTCGATTTTAATATTTTTATGAATAGGTAAGTCTAATTTAATTGTTACGCTTACGACACTCATAAAAAAAAATGATTTCTTTTTTTATTTGCGGTCAATACACTCACTATCGAATCACTTCCAATAATGTTTATGCTAAATGTTTCTTTGTCACAAAGTGTATAAAGCTGATAATGGCATATACATATTTGGTCAGTTTATCTTATTCTGTTGCACTTGGTATTTGTACATTATATTTAATCTTGAAGTGTGTTCCTGAATATTATAATATTTCTTATTTACAGTCCATTGTTTGTGACATGGAAAATTGGCAAGGAGCACAGACTTCGAGGTTGCATTGGAACATTTAATGCAATGCATTTACACTCAGGTATAAATGTATATTTATATTTATGCAAAGTTTTTAATTAAGATATTATGTAGTTAATTTTTCTTGTCTTGGAAAATTCACTAGTAAAAGTTTCAACTGCCCATGCAGTAATAAAATATTACACATTTACATTACATTAGAAATTCAATATGTTTAAAGGAATGTTATTTTAAATCCTTTATAGCTTTTACTGTTTAAAATATTTATATTTATCATCATCATCATCAACAGCCTATAACAGTCCACTGCTGGACATAGGCCTCTCTTTAGAAAGGAGGTTTTGGCCTACTATACCATGCTGGCCAGACGGGTTGATATAGGGTTGGTTTCAAGTTTTCCTTCTCTTTGCAGTGCTGTTGTCCTGCATAGTTTGCTCCCTTAGTTGTCTCTTACGACACCCACGGGATGAATAGGGGTGGTCACATTCCGTATTAGATAAAAACGTTTACAAACAAATTTTCTTGTCTTCATGTTGGTAACAACTTAACTGAAATTTTCAGCTAGCTTGTAGCTACAACCAACTGTTCACTTACAATTTACGGAAGTTAACTAAATAATTATTAATGATGTATGAAACTATAGATAGTATAAATACAAAAAAAAAAAACAGACTTTTTTGTAGCATTAATGTAGTAGTTGAGTTAGACTTGCAATAAATGGTTCCAAGTTTGAACCCATGTAAACATTTAGCTTAACAATGGAGTTTAAGAAGAATACAATCCCTTAGTAACTTGTATTAACAGTATTTTTACTACAAAGCGAGAATTCGTAATTTTCAAATCAAATGTTTGCCAACTACATAAAGTGATGTTTATGTAACATTGTTTTATAAAAATGCAACAGAAACCCAACCAACCAGGTTTATTATTTAAGTATTATTTACAATATGCAATAAACTTAATACAATACTGAAGGTAATCATCACAAACTTGGTTATAAAATTATTGATATAGTAGTCATTTAGCGTTAATATTGAAATTAATGAGTGAAAATTAAAAAACTAATTTGTTGCTTTACAGATTGTAAACTTCTGTCATTAGATATTTACTCTTGAAGTTCTGTTAATATTAAATATAATATATAATCATGGCTTGAAAGTTTGTTTTTATTTCAACATTTCAACCAATTTTAGTGTGATATATTTTGTATGAATTATGGTCATAATTGATAAAAAGAGATACTTTAACTTATTTTGGACTAAAGTATCACAAGTTTAATAATAATTTATAAAATAAGTATTAAATATAATTTATAAAATGTGTAAAAACATATAAGCCTCACCCCTCTTGTATTTAAGGGCCATAATACATATACCATGTAAATTGGCTGATTGTATTTTAATTTATACAAACCAAAATGTATCTGTGTAGTGATTGATTAAAAATACCGAGTGTCACCACCCCTATTTGTCCTGTGTAAACTATGTGTTTGTGTAAACTACACAGGACAACCACACTGCAAAGAGAAGGAAAACTTTAAACAAACTCTATACCAACCCATCTGGCCAGCGTGGTATAGTAGGCCAAAACCTCCTTTCTAAAGGCCAATGCCTGCCAAAGGCAAGGCTAGGCCTATGTCCAGTAGTGGACTAGTAAAGCCTGTTGATGATGATGATGTAACCAAGATGGCAAACAAGTACACTATTTGTTTAGTGGTGAAGATAATACACAATAGTACCCAGTACTGTACTGATTAAAAAATACTTTAAACTAGTTAGTTAGCACAGAACCAGCAATGCACATACCCTTTGTGATATGTTTTGAACTAAGTGTAAAATATCCATAACACAAACAGAAAAAATAGATCGAACAATTAAACCTCAATTTTGAAGTCAATAAAAAAAAAAAAAAGTTGGTTACACTACCTAAAAGTTTCACCTCTTGCCAGGTCTCCGAGAATACGCGATAACCAGTGCTCTCAAAGACTCGCGCTTCACGCCTATTACAAGGGAGGAAGTCCCGCGGCTGACGGTCTCCGTATCAATCCTTCAACATTTTGAGGAGGCTGAGCACTATTTAGACTGGAAGCTTGGCAAGCACGGCATCAGGATCGAGTTTATTAGTGAACGGGGCTCGAAAAGAACTGCTACTTACTTACCTCAAGTTGCTACCGAGCAAGGTGGGTTTAATCTAAATTCGTATTCACTTAATCCTTATGTTTTATTTAATCGTTTTGTAACCGGTATTCATTTAATCCTTTTGTAACCGGTATTCATTAGCTATTAACGGTATACGGTTTTACTTACGTGTGTATATCGAAGGACTTGTTCCGGACTCTTTTTCAATCGTCCTGAGCCATGACACGAAGACGTCAGACATCCCCTATGTACCGTATGTACCGATGAGTAAAACTGTATATTTAATAATAATATTTTGCTGTACAATGCTAAAAGTGACTAACTTTCTTATTTGTTCTGTTCTGAATGGAGTACGCTTGAAATCGTGCTAGAATATGTCATCCTCAGAGTACTTTGACACAGACAGACAGACACGAATGAACTTCGATTTTTACGTAGAGCAACTGCGACTGCAGCAAAGTTCTGTAGATAGACTATTGTTGACTTAGCCACGAGCCTCTCTTGCGTGTGAGAATGTGTGTTCTTAAAAAGCCTAAGGAAACCATACCAATATGCGTTGTGTATGAAATAGATAAGTTTTTATCGTTCTAATGTTCATAGATGATTGATTGACGTTCGACCAATAATGTATGAAATGATGGCGGATTAATAGTTGATCAAAGGTCGAATTAGTGAAAAAAATACTCTTCAGTAGCTTTTAAAATTATTTAGCATCGATTACGTGTAAATTGAGTGATGTAACAGATCCAATTGCTCTTCTAGTACATAATACTTAAGATGTTTGGCTAAAATCATTTTTATACCAGAGTAAATTTTGATTGGTGTCCGTTTCATTTTACGTAATTTGGTTGATTATATCAATTGAACAAAAAATAATCTGTTTTAGGTAATAAACTACGTGACTACTTGTTATTCTATGAATCATTTGTATTCCATGTTAACCAACATTGGATTATTTCGCTATTGGGCGTATCCTTGTACGGAACCTTGATATTTAATTGTATTTGATAAAAATCAATATGTTGGTACTGTTCAAATGGAGGTCAAATGTAAAAAAAAGTCTTTTATCGTTCTCGAAACTAGGATGATCACGGTTGCAGACAATTTGTGAGTTATTGTGATGCTGTCATAGAATCTCGGTTATCTATGTTTTTGTCGTGAAATGCAGTAGACGCAGCCGCAATTATGTTTAAGAAACAAATCTTATACCTACGTTTTCTCCACTTCATTCCCATTACACACTAAAACACAGCATTTCAAAGAAACACTTATACTCATTGAATTTCAGGTGTTTTTGTCTGTGCTTTAATTTAAATATAGACATTTCAAGGTCATGAACCGTACATTTGTTGCACCGTGACTTGACTCCTTATGTACAAGATTTAGTTTTCCGTGGGAGACCGGTGAACCATTCTTTTGCATACATGGGCCGGTTCGACGGAGTGATACAACCCCATCACTGTAAACCGGTGTTGAGAAATACTTATCAACCTATCCTATCAACTCTAGGTGGTGGCGGCATCTAGGTTGGCTCTCTCTCTCTGTTGTGAGTTGTAGGTGTCCATTGGAGTCACTCACTATCAGTTAATGTCTGCTCGTTTGCTCCCATAAATGATAATAATTTTTGAAACAACCAGGCCCAGATGTCACCTGCTTTATTGCTCTTTCGACTAAACTTTTTTTTACGTTATTTATTTATTTATTTATTTATTTATTTATACTTTATGCACAAATGTGACACAGGCGGACTTAATGCCGTAGGCATTTTCTACCAGTCGACCTTAGGGCGATGCAGAGTTAAAAAAATGGTAGATGCACAGAAATTAGAAATGTGATTTAAAAGAAAAAAAAATCAGCATAGAGATGATAGGAACACTGAAGTCTTGGGGTGATGAGGTTAATGAAGATAGAAAATAGAAGAGGTGAAAGAATACCGCCTTGTGGGACGCCAGCAGAAAGACCGCGCCAGCCAGAGGAAGAATCTTCCGTCCTGACTGACTGCTGACGATCCTGAAGGTAAGAGGAGAACCAGTCCAGTGCTTCTTGAGAGACCGAGAAATGGGATAGGACAGCAAGGAGGAGTTCATGACTGACGGTATTGAAGGCATTGGAAAAATCAACCAGTACCAAGGTAGTAACCTTAGCATTCTCCATCGCCACCTTAATATCACCAGTCACTTTAAGAAGAGCAGTAACCGTGCTATGGCCTGGTCGAAACCCCGACTGAAGAGGACTCAATAAATTGTTACCATAAATAAAGTGGGAGAACTGTTTGTGGACACAGGCTTCAAGCACTTTGGAGAGGAAAGGCAGAATAGAAATGGGACGAAAGTGAGTGGGAAGAGACGGATTGGAAGTTTTAGGTAATGGGCGTACATACGCTTTCCGCCACAAAGATGGAAATGTGCCAGACATGAGGGAGAAGTTAACGATATGGGAGATAGCGGGGAGGAGGTGGACTAGCAATGTCGTGATCATTCTCCGACTAATGCCATCACAACCAACCGCTTGGGATTTGATAGATAGGACAATTTTCTTAATCTCTCCCTCTGCGACCGGACCAAAGAAAAAAGGACTTAAGTTAGAACGCGGTAGACCATTGATGTAAATAAGAGTATCATGTTCAGATTGACTGTCCAACGTGAATGAGGTAGTGAAATGTTGGTTCATGGAATCGAGACTTATGGATTGAGGAAGGTCTACATGTCGCGACCTGCCGATACCAAGAGTTCCAAGGAACTTCCAGATATCGGCAGGGGAGGAAGAAGAAATATTTTCAAGAACATGGCGGCGTTTAGCATTCCGTATCATCTGATTACACCGATTTCTCGCAGTCTTATATAGTTGCCAGTTGACTTCGACACGGTCCCTCTTATACGTTCTGAAACTACGATTTCGGCGTCTCATGGCCATCCGTATACCCTCGGTCATCCAGGGCGCCGGCGGCCGTTTAACTCTTACCTTTCTAACCGGTGCATGGGTATCATATAGTGTAGTCACTACCTCGTTGAATATGTATACCTTGTCATCAACAGCAGCGGCATCGATCAGTGGTGCCCAGTCAATACGTGAAGCATCATCACTCAACTTCTCCATATCCATCCGCCTAAAGCAACGCCTGTAAAGGAACTTAGGTTTGGGTTTTGGGGGTTTGAGGACGTAGGAGAGGAAAATCAGGTCATGATGAGAGAATCCGGGTGCGTCTGGTTGACCATGAGAGGAAACAAGGGAAGGGTTAGAAGTGATGATTAAGTCTAGCCAAGTGTCCTCGCCGATATTATTGTGGTGAGTGGCATGTGATGGCAGAACATGAAGGCTGACTGACTCAAGAAGGAGTTGGAGTTTACGGGAACGAGAGGAGTTTTGATCTAGGAGATTGGTATTAAAATCACCCATGATGACATAATGAGCATACTCTGTACCCAGAGATTCAAGAACTGATTCGAATTCAGTGAAATAGTCAACAGAAGGGGGACAGTAGACAACACCGAGCACCGCTTTAGCGCCCTTGACACAAACCTCTAGAAATAGAAATTCAGCACAGGCAGCAGCAGGAGAAGTTGAAATAATTTTGTAGGAGAAGTCACTGCGTAAGTAAATGGCTACGCCACCTCCCCTCCTCTCCGTCCGGTCATTCCGGATAAGAATAAAGCCCGGCAGAGGGTAGGAGGTAGAAAGAAGATGCGGCTTGAGCCAAGTCTCGGAGATCAGAACGGCATGAACATTGGCATCACAGAACGCCTCGTATAAATCAGGAAAATGGCTAGGGACACTTTGAGCATTGAGATGACACACATTAAGTAACTGGCAGCTTTTGTTACTGTTAAATTTATTGCATAAAACAGTACCGAGAGTATCTGTCACGGAGGAGTAGCTTTCGTCACTCAAACTGGTATCAGATTCACGAGCAGAAACATAACATTCACTATCCGAAGACATGAACTCAAAGAAAAAACTATAAATATATATATATAAGTAAGATAAATAGAATTATGAAAAATATATGTATATTAGTTAATTACGTGCAGATGTTTTGGTACACGGTTTGTATCTCTGCACCACCCGCCAGCTTACATCACTAGAAAAGAAGAAAAAAAAAATTCATTCAAACTTTTATTTTACATCTTCATACACTTATGTACATCGGCGGACTTAATGCGCTGGGCTTTCTTTACCAGCCAACATTTAGGTGGTGTAGAAATCTTGTAGGGTAGGTGCACCGATGTTACAATTGTACTTTTCTATTACAGGATTGCGATTACGAGGTATATTAAACCTTTCCCCCTCGTAAAAACAAACTAACAAAATTGGTTTCTTTGTCGTAAATTTGTTTATTAAGGACCGAGCAATGCAAAGTCTAATATGTATTTAAAGAAATTAAAATCCATTTAATTACTCTAAGTCTATATGAAGTTTCCAAAAATTGAACCTAACAAAACACTAATTTAAATATTTACAGGTTGGGACCAAATACAAACAATAGACTCGCTATTACGAAAAGGCGGATACAAGGCTGCCATTACAGCAGACATGAGACGAAGCATCAAGTTAACCCGCTACCAGTCGGAGGAGATCTCTGCGACCTACAACGAATACATCAACCAACGCTGCTAGCAAATGGCTTCTCCACCCGCCCTCGGGTACTCACATAACAATTTAAGACTTGTCTATCACGGTAAAACCTACAAGCATTATCATAAGAAAATATATCGGAGTTATACAAGTGGGAAAAGTGGTTACAAATATTGTGTTAATAATAATTTAGTTTCTAAGTGTACGTCTAGTGTCCAGTATCAGGTAAGGCTATGCGAAGCGCGTCCAGATCTCACCGCCTTCCAAAGTACAATGAACAGTCAGAATTTTGCTCAAAGTGAGTTGACGAGCGATGAATCGTGTTCGATCAAAATGTTACGTTAGGAACTATACTGCCAATAACATTCCTCTAAGAACATCAAGGTGCCATCTTAAACAATTATAATAATGCTTATGAATTAATATAAATAACTTTGACATTGCAATGCGTATAATTTATCGATAGTGTTACAAAGTGTGATCATTTCTAAATCAATATGTACGTTGGATATCTCTTAAGGTATGTTTTAGTATGAACACTGTTTAGTAAATAAAAAATTTATGTTGAACAATTCATGCAAATTTCTCGGCTTTTTTTTAAGTTTTAATTTACACCTTAGAATGATTGCATTATGGTGATTACTGATTTGACTAAAAATAAGTTATGGTTGATTTTACTGCGATAAAAACTTCATAATTATGATTATTAACATCCAATACATTGTCATGGTTTGAACAAGTCAGGACGATGGAAATGTCCACTGATTTACCAACCAAAGAAATGTCTAGTTAAAACAATGAAATGAAAATGTTCAAACATAAAATGGAATCAACCTGGCATGATATTATTAAGTTTGACATTATCATAATTTCACAATATTTCTGATTTTATTTTCTAAAAATATTGTTGTACTGTGTACTTGTTTTTTTTTTTAATTAGGACACAACTGCAAAAAGAAATTTATGAAGGACATCAGTGTAAGTGCTATAATACTTCCAATAACTTCATCCTGTTTCCTGTTTTCTTACTGTCAAGTGACAGATAAGTTTAAAGCTTTTGTCAGTTTGTAATATTGTTGTCCTCACTATGAATAAGTCAATTTCGTTAAGTTTTTACGTTTACCTACTAAAATCGGTTATAACATATTTTGTTAGTCAAATAAGCGTCACCTGTATAAATATTTGTATACTAAACAATGTTTTGACTAAAATTCTACCTAAATAGGTTCCGTAGGTGTTTAGAATACGTATTCTATATCATAATAATCCTTCATTCCATATCGGCAATGCACTTTGAATAAAATTTTGATTTGGGTACATTAGGAAACAGTCTGTATTTACGTTTTCATTGTTACTATGGGTCTTAAAAAAAACATTGGTTAGTGAATATATGTAATTTGACTCATGGTTAGCTTGTAAAAGTTTCCCATGCTTCCATAGAGTTTATCCAACAATACTTTTTAATTTTAACGTCATGGTTACAGTTTCGTTGCATAATAAGATCTCTTTAGAAAATGTTGAGCCTTGTTGACTTTACCTCATAATGAGATCTGTTAGACACGCAAGCCGCAAAAAGAAATAAAAAATAAATTCTTTTTTCGAAAATAATAAATTTGAATAGAATATATACGTTTAAAACCTATTTCTCCACTTAATTGTTAACCTGGCTACTTAAAAAATCCAAGAGGAAAAAATAGAGAATTTCCAGATTTCCCCCAAAATATGAATTTCCGTTCTTTTTTTATTCTTATTCTGTATCGAAATTGTAACTTTCAAAAATATACAATTATATTATTCATCTAACCGGTACGACAGTATACGATCCTTTGTTCATTATTCAAACCAAAGTATGTACTTACATGTGACATTGCGACGCCTAAGTACGTAATCCCCTGTACCTATCATGTTAGGAATTTAATCTTAAATTAGAAGTTATAATGTTCGCGAAAAAAAAAACATACATAATTATTGTAAAAATTCTAAACAAAAAAAAAACAAATAAGCATTATGAAAGTGAACAAAAAAAGTAAACATTTACTTTAAGAACTCATCTGTTATAGAGTGTAAGTGTCTTACTTTTATTAATAATTGGTAATTATTGAAACGAAACATTTGTTATTGTGAATCCTTATTACTTGACATTTTAATTGTTGATGGATAATGGGGAAAAGTGAATAATATTTCGATAACTCGGTATCGAGAGGGATCAAAAGTTGAATATCAAAATTTCAAAGACTTTGAAAGGAATAATATTTAAGTACCACAGATAAAGTTATACATATTATAAGAGTTGTTTAGAGTGACAATTAATACCTAGATATCGAACTATTGTTGTGTTTGTTGGGAATATTATGCGGTTTGTTGGTAATTGTTGCAACACCAGGAGATACGTGGTTGATTTATGTATAACAATGGCCATCAAGTATATTGCTATTTTCTGTTTTAATATATTTTGAAAAGAGATGTTTATTTATATGTTAGTCAAGTACTAACAGTGCGTAGGAAACAAAATTTTAAACAGAATGTTGCTAATTCTGTTGTTCGAAAACTCTAAACTGGATTAAATCGCTAAAAAATTTTTTGTCGTGAAAAAAACGTAGTCCTTGGCAGTTCTAAACAAAATTTAGTGTTTTTTAGTTTAGTTTAGAGAGTTTTCGAACAACAGAATTAGCACCAATGTCGAGTTATTTCTTCTGTCTCAGTTGCAAGTGATAATCAATATTATCTAATCAATATTATAGAAAATGTGGTGCTATTGACACCTATCTTTTTCTGATTGGGTTTCGATGGGTCTCAGAGTTAGAACGGTAAATAAATTACGCTCTGTTCAAGGATTTCACTTGATGTAATGTATGTTAGCTGAAGTTCCAACACGTCAGTAGTTTATTGCATTTTATTACATTCAGTAATGTACCCTTATCTTTGTTGATGGGGTGGAAAATGTGGCTCTAGCTCCTTGGAGACCTAAAACTATCCAGAGGGTCGGCCTCAGGCCCTACTCTGGGGAGGACCCAGATCGTTTTATGTGCCCTAGTATACCTGTGTCTATCTATATATGCATTATGAATGTTTAAAGATTACATTTACAATTAAATTGTGTTGTACAGAAAACGATTCAATTAATAAACTGCCTTATCAAACTAATAACAACATACATTAATAAACGGTCCTAAAATTATCTGTTTAAAAAAAGCATTTGAGTAAATTGTTTTAGTAGAAAACGATTTTTTTTATTGACTTTGAAATTTATATAAATGGGTACGATTTAGACTGGCCTGTTGGGTTAGTGATTCTGACTGCTGAGCCAAAAGTCGTGGGTTCGATTACCATTCAGGACAAATAGTTGTGTTTAACCTCATAAGTATGTTTATCAGCAGTCTGTTTACCATAGTACAGGCTTTGCCTAATTTGGGATCACACAATCGTGTTTGAGGTGTTATGAAAGGTTACCATAGGTATAGTTATGACCTGTTTGTAGATTGGATTATTTCTGCACAACACAGTGTTACTCTACTTTATTAAATTTTTGAGAACTGATTCTAACTGTAAACTATAAAAAGTTCTGAGTATACAGGTTATAGAAAACACATTTGACGAATTCATATGTTCTTGTATGTGTTTACTATTAAATCGTTATTTTATATAAAAAACGTCTCAAATCTGTTTTATTTTACAGAAACTAGCAATATTCTTGGCCTTATTTAATGTTAAGTTGTGGTAGAGTGTACTGCCAAGTTTTATACTGCTTGTCTGCTTAATCGTAATTGTATTTTGTAGATTCAATGAGAGGAGGTTCGAAATATTATATTAAAAATACACAGAGTTTAGGAAACTGTCAGTACCCTAATTATTTGACAATAAATTACCCAGTCACAAAATCGACTAATTCTTTTCTGTTATCTATGGACTAAGGTCTGCAGCACCAGAGGTCGAAGTCTTTATGCTGAAGTCATTCTAAATCTGAACCTAGGGCATACAATCTCTAATCTCAATCTCTCTCATAATTGTTAAATATAGTAGTATCAGAAGTGTTGGCTGGTATAAGACCTGTTCAGTAATCACGGAGTTACTTTTATGGTAGAAAAAAAATAGAAGTTTCCATTTAACCATGAATAACTCTGTTTAACTTTTCCATGTCCTCTCATTGTAATCAATGCATAATTGTCCTCTAGAACAGCTAGAAATTGCAATATTAAAATAGTTTACAAACTTGTGAAACAAGAGTTACGGTCGTTAACCATACTATTCAAGTCTTTCTGTGTACATCTAAGCACATACATTTATTGAGGCACTTTTTGGCAATCTTAGGACCTTTGATCGTGGTCCGTTCGGACACACTGTCAAAAGATTTTGCATTTTATTGATGACGTCTTTGGGTTCATTTTGTTTTGCTCGTTGTAATTAATGGCAATCCGAATACTTTTGTTTGTTGAACTGTGAACAGTATTTTCGTTCAGTTATGAAGGAAGCAAACTTCGATATGAAATGTATGTGTTTAGAGATCCAACATAATGTGTATTTTCAGCAATATTTGAAGTTCATTGTAGTACGAAAAATAAACAATTATGCAGGTATCTATATAAAACGTTTGATTTAAAATATAAAAGAATTTCTTTCATTGATCTAAACAACTTGTTGGTTTGGATGGTTTAAGCGGTCACCTCACCACTTCCTACTGAGTGCTTTGGGTTTGATCCCCTCATGGGACAACACGTTGTTTGCTCCACAAATTGTTGTTCTTTTCTTTGTGTTCGTTCGATGGATGCTTTTGAAGAACCCTGTGACACAGGATATATTCCTAGAGTGGAAGTTGTCTTTTAAAGAAAATAAGTTAAAGAATAAAATATGATATGCTTTGAAGGAAGATAGAACTGCATATACTATACAGTTTTACTGTACCATAGTCTGTTGAAAAGAAATCTAACTTAAACAAACAGAAATTTAAATATCACTAAGTTTAAAAAAAAGTTTCGGTGAACTCACCTTTTTTAACATAAAAAAAGGGTTGTTTACTGAACCATAAAGGACGGGCAATTAAACGAATTCAAACATTAACAAATAAATCTATTTACAAACTACATTATCCATAAGTATTTAACTATTATCAGCAGTGTGCTTTGCTTCAATTTCCATAATTTTCATCCTCAGTAAGTAGATGTTCCTCATTTCGAAATACGTCAATGCTGATGATATGAACAGTTGGCTCACTGCCAGGAATGTGAGGGTTCCAATAAAAGGTTTGGTAATTTTTCTAAGGAACTTGAACATAACTCTTGGACCGTGAACAAGTTCTGGTATTCTTGCTGTGTTATAACGGTTGGCTAACTGTAAAACAAAAAGGGCTGAGTTAAATATGGTGTTTAAAATAATTATGAATCTCCTGGTAACAGATAGGCGATGTTTAGAGTGAGTTGTGACTTGCGGCCTTGTTTCCAACAAGTTACAGATTATAAATTTAGTAACAAAGAGTTAATAAAATAGATTTATACAAACCATTAAAGCAGATAGTGGTCCTAATACCATCGGGTATCCTATTCCTAAACCAGCTTGTATGGCACCTGATCTGAGTTCGTAACATATTGGACAAGTTTCTCTCTTCATCAACAGCATATCTGTTGATACCAACTGTAAATATAAAATGTCATTGTAGTATGCTACACAATTTAGACAAAAATACATGAATTTCAAAATGATTACATATTATGAGACAATAAGACTAGCTCAGCATAAGATGAGCTCAAAACAACAAACCAGTTAAGTTTTTTGTTTCAGAACTTGTATTGTTGCAGTCTAGGTAAAGAAATGTTGCAAAAGTTTAGGTAATAATAACAAATCAACATGTTTTTTTCTATGTTAGAGGGGGCAGACGAGCAGACAGGGGCACCTGATGGAAAGTGACCATCGCCACCCATGAACGTCTGCAACTCAGGAGTCTTTTAAGCAGGAGTACACTCTTTTCTTGCAGGTTGTATCGGTCACCCTGTTGATTTGCTATTATTACCTAAACTTTTCCTGTATTTGTATATAGGGAATCGATTTGTAAATTGGGACCTATCCATGATTATATTTATTACTAGCTGGTACCCGCGACTTCGTTCGCGTGCCTTTTGAAAAAGCGATGCCTTAGTGTGTACGCGACTGCAGTCCATGAGGGCTCAGGTTCCATTCCCAAAATTTTATATGGTTTTTCTAAGAGCTAAGTTACTCCGTATATAGACAGCTACTTGGTAGTAAAATATTATCAAAATCGGTCCAGCAGTTTTGAAGCTTACGCGGAAGAAACAGACAGACTAAAAACATTTAAAATGGTATTTTTAAGTTGGTGTTTAGGCATAGGTGTTGTGTAGTAACCATGTGAGCATGAAAAATCCTTTTATTTTGACATTACAAACAGATACTTCAATTTTATTTCTTTGTATAGATTTAATTTATTTGAGGGTACTAGTGAAGCCCAAAATCGATCATAGTGGTGTGCAATGGGAGAGGCCTATGTCCAGCAGTGGACTGCGATAGGCTGATGAAGATGAGGTTACTAGTGCCCTACACAGATTGTGATAACAGTTGATTGGTCTTTACACAAATTCATCTTACATCTATATATTTAAAATTAATTTGTCTTGACTTACTGATTTATTGAAGAAGTGCCTAAACTGCTGGAGCTACTAACTTGAAATTTTGACAGCTAATGCTTTTTATGGTGTAAGCACCCACTAAGAAAGGCTTTTTGGAATTGTAAATAGATGTGGAAAGAAATAAGGGATAAATGGTTGTATGAAGGTCCATCATTTTTAAAGTTAGAAACACAAAATAAAGAAATAATCAGATGAGAGCCACTGGCAATAGGTGGTTAAAATGAGATCACAATTAACTCCTGATTTAATTTCTATTAATTTCCAGCCACCTCCAAAGTCCGAGCTCAAATTCTAGACTCATCACATCCCTAAAGTTTTATATATTGTATTATATGTGTATATATGTATGTACATCAATCACACTGTTTCTGCCCATCTTAATTCTTATTATCTCATTAACATAAAAAACTTAGTATACCAACTCAGACATTTCCCCATCACCCAAAGGTATACTAGGAGAAAATGACTGTGACATAAAGTCCACCATTATACAATCAATTGTTATTTGTGTAAAAAGAATTAATTTAAAAAAAATGTTTTGCAGATATTCTATATACTTACATGTCTATGAAACATAGCTGTCAACAGTGCAGGCATAGCAGAGATAGGAAGCACAGAAGCAAAGTAACCATATGTACCCAGTTTGAGTTTCCCTCTATAGAATCTGTTTATCATTATGCCTGATACTGCACTGACTCCTCCAAGTATATAAGAGGCATATCGCAGGGCCCATCTAAAAACAAAACAATTGACATTTTCACACTCAATTCTTTAACTGCCTCAGTGGTGCAGTGGTAGCTTATGCGACGTGCTGAGGTCTCTGGTTCCATTCCTGGGTTGGACCAAATGTTTGTATGATTTGCAAATATTTGATTGATTTTGTGTGTTTTCTATTTATATACATATTATATATTTTTACAAAAAAAGTATATAAGTATTCTATCAGTCAAACTAGCTTTCATAGTACAAGCTCTGCTTAGTTTGAAATCAGATGGCGTTGTGTGTTAGATGTCCTAAAATATTATTACCAATTAGCCTATTGCTACAATTATTAAATATTTAAGTATAAAGATTGTTTATTTTTATTGAGTATAAGGATTGTTTTAATAGGTCTAGTTAATAAACTGACTCAGGTTAAATTTGGCAAATTCTGTTTGTATTAACAGTTTCAAGTAATCAGGAATTGTGGTACAAGCAGAGCAGTTTAATAGAATATATAACAAAGCCGTTAAGTATAATAATATTTAGTTGAACTTACACATCCGCTGTGTGCTCCCAATCCGACACTACATTCCAAATATACTTGGTAGCCTCTAGTTCGTCAAGTACAACCGCATCTTCTGGTATTTCCTTTCCTCTATATAGCGCCATTCTTCACAGAGTTTAGACTTTATATATTACTGTTTACAGTAAGAATAACAATCTAAAATTGATTGATTTTGATAACCTCACATTTTACTTTTTTGACGTATGTCATAAACAGCTGTGCTTCCGCCGCTTCGAGGGATCATAGACTAAGCAAATATCTTTCAAATTAGCAAATTTCTTATACAATGGGTTAGGCGACATGTCATGTCGCTCTTTCCACTTGAATCCCCTTTTTTCTCTATTGAAAACCCTCATAGGTGATACCTCACCGAGGCTATCGGTGGGCCGTATGTCGGACTCATACCGACCAAAACCACACGATGTGGTTTACTGCGCTTGAAATAGGTAAATCGTTGGAGCTGCTGCGGTATGTCCTCAACGATCCAATTAGCGCTAGCCCGCGGCTGGCTGAGTAAATGTGACTGTTGTACAATCCCCTGGGGATTGAGTCAGGGGTTTTAAGTGGAAAGAACACGATATGTCAACCTTCTAAAATCCTAAAACCTGCGAGTTGACACTCTCTTGACAGATGTAAGGATCACACTTGCCTGAATGTATTTTTACACCTTGGGCAGTTATACCCCTGAAAAAACAACTAGGAGTCAGGTGAACCATTGAAGTAGATTCTTGAACAGATTTGGTAGTTCATCGTTCAAAATCGTCAAGAGTCAAAACAACTTAGTTTCTTTTTTGTACAAAAAGATCATATAAAAGGTACTATTTACAATATACTAGGCATATCTAAGAAAATAAATTCGTTATCAATAAGGGTCTTACGAATAATATGAAGGTTTACGATTGCAAAGAGTATAATAGGAATTTTGTGTGCATAATATTTATTTTAATAACTCAAGACAAAACACTAACAAACTTTAGTACTCTAAAAGCCGCGGGTTAGATGCCCGTTCAAGTCATTCCATGAATGTGGTAGAATATTAATATTATAATATTATTATTATGTAAGTATGCGAGGAGAAATTTGCCAAAACTTAGAATAACAACATCCACCATGTTTGGGAACAATTTTTTTAGTTTGCAGTTGTTTGTTTTTTTTCCATACAAAACTTTTTACAGAATTAGAGTGTGGACGTACAGGTGACTTTTGTCATTCTAGTCCGGACTGTGAGTTTATATGAAGGTAGCGAGGTGACTAGTGGGTGACATTTTTGTCCGCCTACAAGTCCGTGACAATAAATTAATTTATAGTAGTTCTTATAGCTGAATGACGCTTAGGGCCTGTCCGCCTAGTGATATTTCATCAAGGTTTTTATTCTCGCGTATCATATTCCGCGATCGGAAATACATACTGCGAATTAAATTTCGAAAGATTTTTGTGAGTTTAATACAGTTGTTGGCTGAGACGCCTTTCTATATGGAAAACCAAACTAAAATTTTAATTTATCTAATACTATGAGACCTTAATGTAGACGTATCAAAAGATGTCACAAACATGGAATTCACCCATTCAGGGCATTGAGTTGAGATTACGCCGCCGTAGTATTAGACAAACTAATATTTTAGTTGTGTTATCCATTGTCATTGGTTTGCACAAACGAATAAACAAACAAACATATCGCATTCTAAATGCATATACTTATCTTCACCGTCGTGTCGTGGGTAAAAAATGTATCGAGTCTATCGTTTTGACGTTTAATAAAAGATTCTAATTTGACTTGTCTGTTTTGATTCCTGATATTTGTAGCAATAGTCATTATCAGAAAACAAAACAGTTAATCATGTAAATCCAGTAAGTACTTTGTATTATAACAAAACAATGAGGGTATTCGATACTTTTTCAGCCACCAGACGGCGCTTCGTATGCGTCAGGTCCAAACAGCTGTCAGAAAGCACAGATTCTTACCGAACGTATATTTTTTAGTGAAATTCTATGAATTTGGAAGTGTTATTGAGTTTATTATGGACTACGGCCAGAGAAAGGTTGCCGAACTGAAGATTGAGCTCAAAAAGAGAAGCGAAGTTTTATTTGCACACATAGGCACTCTACAACACTGTGGCATTTTAGAAAACAATTTTCCTTTTGTAACGTTTTTAAGAATGAATAAACCAAAAAAAGTGATCGAACAATACAAATCGTGTATGTGTTTTGACAGGTGGTTGGACCTGACGCTACAGTGCTGCCATCTCACGTGGAACATTTCAGAAAACCCTCATTACGGAAAGGATAATGGTATTTTTTTAAGTTTTAACATAGAATCTGCTTTTTATGGTAAGTGACCGCCAGCAAGTGCACTGCCGCCCCTCCAGTACAGGTGCTAAAGTATAGCTTTATCAAAAGTGGCTATATAAAAAAAAACATTCGAAGTAAAAGTCCATTTCCACAGTAAAGGGAGCCATATTCTTGAAGCTTGATACTTATAGGTGCGGAGTCTGACTGACCTGGTAATGTTTTTTTTTATTTTTATGATACAGGGGGCAAACGAGTCACCAGATGGAAAGTGACTCCCATCGCCCATGTAATTTATTTAAATGTAAATAAAACTAAATTAAGAAAAAAATTGTTTATTTTGTCTAACTATCTATTTTTAATGTAATTTTAATAAGATAAATTGTATATTTTTATATTAATAACTACAAGATTAAATTAAAAACCCTATGTTAGCCATGACCGTAGCTTGAAATTTGATCTTTATTTAATTACCTACCTAAAAAAAGTAAGTGAGAGTCTTTCACTTGCACACTAACTACCATGTAACAAAATTTAACATTATATACTTTTTAAATATTTTGGTAAAATCACTAAGCTATACATTACAAAAATATGTAATTTTATTAGGTCACACTTTGTGAACATTACAACCGTTGTCTCAACAATTATCTATACTTACGGCACCTGAGACAGATCACTGACACTGGACATTGGTCCAGCTAACAACTCCTAACGTTACCTTGTTACGTTAAGCTAACGTTCCTTTACAAAAACCGTGATTGTTCAACAACAATCGCGGTTTTTGTAAAGGAACGTCTTATTTTTTTTTGTTGTAACGGTAAAAGAAATCAATGAGAATTATTCACTCACATAAAGTATTTTTGGGTAAACGTTTTTACTTATAATACCGTCTTGCTCAGGGACACGATGAAAATGTTCTATTTTTTTTTATTTTTTCAAATGTATTTCTTACGTATTTAAAATTGCTTACAGCAAAACTTACAACAAACTTAACGTAGTTGACTATTTAATCACATATTATATTAATTAATTATTTTAAATAAATATACTCAATGGAATTATCCATTAAGTATATTTATTTAAACTACTTCTGACTAAAACATTTTGTTGTATACGGTAATAATTATATTACCGTATACAACAAAATGTTTTAGTCAAAATTACTTTTACAAAAATGTTATTAAAATACTGATAATATGAAAATTTGAATATACAACATAACTTCCTCCATATATAATATGAAGCCTCGCACACTCATAACTTCACATCACATTATCAACAGCCTTTTATAGACATATAGTATATAACCCTTTAGACATAGACATATGCCTCTCCTAAGAAAAGAGGTTTTGGCCTACTTGGCCATGTTGGAAAGACGGGTTAGTATAGGGTTTGTGTTAAATGTTCCTTCTCTTGGCGCTGCTGTTGTCCTGCATAGTTGGTTCTTTTAGTCGTCTCTTACGACACCCACAATAGGAATGGTGACACTCCGTATTCTTAATCCGTCACGACACGGATTATCTCACACATTACACACTCCTAACCTATCTATTTATTATTGCTTTTAACGTAATAATTATAATTATTTATTTAATAATATTAATGACACAGCTCACACACGCCTGTCTATTTCAAAGCTAGCTAGAGCCTGTACTATTCAAAATATATACATTTTATAGATAAGATACATCCAGGCACAGAACTAATGATCGTGTTCATCATACAATTGTTTATCCCTGGTTTGAATCGAACCCACGACCTCTGGCTTAGCAGGTAGGATCTGTAACTACTAGACGAACAGATTGCCCATGATGAACTTTTAAAGACATTATGGCAATAAAAGTTTTACCTCAAGCATACAAAACATTGTAAGACTCACCAGTTTTCAACATTACTTAAATTTAAAAGTAATCGTTTCATTTTAATTTTCTAAGCATACAAATGTAATAAGGTTAAACTTATTTTCATTGAATAATAAATACCCTTGTACTTAAATACACCCTGTATTCATCAGCTATCACATCGTTTTTTATATAATTGTCTCTTTTAAACCTAGAATTACCTAATACCTTTGTCTCTTTCGTCACAGTCTCGTAGAGAATACGCGTTGTGTCTTGATGTTCTCAGTTACTCTTTTGCCCCACTTGTCAGACACCAGTCTCACTATGAAGTCAGGCGCAAAACAGGCCACTACAACGACGAAGTTTAGAGCCCAAAACGATAATGAGCCTAGAAGTTTGGTGTATGTACCTAATACGTCACCGTCAATTTGCCTGTAAAATGTAAAAAAAAAACTATATTGTTTTAGAAGTTCTTAAAATAATTAGCAATAACAGCCTAATGCAATCACATCACATCAACAGCCTTTCATAGTCCACTGCTGGATTTAGACCTCTCCTTAGAAAGGAGGTTTCGGCCTACTATACCACGGTGGCCACATGGGTTGGTATAAGGTTTGTGTGAAGTTTTTTTCTCTTTGCAGTGCTGTTGTCCTGCGTAGGTGCTTTCTTAGTCGGCTCTTATTCTAAATCCGTCACCACACGGATACACTAATGCAATCCTTGTAAGAAATTACTTTGTCATTGACTTTTTACTTGAAATCATTATGGCGACTCTAAGTTTTATAGATAGTTATAGACTAGAGAGCGCTTTCCGTCGGATTTGAATTTTCTTTTATTTAATTAATAAGTATAACTAGAACTATCAGTGTACCTATAGCCATTTGTACTACGACAGCTCAAAATATATAGTGTTAGGCAATCGTAGTCACATAATTTTATACTTTATAAACATTAAGTATTCCAATACATATGACACGTTTCCGCGTTATATTTCTTTAGAAAGAATTTTCTTAACGTAATAATATATATATATGAGCACTTACCAGTAGAACAATGAGTATATTGTGTTGAAAATCATATAGACTACCATAGACAATATGATGGATGCGACGAAAATCAGCGTGTGATAGCGAGCTTGGAGCCACAACTTGAGACTGACGATTAACATCATTAGGTGGAACAAAGCTGCACCGAAAGTCCTAAAAATTGAATAGAATATTAAAATATGTTCTTTGTGTGTTTGAAATAAATGAACTACCTAAAGTCTTAATCTGCGTCCTAAACTCGGAACTTGTACCACTACAGTCACAATATTATAGATTAATTCGATTCAGTTTTGACCGTGTTGTTTTATTTACCATCTTAATTTTTTTTTCAATTTACATTCCCCGATTATTCAAAGGTAGCTTAACCGATTTGTGAAGTAGATAAAACTTCCAGGATTGCTCCATTGCTCAGGTCAGGTTCTAACGAAAAGATCCTAGAGAAACCGAGAGAAAGTTTTAAATATTATAGACAATAGACTTTAGGGGGTTGTATTTTTTCTTCATATTTAAATGGGACCAAACGGGAAGGAGGCATACCCCATGAAATAAAACAAATTATATTCCAAATCGATTCATGAATGACAGAGTTTTGAGGTAATTAACTTACAACCGAATTGAGAACGTTTTTAAGTCGGCTAAAACTAACAGATTTTTATGTTATAACACTATATTAAAAATGTTTTTAAATTTCTGTTTCTAGTTTGAATCTTACCACAAATCTACGTTCTTGCCATCCGGAGTGATGATAGACGGGGCGATCAACAGCTTGGTGAAGAAATATATGATTAAGGAGTGGTAAGTGGCCGAGAGGCACCACATCGAGAAATGTGACCAGGCCATCAATTTGTTGTGTCTTATGTCTCGGTACAGTGTCGGGTTCCTGCAAATAATTTATTGGCTAAAAGCAGTGGCTACACTTACACACTACACACTACACACACTACTTCACACACGGCAGAAGTGAAACTGCCGATTTTTTATTTTTTTATCTCAGAAATACCTTATAAAATTTTGCCCGGCCCAGGAATCGAACCCACTAAGGCAGCGTTTTTCAAATTTCACAAGAAACAAAGTCGCGGGTACCAGCTAGTATTAAATAAAAGATAAAAATATTCACACTGCCAAAACAATATATTAAAAATAATGTGTAAGGTATTCTATCTCATTCTCTCGCCGACTTTATCCTCTACATTTATGTGTTTGTTTCTTTATCGTGACGCATTTTCGTTTCATCGAGTTTTAAATCACAACGATTCTAAAAAAGTTTCACTTCAGAAAAGAAAACGAAGCTACAGAAAAATATATCTTACACATAAATTGCCAAATTGGTATATTATAGAAAGCAATATCTTACTAGAAAATTTTGGGAAAAAATAAGAGAACAAAAATTCATGATGGCGATATGCGTTCATTCTTCTCTTTATAAAATTTAATGAATACTGTTACTGTACTTAGGACTATTTTCTGTTTTACTTTTTGTAACCTTTGATACTTGGACGCAAAATATCAAAACCATTCTTTATGAATTAAAGTCATGAAATAGACAAGTAAATAATATATTACTTTTTAAATGTGTCTATTAAATTATTAGTGTTGTTATTAAACCCTCCAGCTGAGTTCATTTCACTTGCTACGAGTGGGTTTACATCCAAAAGATGTCTTACTGAAACCTGTTCCCAGCTTCCTCCTGTTTTAGGCGTAGGTGTGCAGTACACAGTGTGGTCGAACCGGCGGCGCCGCCTCGCAAATACACTATTTCCAAACGCACAAAAAAAGGAGTAAGTGCTCTGAATGAGGTCCGAACCTACAACCACTTGATCGCAATTAGATGCATTAACCGTTATGCTACCGTCGTTTTGTTGTACAGAAGGCGTCATTTAAGACCAAATTTTTTTACTAGTGCACACAAGTTAGTTCAGCAATGGGTTTCAGGAAAAATCATTCCCTCTATGATTAATTATCACCAAACAGTACAGTTACAGTACAGTTAGAAAAAAATAATACTATATATTTTTATATATCTATATATACTTACTTGAGCAGCAGGTCTGCAGGCCACCTCTGCTCAGTGACGGAAAGTATGAGGCACGGCAGAGACGTAAACGCGAGGTTATACAACGTCAGGTACATCGAATCGTAAATCGACTGCGTTGAGAACACCGTGTAGATTTGGAATATAAACTGAAATAAAATACACACCTATATAAACTATAACTAGATTATTTTTTCACTGGGACATGTTCAAATACTTTGATGTGAAACATCTAATGCGGAGGACAGACCGGCTGCTACCCACGTCACGCTGTTAACTTATTTTTAATTAATTAATTTTTAATTGTACTATATTTATTATTTCCTGTCATAAGCTATCCCTTTATACACATTATTTCTACAAAATAATATCGATGTTTCACATCTGTTAGACGACCCGAGATTGTTTTTTTTGGTGTGGAAATAAATACCTACAACATCGCTAAAGACACGATTCCGTTTCCTGGTCCCTATTTCACTACAAGATTGTCTCTCATATGGCCTATATCTCATACATCCTAGCTTCTATACCTGGTGAACCTTTTGTTCTGAAATAAACCTTCAGCGTTTGGAAATTAGGTTCTTTACAATGATCAAATAAACTTTCAAGGTCAAAACACCCATCGGTCATGATTTTATAAAAGTTTTCTTCTTTGGTCTCCAGAGTTAACGGTTAACCTACGGACCTACACATTGACCACATTGACGACATGTTCTCTGACTCTGTTTCTCAACTCATAACTAAAAAGAGATATTAAACTCACCATAATATTTCCCAAGACTAGATTTTTATAAAAGAAATAATGTATTAAAGTTGCTAGTCTCTGGTAGTACCAGTGTCCCATCACTAGTAGGATTTTCTTCACCATAGAGAACTTTGTGAAAGCAAAGTCTGCAGACCTGGAAGGATAAAACAAGAGGCAAATAGTTAATCATAAATTATGTCAAATTAATATTAATATTATTTCAATACAAGTAGATATCTACAACTGTAGCCTGCCGAACTTCAAAGAAGTCGCCCAGCGATGTATTACAGCAAATGATTTTTATGTATAAATAACTGTTACTTACTGTTTTTACTTACAGTATCGTTTTGGGATAAATCCTATAAAGACACTGTAATTGTTTTTAATAAATAAATAAATAAATAAATGTCTCTATTTAAATGACTTTTGGTATTCTTGAAATTTAAATTTGCAATTGTAACCTAACTTCATTGGGGTTGTTCGAAGTCATTTAAAACATTTTCTTAAAAGATTTGAGTATGAGAGTATGTAAAGAACTACCGACTCTTAGTAGTATGTTTAAGTATAGTCTTAACTTCTGTCCACATCTTAGCTCAGAAACAAGAAGAACGGTTAAAGCGAAAAATCTTATAATTATGTCCACGATGCTTTTATGCGACGTTGGACGATGCTGATTGTGAGAACGTGACATAAAACATATGTTTAGTTACCTGGCAGCCTGGTACCCTTCCTTGCCGAAGATGCCAAACCCAACGTGTGCTTCTTGTATCATGGAGATGTCGTTGGCGCCGTCACCAATCGCAGCCGTTATTGGTTTACTCGGACTGTTCTTTATTAGACGTACTATCTGTAATCAAATACAGACTAATAATGTTTATAGACATTTCAGCAAGTAACCTTTTTTTTTAGTAGGTACAGGAGCAAGAGATCAGACGGGTCACCTCGTGATGAGTGACCACCGGCGCCCATTTACAAATTTATTTAGGTGTCGGAAATCCCCTCGAATACCACTCACCGGTGGTTGTATCGGACATGAACCGACCAAAAACCGCCGTCTCGTGTACCAGTAGCCGGGGAACCAGGTGTACCCCAGGCCATCTACTACCTGTGACCCCTCGTGACCCGTGAATCACGGTGTTCCCAATCCTAAACCTAAACACCACAGCGCGTCGCACCGCCAACCCGGCCTGCTTCTGCTAGGGTGACAGATGGCCTCACCTGTCATCCCAGGCCTGCGCTTAAGTTCGTTCTGCGCCCTCCGACCTCCGACCCGGGAGAGTTCTGAATTTGTCCCGGTCCCGCTCCGCCGTCTCCTCCGCAAGCATAACTTGCTCACAGAAGGAGACGGCGGAGTTCCAGGCGCTCTCACTCAATATGGGATTAATCATGGTACTAAGTAAGAGAATTCTACTCCGAGGGTCACCACGAGGTCACGCCTCTGCTCAACCCGCGCCGGGCATTCTGTCAGCGGGTGGAGCGCCCTGTCCACGGTCCGGCCATATCAGTAGTGACACCCAGGCGATGGCTCGGGTGCCCATTGCATGTAAAAATCTTCCAAATACTTATTTCAAAACCACACTAACCAATGTTCATCACAAAAACTATTTTTGTCTGTAATAGCAAAGTGTTTAAATACAGTCACTGTATTTGTATTTGATTGCAAATTCTACAACTAAAAAGTAGTAAAAATACAACAATTACCTTTGCTTTCTGTATTGGTGAGAGTCGACAGCACAGCACGGCTTTACATCTGATCGATATGTTAACGAATACTGCTGCAGCTGGTCTATCCAATATTAAACTCATGCTCATTCCGTCGACGACCAACGTCAAGTCCTTATAGGTCGGCTCGCAGGTGATTCGTACACATTCTTGTAAATGCGCCTGTAGCGCTTCGTTCGTTTCTATACCTACTAGAAATATTCTTCTATCATTTTCGGAGATATGAGCGCACGACTGAGCGACGTTAATAGCTGTTTCTATCTGAAATACAAAAGAAGACTTGAAATTAATAGCATACTATGAAAGTGTTCTAAATGAATCTTTTCATACAAATGTTCTTTAAAAAAAAAGCACAAAAGTTGAATGTAACTACATTCAATTTGCACGATACCGGGGTTTGAGGTGAAAAGAGAGAGCATCTCCCCCCGCTGCCTGCTTACCTCACTTCACATGCCCATATTAACGTAGCGATTAGCACATTCCTGAGCTATGCATTGTACTTGCTCATTGAACTAACATATAAGTAAATAAATATTATATTATATAATTTATGATAAATAATTGTGCACGAATAAATGTGGAGACCAGAATATATCACGAAACTCAATTACATGTTGGAGGGCTTTGCGACTCCAACCGGTCTAAAATTTATTGATGACAAAACATGTATATTTTTGTCATTGTGAATTCTGAAAAAGTATAAAGATATTTGAAGGGATCTTTATTCCTTCGATTGTCCATTTATTAAGAATGGCAACAATGTTATTATATAAAATTATAACCCAGAGAATCGAGTAGTTGTGATATAAAAGACATATATCTCAAATCGGTAATTTTATTATTTATAAATGGGAAGTAAATGTAAAAATTTCATGTGAACTAGTTAATTTGAGGTCAGACGGAATTTAATTATAATTAATCTCTTCTTGACGAAACATCATGACATGATAATTATACCAAAAAACTTTTTAAAACACATTTTTGTTTGCTCGTGCTGATTGAAAAAAATTGTTTTATTTTTTGTTCTTATCCCGTATAAATTTCTATATTCCATCGTTTTGCCTGAGATTAAAAACGTTGGCGAATTTGTACCTACCGAGATACATTTGAAATCTTAAACATTTGAGCAAGTGTAGTTCAGATAATGTATAAAGGTTGCTTATCTCATCATAATCTAAGCCAAAGTCATTTTATAGATTATACGTCAAAGAAAATAATGGATTGTAATAACTCGAGAAGGCAGGGTTTCCTACTTATTCATTAACTTCCGTTATTCTCTTATTATATGTGATGTAACTGGCTAGCTGTACCCGGTGTTCGTTATTTTAAATTCCATTTCTGAATTTAAAATAGCCTTAGTTAAGGCGAAAGTCCGTTCAACCATTCGGAGATAAGTCAGACAGTTTTTTTATTTTTATTAAAAACAGATACCTTTACATTTTTTCTTTCTTTCTTATAGTTTTTGTCTTATATGGATTGTTTATTATATTAGTATGTATAATAAGAATAATAAAACCACACACACATCTCTCACATGGTTGTTTGATCCTAAACATACTTTATATTTCTAAATACATACCTATTATACAGACAAATACCGAATAATTGTGCTCCTCACACAATTACTTGTCCTTGGTGGGAATCGAATCCACGACTAGACCAACAGTCCCGACGAATTAGTTTCAGTCACCTCGCATTGAAGACATGTAGCGCGCAATTAATATACATAGGCCCTTAATCGAACTGTTTAACCTGTGATTATTATTAGGAGAGCAAAGGAGGTGAGGTGTTACCTTGTCCCCGGTGAGCACCCACGTGGCGATGCCGGCGCGGCGCAGTGCGGCGAGCGTGTCAGCCACGTCGTCCTGCAAGCAGTCCTCCACGCCCGTCGCGCCCACCAGCGTCAGCTGCCGCTCCAGGACACGGTACTGCTTCGTCACTTGCTGCAGGGCTTCCGCATTCCGGCCGTCAAGACGTTTTACGGCTACAAATAATCCCATTGCTTTTGGATAACGGTTGATTATGTACCTACACATCTAATACCCGGCCAGTATCGAGTTAAAAAGTAAAATGATATGAAATTATTATAGTCAGGATAACCCCAAAGCTTTTTGTAACCAAATAAAAATCGCTGTTGAGCAAAATCGCTGTTGAGCAAAATTGCTGTTGAGCAAAATTTTATTTGTAAGCTGCTGTTAAGCAGGAACAACGGCATACCAGATACCGGTATATTTAAAAACACAAAAAAATATCTATATTATCTATAGGAATTGAGATGAAACCAAAAACGCTCGCTAGCTGCTGTTCACGCGTATTACGCTGTTTGATGGGAACCACCTTCGCAGACTATGAATTTGTGCAGTTCCTTACATAATCGTCCTTAGACTACTTCGCGAAACTACCACATGGCCTGGCCGATGAAGGCATGTTCATAACAGAACCAAGTCTAGTAGGTATAATAACGCAACAGGTCAGCTAATATCAGTCATCAAACCACTCACCTTGGACAACTGAATCATATTCTTCCTTAGGTATTTCTCTATAAGCCACCGCCAACGTCCTGAGACCTTTGTTGGCGAATGTGTTTATATCTCTATCAGTTTCTTCTATAAGGGCAGAATCCTTACATAAAGGAAAGACTGAGCTCTCAGCGCCTTTACAAAACAACCAAATCTGAAAGTAAAAGCATACCCTAAGTCTACATTCGGCAACATTTACTTGATAAGCTTTTAATATATATATATAATAAGCCACTTTATCAAGAGAAGAATCCATCTTTTATTCCACTCAAACTCAAATAATTTTAATTGAGTAGGCCTTGTTACAGTGCACTTTCGAATGTCAGTTGTATACAAAGAATCATCATATTAAAAAACGAGACATTAGAACAATAGAGATAAAATGACCATGATGACCTAGGTCATAAGGGTCACAAAAATATATTTATATCCCTATACAAGGCCTTACCAGTCTGCCGTCGTCACCAAACGGTATGCTTACTAATGCTATGCTGGTTGATAACACGACGCACCAGAAAAGACACCTGCACTATCCTATAATCCAAAAATAAACCTTAGAGAAGACTTAAAAAACTTTTTAAATCAAATGAGATTTTTCCCATGCCAACCTACAGTAGCACATTTCTCAATAATAGGTTTACGAAGATACTTTTCTACACTCAATCTTTTAAATAAGGACAGATTATTAACACTTGTTTTACCATGCATATTAAGCTAAGATATCTTTAAGCGCAGGGAGGCAGCCGGCTTTTCCTCTGGGTACGGAAATAACTTATCAAAAACTTGGTTAGACCTCGACAAAAAAAAATTACACATACCTTACCGTCCTTATCTCTCAAGATAACAGACATCCTCTTCCTCTCTGAAGTAAATTCAATCACTTGCAATCTCTCGTATATCTCTGTATGTTCTCCAATTTTTAACAAGAGATTGTTCCCTTCCTCACCCAGGAAAGTCACTCCAACTCTATCAGCTGCTTCAACCAGCGCTTTCTCATCAGGACTACTTCCTTGATAATCCATGTTACTACCATTTGGACTAATAATCGTACTCCAAGCGATATTATCTAAAACTCCGGTGTTGACCGTTTTGATTTTTTTTCGCCGGAAAAAATTCATTAGCTGCAGATTACCGTTTGTTGAAAAACGGGCACTCAATTTCTTCATGTCCTCGTTTGATATTTGAACAGAGTGACAAAGAGCGAGGATTGTAAAGAAGAATTTGATATCTGTCTGAAAGAGAAACAAAACGATCATCATTTTTTAAGACAGGGCAGAGCTGGAATTTATTAATTCGGTGAATACTGAGCGCAATAACGTAGAATAAGCGTGATAGTGCTTTGTTTTTGGGTGATAGGAGATGTACACATGCAGCATTACTTACATACATGTAGTAGCCTTAGCTCATGGCTTTGTGTGCGTCTATGTGCATATGTATGTGTCTGTGTACCTGTATCATCTATTTATGATATTACTATGAAGATAATTTCATGAATTAATAAAATATACCAGCCATTCACGCAAGTATCTAAAAGTTGGATGTTTTTATCTAAGTTACTTAAAATTTAGAAAAAAAATATTTTAAGTTCAAGCCTTCCACCATTAGGAACATTAATTGTTGCTGCTTGTCCTATTGTGTTTTATTAATTCCTCATTGGATATGGAATTCGGGATATTGACTATACATATAACATTATAAACTTTAATTTAAAACCTATAGAAAACATAAAAGGACTAAATTCTTGATACTTGATACCCTATCAAGTATCAAGAATTTAGTCCTTTTATATTAGGCTCAGTTCTCTGCTGCACTTGTTCTGTGGAACCACATCTTGTGTGAAAAGAAAATCAAATGAAATCTAATGTTGCTTCAATGATAGAAAATAGAATAAAACTTCTATCGAAAATGTTATGTTATGTTATGTTTTTCCAGCACTTTAGATTTGTATTAAATATTTTGATTTATCCAAACTCGTCAATACAAGAGATTAATGGTCATGATAACAATCACAGATAGAATTGCTTTAAAAAAAACTTTATTGATAATATAAAATGCTATTCATGTTTTACATTTATATTGATGATTATAATAGTGTCATTTTCCAAGTACTTTAAAATGAAATATTTGTAGATATTATCTTCTATATAATAAATTCACATCCGTTTGGTGACGGATTAAGAACACGGAGTGTCACCAACCCCATTCATCCCGCATGTGTCGTAAAAACCGACTAAGACAGTAAACTATACAGGACAACAGTACTGCAAAGAGAATGAAAACATGACACAAACCCTATACCAACCCGTCTTCTTTCTAAGGCCTATGTCCAGCGGTGGACTATTATAGGCTGTTGATGATAATGATGACGATGTGTGTGTATGGAAAATTTAAATTTTAAAGCAATATGTGAGCTTAAAAATTGAGTAAAGTTATAGAGTACATTTGATTTGTCGTGGTACAAAAGTCTATATAGTAATAGTTCAAATTATACTGGTAAATCGAATAAAACAAGATATTCAATACCGTTGAAATTATCGACTTCGAATTGTTACTTTGCAAATAGTATCACCGATTTTAATGCGCCTAATTTAGATAAATTGTAAAGAGAGAAAGATATGTATTCTTCATCTTTTACAGGTAGGTAGAATATTGTCTTTAAGTTCGATTAAAACCTTGAGGTCAACGCTCAGATATAGGCATATGTTTATCTAAATAACAACCGGTTTAAAGAAAAATTGGGAACCTAATCTTTTGAAGTCGGCTAAACATAAAGATACTTGATCCTTTAGTTCAACTAATACTCTAATGTCTAATATGACACTCACAGATAAGAAGAACATGTTATATCTTGTATAAAGTCATTAAGGACTAGAGTTAACGAATGTGAGCTTATTTTTGGACGCGGCAATAACTTCAACTTTGTGTATTTATAACTAACGAAACTTCTGAACGAAAGCTGAACTGAAAATGCGTGGGTGTGACTAGAAAGAAAAAGGTCAGAATTTTTTATATTTGGAGGACCCTAAAATCAGTCAGAGTAAAAGAAAAGGTGAGTAGCGATAATATGTGATGCGGAGGGATAAGCAAAATGTAGTGAAAAGTATATACATACACGAAACGGCAAAGAACAGCAAGTTAAAAATAATAAAACAAGAGAAACAGACCTGAAGAGTATCCACTGTTTCTTCAAACCTCTCGGTATTGTACAGCTTAGAATCCTTCTCCTCATAGATATGACCCTTGATCGAACATGCTTTGAACACCATCAGGTTTTTAGTAAGAGTGCCTGTTTTATCAGAGAACAACACTTGCACTTGGCCCAATTCCTCGTTCAAATCTGAAGTGTTTGCCACCGCTGGCCTGCCTGTCTCTTCACATCGTAGCTCCTCATCCCAACCGATGAAAAGAGCGCCTAAAAACGATTATTACAAGAAAATTATTGTAGTAGAGGACTGCTTACTTCGTAACATAAAATTATATTATTATGGACCGTAAAAATGCCATGATTTCGTTTGCTCTACTAATTAAACCTCCTTTAAGATCAAAAATCAGCATACTCTCAAGACCCAGTAATCAGTGACATGCATGATGTATGAGTTGAGAACCACCTTTGCATTACTGTACAGCTTTTCTCAAAGTTTTAAGTGCATTTTAAAACCGGTAATTTCATCATTGTCTTTTCTTGGTTAATAGCAAAAGGAGACAGAAGACATCTATACGTACGAGTATAAAATTACTTCCCATGACTGACTGATTACCTGAACCTGAACTTAGAGCCTAAACCAAAGCCGTTGGGGCTAGAAATTTTAGCAGCTATTGCTTGCTTTGCATCCACAAGAAAGGATTTATATTTATAAGGGAAAATATCGCCCCTTGGAAGTTCGTCATTTTCAAAGTTAGAAACACGCAAAGTTGAAGGCAAAACCAAGTCGTAATGTACATGTGTTAAAAGCTGAATTACACGCCGAGAGGACGGCGGTTGTGGTACAAGTACCAAACTGCAGCAGACATTTGACAATAGTTTTTGGTCGCAAGTAGAATTCCCTCACTTCGACAGAAAAGTACCATAAGAACGGACAAATATTTTGTGCAAGTGTTGGGCTACTAGCTTTGTTTTCACTTATAGTGGGATAGTATAGTATAGTTTCAAGCATTTGTCCAATGGCCTACGAATTTGAAGTAAATGACCTATTACTTTACTCTAAGTTTCGATGTTTGCCAATTAAGTGCTAGTGACATACAACAGCAGGAATTATTACAGAAGTCAGCTTAACCATTATTATCTGACTAGTTATAAAATTTAACACTTAGGTTACACAAGAGATGGCTTGAACAAAGGTAGGTAGGTATTACCCCCTATTAGATTGCTATTGAGGAAACCATTGAAAGTAAATAAGTCTTTGCATGTTTTATTTAAACCCCTCAAGACTACAATAGTCATGCTCGTTGTATGTATATTTCTATGAAATACAAGAGGAAAACCCACTAGTCATGCTCGGTTTATCAGCTGTTATAATAGTAGTCACTTACCTATAAACTTGTAGAGCTCTATTGTGACGTATAACGACATGGGTATGATGTAATAATACAACAGTAAGAATGAGAACAGATCTTGTAGCAAATTGCCTATCGAAGTCGGGTTCTCGGGTGCTGGTCCTAAATACAAATCTCTCTCGGGGTTAAATCGCTCTATGAGGACTTTCGTCAAGAGAGAGACAAAAATTTCCATGATCAGAACCATTATAAAGAAGACGAGGAAACCGTTGATGGCAAGCTCGCATGATGAAAACTTGTTACCCGCGTACTTCGAATTTAGAGCTAGTTTTGTTTCTTCGCCTGAGAACAAAGAAAAATTGAATTAATATAAAAAATCAAAAACGGTGATCGACCTTAAAGAGTCACAAGTGAGTTGCCATCTTTTGATTTTTAGTTCTAGTAACCATTCGCTCGGTTAAAAGTAAAGAAAGAATTGTTTAACACTGGTTTTCTGTGCGGCCGTGGTATAAAAAATGTTGAGCCTGGCCTTTTGGTACCGAAGCAGGGCTCTCACGATTATATCTTTCAAAATCATGTTATCTACTGCAGGTTTCAATGGACCCTAACTGAATTCCGACCGATTTGGTGATTAATTTAACTATTCGCTTCCAAATAAACACTTACCTGTATAAACTGCACATCCTATAGCCCACTCAGTGTTCTTGACTCTAGAACCCCTCAGCATCAGGTTGTCCGGAGTGAGTACTAGGCTATCCCGGTTAGGGATCTCCAGCCTGCCATAGAATGTGTATAAATCTGTTACAGGATGAGGCACCTCGATCTTCATGCCTTGAGGCAAGATATCTACGGGAACAATAATTCAGATGTCAACTACGAAGTCATGCATAGATTTTAACGCATCAACATATTTCAGAGACAAGGAAAGGTTTAACAATTTTTGAGTATCGTAGACGTAAAAGAAACCCTTTGAGTTTTGATATGTCAGACCGTTCCAGGCTTTTCCGAGCTAGAGACTATTGGTACTAGAAAGGTCTAATTTTGAAAGAGTGTTTTAATAAAATCTTGAGACAAAAATTTTAGAGTAGGTACCTCCCCTCCCCAACCTCAACAGCCTTTAATAGTACACTGTTGGACATAGGCCTCTCCTAAGAAAGGAGGTTTTGGTCTACTAATACCTCTTCTACAGAAAGAAATTAATTACCAATATTATGCAAATTGTGGATTTTTCTCTTCTCACCCATGGTGTAGATTTAAACATTAAAGGCTTGTGAAAACTATTTTTTGATTTAGATATACGTTTGCATAATATTTAACTTTAAAGTGCAAATTCTTGTTAGATTTAAATGTCGTTCCTTCGTATAAGGTAAAAATAAAATAAAAAAAACTTGATGTTTGTATATTAAGCTAATTTTCAATTCAATTCGTATTTTAAAATTAGGTTTCTGTTAATTTTGTAAAAAATAAATGCCCAGGTACTTGTAAAACCTCGTCAGTTAATTACAGCATTACAGGTTATGTTGAAATAATTACAAAACCCACAACCACGCCTAATGTAATACTCTAGTACGTAGTAACATAATGCTGATAAGGGATGTATGTAAAAATAAAGTTGCTTATCAAATCACGTTAACTCATATCACAACTATACAGTTCGTGCACACTTATTTTTGATGTGTTACACCTTTTCTGCAATATGTGGAAGTGATTGCCTGAAGGAGTCGGAAAAGTGTAACAGAAAACCAATGAGCGACAGCACAACGACAGAAGCAATTGACGACCGAATGGCGTAGTGGTTTGTGTAACGGACTGCTATTCCAAAGGTCACGGGTTCGATTCCCGCTCAAGTCAAACATTTGTGTGCATGAACATTTAATGATTGATTTGGTCTGGATGTTTGTATGTATAATAAGTATGTATTTAAAAAAGTATATATGTATTTATATCAGTTGTCTAGTACCCATAGTACAAGCTCTACTTAGTTTGGGACTAGATGGCGTTGTGTGAATGTGGTACAATTTAAAAAAAATGAGCGTACGCGGTGCTAGAGTTATAATCCGGCAACCTCGTGCGCGACCGTCCCGCGGGGTGACAGACAGTGGCGGGGCCGAGGTAGCGCGTCATTCTAGCACACGTGTTTCCCTTCCCCGCTACAACACCCGCTACCCGCTGACATCTTGAGTACCTCATCCCCGCCACCGTCTGTCACCCCGCAGGACGGTCGCGCACGACGTTGATGGACTATAGCTGTCAGATGGTGGGTGAAGTGTCAGATGTTACATCTCATATGAACGACTACTGTAAGGCAAGCTTGTTTTTTAAAAAAATTATATATTTGAGGCTCACTGTGAATGATCTGACATTTTTAATTTGACTATCTCTGGGTTGCGTGTGTGTGTTTGCAATAAAGAATTACAACATGTACGGATAAAGGTGTTTACAACTGCCTGTAACCTTTATTGCTTTGGACATCCTACTCAACGACTCAAAAACAACAATAGGCTAGATACCTAGGTTTATAAAAACGACTAACCTGAATAATTAAACGTAGCGTATAGTACAGCATGTATTAATTGTTTTCATATCTTCAAATCAACATTAAATATAAATGATTTGATAATAGCTAGGTATCACGTCACGCCCATAGTATTTCATTAAAAAATGTATGGCGTCTCTCATTTTGACGCTCAATATAATAAAAAGATGCTGATTTGACTGGTACTACTCACGCTGAACGACACTAAATTATAGCTTTTTTCATCATCGAAAATTCCTTCCTATCTCCGGGTCCTTGGAGACGCAGGAGCCAAAAGTATGTGATGTTTCCACCAATAACCACCCTGACGGCCGGCCTCAGGCGCCCTACTCTGGGAAAGACCCGGACCATGTGATTTCAGGTCGACCCAGTCCGAATCAACGCCACGCCTATTAAATTATGCCCTACCTACGTGTCAAAACATTTTTCTAATTAAAATTTAAAGGCAATGTTGCCTATACTTACTTAATTTTTGCATACATACACACAGGTATTTATTATCGTAGTTAGTGGAATTTGATGACAATGTAAGTGAAATATTAGATAGGTACAAAACAAACGAAGATAACATTTATTACAAATATCTTTAATTGATATGAAAACACATGATATATATATATATATATATGTATAATACAATAATTGACTCGATTAAATGTAAATATTGAGGTGGCCATCGGTGGTATATCTGATGCATGATGATCTATTTAATTAAATACTTTATTTAATTAAATAGATAAGCCAGTGAAATATTTGTCGAAGAAAAAATTTACAATGATTGGAAGTCCACTACACAAAATTCAATAGCGGACTTTCAACCATTGTAATTATTTTTTCTCCTGAAATATATTTATTTTTTTATTTATTTTATTTATTTCATTTTAAGATAGGCTGTAACCTAGTTTTTACCAAGTATTGTATTCATTCCATTTCATAGAATTAAGTTTTCACACATTATACTCCATTTTTGCAACAATAAAAACATATTTTCTCTCTCTTTAAGTTTTAAGAAACATTTTAGATAATTTTATCTCAAAGTACCTACATTTATTTTCTAAGAGAATTTATATGAGATTATTTACATCGTAACGTAAAAAACAAAAAATTGCACGTCGTAATCGCTCGTATAAAAATTCAAAAATCAAACGTCAAGGACGTAAAATGGAGTTCAATATTTTTGATACATGTAAATGAAATATTTATTTGCAAATACATCTTTATGTCACGCAAATAAGTATGAATTTACCTTAATGTATTTTTTTTCTCGTTTTATTATTTGTATACATATTTATTGTATTTACAGTTTTAAGTTTTATTCTTTGAATCTAGAGCTTTTATATATACTAAAAATGGTAATGAGCCGACTCGGGACGTCTGGCAGATGTGAAACATCGAATTTATTTTGTTGTCACTTGCCCATGGCAACGCGTCGCCACATGTTACATATATTATCACATACGACGTGGCGACGCATGTCGTGGCGAGCGGCGATTGTGGGCATGATGACGCGGGGCTACGGCATTTGTCGTCACACCAACAATCGGTCTAACAACGATCCACATATATTTTAGGTTATACAAAAGCGTAATTTTGGACGTTCAACACAACACATTCCATTAAACCACATCACAAAATCTTAAAGTACCTGGCGTATACCCCACCAAGGGTGGGGGCACCCTCAAAGACTTCAAGTTCGTCTCTCCATCGAGATTCGCTGTGGTCACAAAGCACTTGCCCTTTTCTCCAGCGGAACATAGCAGCACTAGGTCCGCGGGAACTTCTCTGCCACGACGCACTCTGACTAACGCCCCAGGAGCGATACTAGAGTTTCTCACTTCTTTGATCAAGCCTTTGTGAACTATTTCCACTGTGAACAGACGAAAAAACGTTAAGAAGAGGATCTAGCTAATTTAATATAAAATAACAGTGACTTACGATGTATCTGTAAGTATAAATTAAAAGCATTAGTCACTTGGGTGTTCTACAAATCGAATAATAAATTGTATTTTCAGGAATTGATCGATGCTTGTGGCATCTCCGAGCCCACTGTACTCATTGTAAATATTTTTAAATCGTAACGGTTATTCTCTAAGATATTTGAAACAAACTGATTGAACAACCGATGTAGACAAACTATCTAAATCTGTATGCTTCTTTTCCACCTTGGTGTTATTAAAAATATATCACACTAATATTCTTCCTCAGAAAACATGACTATTTGCGTATTAAGTATCATCACTACCTACTGGTTGATCCTCATAGTTCCATCTGCGTTATAGGGGTTATAGCGTGATATATTATACATTTAATTATTCCTCAAGAAATACTATATAAAATACAAAAAAAAACATACAAGAGTACAAATGTACATGCGACTGACAATTTCAGAGATTGTCGGGTTTAAACAAAAAAAATCTTTAGCAATATTAGGTACATCAACCACTATTCTATAATGTATTTTTAGAATATCAGATTGGATATCGAAATAAAGTAAAAAAAAATAAACTGATTGACACATTCCATCGACATTGAAAAATGTGTTATTAGTAAGTATAAAAAGAGGTAGACTTGATTAGCTTCTAATAGGTGGTATATCATCAACACCCTTCAATAGTCCACTGCTGGACATAGGCCTCTCAATAGAAAAGAAGTTTTGGCTTACTATACCACGCTGGCCAGACGGATTGGTATAGGGTTTGTTTCAAGTTTTTCTTCTCTTTGTAGTACTGTTGTCCTGCGTAGTTATGTATGTATTTATTTTAAGTATGTAAGAAGTAGCGGCGACTGCTTAAGAAATAGTTTTGAATTTCATTGTATCACAGACCGTTCGCTGCCTATTTAACTTGTAACTTGCTGGAAAACAGGTCTAACATTGAAGACTACGAATCGACCGTGGCCCCAGCCCGAGGGGCTGAAGATAACTAGGATAGTCTGGAATCAAAAGTCAAAGGACCGGACGTTATAACGCTTATTGAGAGTGGTCGATGATTGTTTAATTGAGTAAAGTGGCGCTTGCTTTGAACTAAATTTCCGAAATAAGCGATAAGATGAATTTAATTCGAAAACAAATGGAAACAAATATTTCTATTTGCTCGTATTGTAACGATTGGTTAGATACATATATCTGCATTTGTTATAGTTATCGGTGCCTATAGAATATATCTATGGGAAAAGAGTAACATTGTTTCAAATCGGACGATGTTCTCTTAAATGTTAGAACAGACGCTCTCTGTGTCAGCACTTGTGAGCATTACATACCAGGCTTTAACTGGCTCTGGAAGCAATTAAATTTAGATAAACTAACGAGTTTATCTAAATTTAATTGCTTCCAGAGCCAGTTAGTGTCCTGAAATTGTAGCCTGCGGTAGTATTTTAGATAAAATGATCGGTTATTTTAAGCAAGAAGCGGCCCTTGTCATTAGCTACATTGAAGAGCGAAATTTTATTCCAAGCACGTCATATGGCTACATATTATCCACTTCGATCTCTCTGAGAGATGGATACTTCGAAAATCCGAGTCATTTTTGAATACGATGCGGAACAAACGCGGCAGAAACGGCTCGCAATATCACAATATCGAGACTGCTCATGAACGCACCGTGCGTTTTTTGTTTAAACGCTTTCATAATGAAAACTTCAACTTGAAGAAGGAACCCACGACCGCCCACACGAGCAAAAAATGCAATGGCTGACCCCAGGTCAATTCAGTAAGTCATTTTGGCAAATAAGCTCTAAACTGTGTACCTTAGGGCTGGCCACAGCCTTCATATATTACAAATCAAAGTCAAGTCAAAAAGTCAAGTAGTATCCAAAGAATTTGCAGATAATTCAAAGCGATATTGACATAACCGTTTTCCGCTGATTCGGTAAGCGTGATGACTAAGAAGTTAAAAGGCGCAGCATTACTTTCCCTTCTCTTGATTTTTGTAAGTATTTGCCTCGCGAGTAGAAGGAACCATTAATTTAAACTAGAATTAGACAACTCTTCTGTCTGGGTAAAATTACTTTCAAATTATTATTCTAGATTTGGCCTGTTGATGGCCCTGTTTTAGAAGGACAGAATCACAGAACGGTCTCATAGATACGTTACCCCGAACCTCTCCGAACTAGGTAGAGGGCACTATTACATACTCAAGAAGAGTTGGCGTGAAGCAGGAGGACGGCCATGTAAGACGGTATTACACATTGTGTCGGCCATAAATGCAAACGGCCAAAAGGAATCAAACGATGACGATGATTGTTTTTCTGATTTCGATGAAATTAAAAAGTAACCGAAGATATTTATATTCTGAACTAATAAATAATAACTGTTCCATCATCATTGATTTCATCCAGTACATGATGACGTTGGCATACATAATCATATGATAGTGAAGGCGTTATGAGCAAAAAAAACACTTTATAACCCAATTATCATACGACATCAATGAGGGAACTATGTTACTGATTATATCCTCACAGATAATATTTGGAAAATTAGCTAATTAACTCAGCAGTCAAGTTCACTAACCCCTGGACAAACAGTACTATTAATGAACGATATACACGGCGATATGCCCGAAACAGATGCGTATTACAAGCCCAAATGGCGATTATAATTATTTTTCCCACTTAAGTAGTGATGGGAAAAGAGATACTGCATTACCGATGGATTAAAGATTGAGAGCAATTGCCGCTGAGTCAGAGGCCTCTAACCTAAGAGCAAGAAGATGATTTGGAATGGGTCCAAAAAAATACGTTTTCTAAATGGGCAAAATGGGAGCAGATGCATTACCTGACGGTAAGTTTAGAGAAAGTAAGTAAGTGTCCCAAGTGCTTCGCCGGCCTTTGAGAAAAGATAAACCTACGCTCGAACTCCTTTTAGAGTGTTTTTATGATATGCACCTGCATATCATGAAAACACTGTAAAAAGATTGATTACCTAATCATGATGATCGCTTTAATCACATTGAAATGATTATTTCATCACTCTGGTTATTTTGCACTCTGTATAAGAATTACCATAGACATTTAAAACATTTGCATTTATCGATTCCTTATGAAAACATTTCAAGCCAATGACGAGTAGAATATCGGTTGATGTTTACAAAATATAAAGTATCAGTGCCAACTGATAGATTAATTAATTAAGTAATGGAATAGTTGGATTACATTAATATGATTTATTAATATTTTATCAGATTGCAAGTATTTGTCATATCTATTTTGTCCTTTAAATTAAAACACTTTCAATTTATGGAATCATCTCAATTTTTCATATCGATCAGTTGTCATTTGATTAATTAAAATTGTATTGATATTTTTAAACGAGATAGCAGACTACTCCATTTTGTTATTTGTGTCATGCCCAACATGGCGGTAAAGACTAAGAGACTTAAGATTTGATAAAAAAATATTATATTCGCTAATACACAAGGCCCGCCTGATGATAAGTGGTTGTCTACACATACTCACAACTATTGAGGAGTATTTGCTAATGAGGAGTGACACTGAATTTTATTATTCATTTATGGTCTGTCAAACTTTGCTGTCAACCATATTTTACTTTAAACAGATAACAAATACAAAATACCTATTACGTAATTTGATAGATGCTATTTATGTATAGATAAGATACGGAGTTAGTATTTCAGAGGAATGTTTAAAACTCCTTGTAAACGAGAAATTAGTATCCGAGTCAAATTGAGACTTCGGAGTCTAAAAAAAGGTTAGGGGAATTTTAGGGTACCAGGGATTTCCTTTCTAGGGTACACTTGGTTCCCCGGTAACTGGTACCCCCGAAGGCGTGCGGTTTTTGCTCGGTTCGAGTTCGACATAAACATTCCACCGGTGAGTGGTATCCGAGGGGATTGCCGCACAGAAAAAAAAGGGGAATTTTAGGAAAATCGAACTACTTGAAGAGTAAAGAAAAGGGCAACAAAAAGAGATGGAGTGACTCCAAAAGTTCTTTTTTTTATGGTATAGAGGCAAACGAGCTGATGGATCACCCGATGGTAAGTGACTACTGCCGCCCATGGATATCTGCAACTCTTGAGTTCACAATTGCTTTGCCAAACTTTGAGTCTCCTTTATCGCCCTAATACACCGTTCTTTGGTTTCAACACCGGTTTTCTGTATGGTATAGTGTCGCTCCGGTTGAACCCATTTTTACGGCATAATTATGAAAAGTTTTAAAGAGAAAATGGTTTACAAATCACAAGGACAAGCGTCACACAATCAGTCGTTACCAATGCAGAAATGTGGAATTACTGTAAAAAGAAAACTGAATAAGTATGAGCCTGATTTCCGCTACAGATGTATTGTGCAAACTTATATGTGAATAATTCGTGGGAAATCCATCTCGGCAATCGATTACCAAAGATTTCTGATCTGTCACGGGGTGTTTAAAATATATATATCAAAAGAGTACACTAAGAAAAAATCCAAAATTATAAACACTCACCAATCTGATTATTCACACTGTTGTCAGACTTGTGCCGCAACCAGTCTTCATAACCCTGCTTCAAAGCAGTCACAAGCACCATAAAGGATAGCGGCGCTATACTTGTGAATGGTGAAACTGGACTATCTGTGGATAGAAAAATTATTAAAATAAAAACATCTAACACTCGGCCATCTGATCTCAAACTAGGCAGTAATATTTTATACGTGTGAAATTCCCTCGAGCCGTCACGCCACCTGAATTTGCGGTGTAGCGGTATGTCGGAATAGAACCCACTAAAACATACGGTGTCCTTTTCACGGGTTTTGATTTAGTTGATTAAAATTTCTTTTTGATTGGATATTATATAAAAGTTTGAGTAAATAGGCGTAAAAAAGAGGTAAACATGACTATTATAAATTACTAGTTATGACGTCATTATAATCGTTTGTACTAAATTTATAGAAAACAATTTGTTAAGTAACTGATAACTGATAACAATAAAATTAATGTTATCTGTCATCAACCGGTGTAACAATAATTACATTTATAATAAAATGTATGTTTCTGATATTACTACCAATCTGATTATTTGATTACAATTCGTTTTAATTTCCTTTAAAGCAGACTTGTCGGTTGCAGTCGTTGAAAATCATAAAATATTTAGCCGCAAAGGGCTGAGGGAAGGGGTTCAGGTCTTCTGTAGGTAGCACTAGACACGTCGATAGGATATAAATACAGACAGCATTAGGCAACCAGTAGTAGGCGTCAATAAAGTCTTTGTATTTTGGGCGTTCTTGGGAAAGTGTGTGTCAAGAGCCGCGACCGGCGATACACCGGCGATACATTCGGGGACTTCACGAATGCCGATGTGTCGCCCAGTAACGCATTTCCACTCTCATAGTCTCATAGTCGGCTCTTACAACACCCACGGAATGTGTGAGGGTAGTCACACTCTGTATTCTTAATCCGTCACCACACGCCCTATCTATATCTCTCTTGCCCTATCTGTTCTTTTTACCCCAATTTACCTATTTCCTTTATATCGTCTGAAAGTGATTACCTACTGAACTGAAACTGCCCAAGGAGATTGATACAAACAAGTCAAAGAACTTTGAAAAATAAGGCGTTTCGCCGATCTCAAATAAAATTTGGCAATTTGTATAAAATTATTCATCCTGTGTCATTCATCATGTCAATCATTCAGCCGACTAAGGGAGCAAACTATGCAGGACAACGTCACTGCAAAGAGAAGGTAAACTTGAAATAAACCCTATACCAACCCGTCTGGACAGCGTGGTATAGTAGTCCAAAACCGAAGTGGACAATTAAAGGCTGCTAATGATGATGATAGAAAATTATTGTCATAGGAACTATTTGTGAACTAAACCAGTTCTGGTAATGAAGACAAAAGGTCACCAAAGCAACTTCTATAATGTATAAATGAAGAGCTATATCTAATATTTATAAATCATTTATTTTGTTGTTTATTGCTATTAGTATATTGGAAACAAAATTAAACTTTGATCAAAGGGGAAACCCTTATTATTTGTCTGTTAATACCAAAATGAGAAACCGAATAGGTGTTAGCCAACGTCAGAGCAATATTATTTCTTATCAGCGCATTTTGGGAGTGACGCGCAAATTTACGGCGATAAGGATGCCGACACGATACCGTTATCTTCATTAATTGTGTGCATTTAGTATTTGATGTTTATTATTTTCTGAAACATATACATACGTATATATAAATACTATCTTACTGGTTTGTTAGTCTAGTGGTCTAGCAGACCGCTATACCAACATCTTATAAAATAGTCATAGCCAGATATCGTGGGTTCGATAACTACCCAAGACAACTAATGGCGTTGGCATTTATTAGGTTTCTCCCTAGATCAATTATTTACTTTAAACTAGTTCTACCCTGCCACGGTTCCCTGTCTTCGTCTGAGCTTTTTTCCCAAACTAGGTTGGGATCGGACATCGTCGCTTATTCTTAAGACTATTCTTAGACATTTTAGGGCTCCAAATTACCCGTAACGATTGCCACAGAAGTTCGTATGCCACGATTCTCTGTGTATAATCATCATCATCATCATCATCAACAGCCTTTAACAGTCCACTGCTGGACATAGGTCTCTCCTTAGAAAGGAGGTTTTGGCCTACTATACCACACTGGCCAGACGGGTTGGTATAGGATTTGTGTCAAGTTTTCCTTCTCTCTGCAGTGCTGTTGTCCTGCGTAGTTTATTCCCTTAGTCGGCTCTTACGACACCCACGGGATGAATAGGGGTGGCGACACTCTGTATTCTTAATCCGTCACCACACGGACACGGACTGTGTATAATATATAAGGACAATCTTTGAAGCGGTTTGTATATCGTGTCACGTATCAATTTGAGCTCAATCGTTGCACAACCTTTTGAGTTTTTAAAGCGTAGGTATATACAAACCAATTTAACATTTATATGTGTATAGTTTGTGTGCATTTGAACTTTAAAAACATGCCCATCCCATACAATTAAAAAATTATAGCTTGAACAAGTACCTGCATTTAATATGTAAATGCTCTGTAATTATACGGAATATGTAATAGATATCGTTGTACTTTTTTTCTGATACAGCCGCTATCATCGTATTAAATATTTATTCGATAAATTAACTGCTTTGAAAGAAGTTCTACGGGTTCTAAAAGAAAGTTCTACACTGTACACTTGCTGGCAAAACTGGTCAGTCATTTTTTAGCTACTAGGCTCATTTAAAATAATCCGTTCTAGTCAAGTCGAAGTTCGAAGTAGCTGTTTTTAATTATTCCTTTTTAGCACTTATAAAATAATTGTGTTTTGGCAGACCGAAATTAGTGAATGGTTTCAGAGGCAGACCAGAAAAAGTAAAAATGAAGTTTATCAGAAGTCGACAGTAGTAGTCAGTAGTATTGAAGTAGTATTGAATCTTTTATTGCGAGGAATCGTCCCCTCTCGTAAGTCATGCCCAAAATGACATGTATTCAGTAAAGTTTTAACAATACGTAAGCCAAAGAAGCCAACTTTACAGAAGAGCGTAAAAACTGTTCCAGTGAAGGTGGAACAAAACTTTTGTAACGATTTTTAACAAAATCAGCTCAAAATATCATCAAAGAATCCATAAGTAGTAATGGAATGTCTCACATTTTGTTGACTTGAATTGAGTTACTTTTACGTGTATTAAAAAATACAAGGCTATTGATTAGCTAAATTCTTTATGGCAGGTCGAGCAGAAACTTCTGATTCTGCTTATCGAATAGTATCTTAACTTCTGTGAAACTTCTTCTTTTCGTGAATTTCAGTAACCTTACTTCTATACAAATTTTGGTTTCAATGTCTCAAAAATCACTATTTACTTCTTCAAAAGCCTTTAATAGTCCACTGCTGGACATAGAGTCTCATTAGAAAGGAGGTTTTGGCATACTACATATATCACGCTGGCCAGAGAGTTTGTTTCAAGTTTTCTTTCTCTTTGCAATGCTGTTGTCCTGCATAGCTTGCTTCCTTAGTCGGCTCTTACGACACCCATGGGATGAATAGGAGTGGTGACACTCCGTATTCGTTACACATCACCACACGAAATGACTACTTATGTAGGCGAAATGAATTATCTTCGTCAGCAGATAGTAAGCAAGTAGTAATGAAAAGATAACTCACCTATAACAACCGCTACAACAGTGACTATGAGGAAGTAGAAGTTGACGACTCTTCGGAACTGCTCGGAGAGATTTTTGGGAATGAACCAAAGCACCGTGTATTTGGAGGTCTTTATTTTATTGTGCTTCTTATGTTTAGCATTCTCGTCAACTGTGCCAACTTCTATCTGCCGCGTTTCTTGTATATCCGATACTTTGTTCCCCTGCAATGAAAAATTAACATTAACTAGGGAAAATAGAATCTCTATTTGAATATTACGAGTAGTGGAATTAGCTAATCATGGAATTAGAAGATAGAGCACCGCACAATGCACTTTTACTCGAATAGGGTCACACAGTAGTTGTCTAGGATCAAAAAACATATTATCTAACACTCCTCTGTAAGTTAAGTGTCACAATAAACTTCAAAGAAAACACAGTGCAACATTTTTTAGGGCGTAGGGGGCAATCGAGAATATGGATCACCTGATGGTAAGTGGCGGCCAACGCCCATGGATACCTGCAACTCAAGAGTCACAAGGGGGGGAGGGTTGATCACTCACTCACATGGTAAAAAGCAAAGGGAGAGCCTTTCATAGACTCTCCCACGTACGTACATAAGTAGTTATATATTAATAATCATGATGATGATGATTAAATTTAGTAGTCAAATATAAAATAACACTAACTAAAAATCAAAAGTAAAAAAAAGATCCCGACGAATTGAGAACCTCCTCTTGTTTTAAGTCGGTTAAAATAAAAATATGAAGACTGCACGGATGGCGTAATGGTTTAAGCGGTCACCACGCCGCTTACTATTAAGTGCTGTGGGTCCGATCCCCACATGGGACTACATTTTGTGTGATCCACAAATTAATGTTCTGAGTCTGGGTGTTGTTTGTGTCCGTTTCATGTATGTTTTTAAAGTCCCCCGCGATACCGGAGATACCTAATGCGGGTGGTCTTTAAAAAAATAATAAAAAATGGTGTTAAAACTCATTGTACTGAGTAACTATTAGTAGGAAATTCTCACTAATTGAGGGTAGCATGGAAATGTCACTGTCACTGTCAGACCGCGATAAATAGTGTAGGTACTATTGGCGGTTATACGAGCGATGGATGTTCAAGAATGTTCCACACAATGGATAAATAAATTATTAAGTGAAGTACTTAACTACCAATTTAATATTTATAAATATAAGTGTCTTGTCAATTTAAAATGTATTACTATACGTTTCAAGGTTACATAAGACATTTCTTTCCTACATTTTCTGCATAACTTGGCTTCTGAAATCAGTTTGAATCTTTGATTTTATAAGACACATTGTCCCAAAATGCAATGCTACCTCTTCACACTTAACCTTTGATATGCTTTACTTTACGCACTTAATTTAAGCACTATACCCACAGCAGAGCTGCCTGTCAAAGGTGTAACCGCTCGAGGACATAGGATAATTTGAATAAATCATTTAAGGGGCGAAAAGAGGGATGGAGGTTTGTATGGGGAATTAATTACCGCTAAACCGATTTAGATGAAATTTGGTATGGAGATAGTTTGAGTTGTAGGATATAGAATAGTTTTATCCCCGGAATCATCCCTATAAAGTGTAAAATATTATAAATGGGAAAGTAACGTCTGTCTGTTACGCTTTCACGGCTAAACCGAGATACTTTGATTCTTGAGGAACAAACAACGCAGGACAACAACACTGCAAAGAAATGGTAAACTTGAAACAAACCCTATACCAACTCGTCGTGCCCGTTACTGAGTGGTTGGGCGATAACGATTGCGCTATTAACACGTTATGACAACTGTTATAACTTTTTTATAACAGTAATTGTAGAACAATAGTGAAGTTTAACGTCTGGGTAAAGTTTTAATCACCGTAGTGTACACAAACCAATAAGGTAGTGCGTCACAATAACGTGTTTAATCATTCATAAGGTTATCGTGTACAAGGCACATGTGCGAAATAAAGTATGAAGCCAAGGTTACATCGCTTTCTATCGCAGACAATCGATATACACGTCAGTTTCTTTATATTTTCTGAAATTGTGGCGTAAATTCATAGGGTTTTTTGGCGTTAAAAGTATATGCCAGAAAGAAGGCAGATTAGTGTAGGGATATTTAATGAATTATAGGAGAACTATTGACGCCAGATGCTTGCTCGAAGTGGGAGGCACGTCGAGCAATCCAGGGAACTTACTCCTCAGTCTTGCTGAGATTTCAGCAGTCATTCTGTAAGATGTTTAACGTTTAAGTATGTAGACTTAAATATCAGTTTAACTTTGTGAGTCCTCTTTTGCTATAACATGCAGAAATTAATCTACTCAGTTCAGACCTGATATATTGAGGCGTCAGCAACTATAACCACCTAACATACTAATTTTATGACAAAATATTTTTCTAATTTTTTTTCGATATTATAATAAAAGACATATATTTTTATATTGCTTTAGTATTTAAAAAATAAACGAAAAAATCGGTTTGTTCTTTTCAAACGACAATAGTACATTATTTTCGCAACATCAGAACTTATGAGGTTAAGACAAAAGGGATCAAATAAAGTCAAGAGTTAATCTTTTTACCATAAAAAGATGAATGAGCTAGCAAAAGATAACGATAAACACATATTGCGTCGCGGACGAACTTTCAAGGATGAAGTAAACTAGTATCGATAACGGTTTTTAGATAGAAATGAGCGATTTTGCAACCTCTTGTCTGTCACTTGTATTGTGTATGAAGTTAATCGAGATGAGGCGTATGCAACTTCCTTTTGCCGAAGCAACTGAGGGCTGCTTAAAAGGGCACTAAAATATTTTGTACAAGGTCCGCAGTCTGTAAATAATGTGTGATGGCTTTTTTGCCACCTTTGTAACATAACTTTGTACAATTAATCATGTGACCATTTCTGAGTGACATCGGTAATGTAGTGTAGTCACACATTTCGTTTTAGTATACTGTTTTAGAATTTACAAATCATTGTGGAAATCAAGCGCAAAAAATAGGCAGGTTTAGAAATCCAGGCAACAGAGCGGGAGGTCTTTGACCTCTAGTAATCCTGAAGTAGATTAATAAGTTTATAAATAACTTACGCACAAAAGAAGTATTATCGTTATTGATTTACACCATTGACATTTTACAAGAGTCAAAGAGAAGATAAACATGTTGGCCGTCTATCGCAGGTGCTGATATTTAGGAGGTTTAGATAACGAGGAAAATCTATAAGCATAAATATTGTTCTAAAAAGTACTAATATGAAATAAAATGTGCAGATTAAATAAAAATAATGTATAAAGTTTAATATAAGTTAGGCTAAAGTTAGAGGCACAGACGCTTTTTTTTTAAGGACAACTCTCGCACTAGGAATTATATTCATTTATCATATGGACACAAAGATCACCCAGAGTCAGAACAACAATTTGTGTTGTCAATGTGGGGTCCAACCCACAATACTCAGAGCAGTAGAAGCAGGCGAGGTGACCGCTTAAACACTACACCATCTGTGCAGTGTTCCGTCCGTGCTGTCAGTGGTTTGCTGTCAGACGAGGTTTGACATTGTACCTTGTACCTTTGGTTTAGAAGAGTCTTATTCATGCAAGATATATTTAAAAACCGGTATTTAATATTATGAACATAATAAATAATGTTATTCATGAAAACGGTTTTTGTTGAAAGGAAGTTCCCTATTGCACGCTACACGCTTTGAGCGGCTGGAAGTACATGTGTAACAAGACTTTTTTCCGACACTTCAGTTGGTGCGTCGCTGCTCACATCTTTATCATATTTCAAATACATATAACATATATTATTATTATAGAAAACGTCTACCAAAAAGCGAAAGGAACTTCGTGCCGACCAGGGGTTTAATAAAAAAAAATTGACTATGGAAGTCAATTTTTTTTTAATTAAAGCTTAGTTTTGTGTTTTGTTGACATTGAAAGCTTAGCCATATCTACAAAACTCTTACATCCCTCAGCAAGACAATAGACCAAGACATTTTTTTTTATATGTCACATACAGTAGGGCACGGACGTGGCGCCGCTTTCTTAATGCAACTTTTTATTTGTTGTTTTAGTTTTATACCCTGATGAGGCAGATATCCTTAAAAGCAATGAAAGAATAGTTGAACACAGGTTTTCTTTGAGGCTGTGGTATAACTCCGGACAAGCTGGCCCATTCGTGCATGGCTCCCCCACGAAATTGTTAAATTGTCACGTAATCTACCATGATTCTTCGAAGTACTTAAATATGTCTACAACGGTTTGCTTACTAATCATTAAAAATGTACACTTCTAAGAAATAAAAACATATTCTAAAGCCTAGTTTTATTTCTTAGAATGAGGCATTAGAATAATCAACCTCCTTTCTAAGGAGAGGCTTATGTCCAGCAGTGGACTATTAAAGGCTGTTGATGATTATGATGATGATTAGGATGATAGTATTGTAAATACTATTTTTTTATGGAATAGAGAAGCAAACGAGCAGATGGATCACCTGAAGGTAAGTGACTACCTCCGTCCATGGAAACTAGTGATGGCATAAAATCACAATAATTTGAGATAAATCATATGATTTAGACATCATATAATCACAACTATGACTGATTTACAAAACCTCTGCTAATTAATTATTATTATTACGCTAGCACAAGACTCGCGAATGTTCTAAATCTAAAAAAAAGATTTTGTAATCTTTAATAAAAATAATTTTGATTTTGAGAACCGGGGAGGGCCGCCCTTTCAATAAGAACTGGAGGGAGGGAGAGGATTTGGGCTCCGGTAACTTCACTCACTTGATGAATACAATGATATTTTAAGGAAGATACGTTATATTCATACTGCACGCACAAAATATTTGTTCCGTAGCACTATACATACATTATTAATGCATTTTAGAACAAAACATACGCCGCAGGTGCTATAGGAAATAGGGAAAGCATAAGAGTGAAAGAGACGGCTATTTGTAATCAGTATCGTGACAGAAGACATTTTGTGTTTTTTTTTTGACTGCACGGAATTCGTAGTGGTTTAAGCGGTCGCCACGCCGCTTATTACTACGCTCGCTGAGTGTTGTGGGTCCTATATGGGGCGACAGTTTGTGTGATCCACAAATTGTCGTTCTGAGTCTGGGTGTTCTTTGTGTCCGTTTCATGTATGTTTGTAAAGTCCCCCGCCACACAGGATATATTCCTAATGCGGGAGCTGTCTAAAAAAAAACTAAGAAACGATTTTTGGAAATTTTACCCATCTCACACACATCACATCAACAGGCTTTAATAGTCCACTGCTGGACAAAGGCCTGTTATTAGAAAGGAGGTTTAGGCCTACTATACCACGCTAGTCAGACGGGTTGGCATAGGGTTTGTTTCAAGTTTTCCTTCAATCAAGTAACCGATGGTGGCTAACTTAAAGACCGAAGAAGAAGAGTCTTCTTCGGTCTTTTGTAACTAATATTAGTGACGATCATACTCCGAAATTTAGTTAAAAATATGCTTGACGTCAGAATGAAAACGGTGCATGCAAAAACACTTAAGAAAATTACCTCCATTTATCACTCGGAATGGGTTTTAAATTTTTTTAAAGAAAAACTGTGTTAAAGTTTAAATTAAAGTAGATTCTGTTGTTGCCACATGTTTGCAGCTATCGCTGAAGACTGCTATTGAACGATTCTACTCGTAACATCGCGAGCGGCCAATGTGAGCTGGATACATCAGCAGGTCACGTTTAATTGTGAGAAGGGACATGTGCTTCTACAAATTAGCACTTGCCTTGGCATCCACTACAAAATATTGAAATAATAGTTTATTTTTTTACTTAATGCTCTCTTTAACTCTTAAGAAAATTTTAGATGACTTGAAGAAAAATAGGAGGTTCTTAAATCTTTTGTATTTTTGTCTTATGTTATTTACCCCAGAACTCAGCTCAGTTATTTACGAACCGACTTGCTGTGTTGCCCGCGGATTTACAATTCATTGCTCACGGGCACGGGAATACTGCATTTTTTGGGAATAAAAGTAGTCTATGTGTTAATCCATGTTGTCAGCTACCTCTATACCTTCTATCAAAGCTGGTCTAGCAGTTTGAACGTGAAGAAGTACGAAACATACACACACATAGTTTGTGAGTGTAACAAACTTTCGCCTTTGTGATATTAATGTGTTTTGGGACTTTCTTATTTGAGATGGTGTGCCTACTTACTGCCCGGTCTAAAGGTGGAAAATTAAACAATGAAAAATAGGAGCATTGAATACGATGATACTTTTTACAAGTTAATTATGTAACTTAGTGTCTTTGTTACTAAATAAGTTTTGAACCAAAATATTGATATCTCCCTAACTACAAGACAATAAAGAGAGGTCTTTACCTGTGAAATTGCCGTTTTGTATGCAATAAGTGAAAATACTTATTTTTTCAAACTTTTTTATTTCTGTTATTCGAGGACTCGGGACGACCGATTGACAAAAGCTGGTTACTTGGTACTCACCAGACCTTGCACCTACCGACTATTACTTTTTCCAAAATTTAGACAACTTTTTAGTGGGTAAAAAATTCAATTCCCGAGAGGCAGTACAAAATGCCTTTGAAGAGTTTGTTGCCTCCCGTCCAGCTGATTTTTACAAGAAGGGCATCAATAAACTGCCAATGCGTTGGCAAAGATGCGTCGATTGCATGGGTGATTACTTCGAATAACAGAAATAAAAAAGTTTGAAAAAATAAGTACTTTCACTTATTGCATACAAAACGGCAATTTCATAGGTAAAGACCTATTATATTGACAAACATAGAGGAAAATGTAATATTGTTTAAATATGGGAATTAACACGAGCACATTTGACTGTAGTCACAGCCAGTGCAACCTGGTCGATACGTCAAGAAACTGAAAGATATAGAAACCACATTGTGGTGGCATTGACGAGAAATGGCGAACAAAAGTACCGCGAAACATATTTAATAACCATCTTAAAAGTTTGTTTCATACCGATCGTTTGAAAATTTACTCTCTATCGGTGCCGAACTTTTTGAGTTTTTGAAGTGCACTGTGTGTGCAGTGCCTCAAACTATTCGTCTACAGATTTCTAATTTGTGGTAGGTACATACATTTTAGATAATTATCTTACAAGGACATACTGAAAATCTATTAAATTTCTTAACTGACTATAGAAGTACAATGTTAGAAAACTTAATTTATTTAAAATCAACTGTGTCTGTTATCTCATAATTGAAAACATTAGCGTTTATACCATTTTTAATTGAATTATAACACTCTAGTGTGTTTTAAAGTAAATAGTCATAATAGTAATATTCTATTACTTTATAATCTTATAATCGGACTAGGAGGATGGCGTAGTGGTTTAAGCGGTCGCCACGCCGCTCACTACTACGCTGGGTGCTGTGGGTCCGATCCCCACATGGGACGACACTTGTGTGATTCACAAATTGTTGTTTTGAGTCTGGGTGTCCTTTGTGTCCGTTTCATGTATGTTTGTAAAGTCCCCCGAGACACAGGATTTATTCCTAGTGCGGGAGTTGTCATTAAATAATAATAATAATAGTATAATAAAATTAATCTTCTAATCAAACAGTTCTTACTTCACAGACATTTTATACTTATTATTTTAATTACATCATGTTATGGACCTTCGTGGGCGATGTCCACGAAAATAATGATAGGCCGAGCAACTTTTAATTATTAATTCACAATAATTACCATTATATGATTGTCATAATTAACATTATCTTTTAGAGCATACCTATAGTTTATAATCCTCTATTGTTATATACAAAATAGTTGTCTTAACATGTAAATCTAAGATTATGCTTGCGTAATCGTGTAAATTTCATGTTTTGATAAAAGTACCTTCTTTTCCTGTATCGTAACTTTAGTCAAAATAACTTGTTTTATGTATTTGCTGTTGTTTTATTCATTACTAGCTTTTGACCGTGGCTCCGTCTGCGTTTATGTCGGTTATCGTTATTTCCATGACAAACTTCATTAAAATTGGTTCAGCGGTTTAGCCATGAAAGCAACAAACAGACAAGATAGAGTTACCTTCGCATTTATAATATTAGTATATCATTAGTAGTTCAATATATAAACGTAGGAATTGAGTATTTATTTTACTGCGGGAATGCAATGTTTTTGTTGCATTTTAGAGAGTTTTTATTGCATAAAATATTTGAGGGGGAAGGGCGGGAAATATGAACAGACGGGTCATCTGTTAGTAAGTGACTACCGCCACCCATGGACACAGGTTTAGATCTAAAGGGAATATGGTGTATAAATAAATCGTCGGTTTGTAAGGGTGCCTCCACACGGTGCACTTAGCTGGAGCGGACAAAGACGCGGGTGCAGTAGCATGCACAACTCGCACGTGTGATTGGTATAGTGTGCATGCTGCACGCGCGGGTTACATGTATGCATCTTGCTCGTTTCAAATTTGACACAGACTATATAATAAAATAAACAAAGTTTTGAAAATATATGCCGTATCGTATATAAAGTATCAAACTCTAGTAGGAGAATATTTAGGTAAGCTTAACTACGCGGACACAGAAAACATCTTAGCAATTTTAAAATGATCTAATTTAAACTATAATTAGGTTATTAAACAATAAGTAATATATATTTGTGTATACAAACCAATCCGAAGTAATTTACATTAACAATCTATTAGAACTTTAACATATGAACGTCCTGTAACTAACATAGTCAAGCGACTACCTGAAACACATGTCTCACACCTGGCTCAGGCCGTTTGCAAAAGAATTTTTAATATTTTGTTTTTACTTCTTTATATTAAATCTTGCACATTTTAGAATAGTCATATAGATACTAGTTTTATGTTAGCTTTAGTAACAAACTTTATATAAGAATCTAATGACAATAAGATGAAAATCATATACAAAATGTAACCTAGACTTTATTCTGATTATGTAAATAAATTTTATTTTATTTATTTATTTACAGTTCAGTACTTTACCTGCACAAGTAAATCCCGCGAGTTGCTGGACCTGCACAGTCCTTAGCGAAAAGAGTTTATATATGTATTATATTATAAATGTTCTAAAAAGATATGGGGTTATCGCCTTCGAAGTTTATTTAGCGAATCCGAATCAAAATGAACATGTTCCTCTACTTAACAATGGTCAGAGCTTATTATTTTTATAGTCTTTTATTAGGGTTTATGGGGAAGGCGTTAAGAACAGCGGAATTACTAACACCTTCAATTTGGTAATGCGTTTTTCACAGGCGCAGGAATCCACAGGAAAGCGAAAACCGTGCTATACCTACTGCCTTAAAATATTTATAAGAAATTCATTTATTACACTTAACTAAAGACGACCACTAGTTTGAAATGTTAAAGAAATTATTAATTTATTAGGTATTCATAAGAAATTAAAATAAATACGGTATCTATCAATATAAGAGGTCAAGGTCTGGAACTACCAGATTCTAGCACTAGCACCGTAAAGAGATTAATAAGAAAGAAAGAGAGAGACAGACGAGAAAGATATTAAGGACAGCATTTTCTTCGAATATTCTGACGTAACACTACAACACGAAGGAAATGACAATAAAGTACGGACTGATAACCAAATATTATATTATTATTATAATAAAATGTTATTCTGGTTATTACTTTCCTATCGAAGACTCCAGTGACACTGGAACCCATAGAAAGTAGTCGAGAGAATTATTGGTTCTAAGATTTTTTTTTCGTAACTGGAAACAAAGCACTTATTGATAGGCCGATTAATAAAAGAAGTATGTTATGATTATATTATCGGTGTTTCGCTATCGACGGAACAGCTAGATAGGTTTATATAAATATTTTGAAAATGTGAACTCACATAGCACCAGCATAAGTAATAAATCACTAACTCATACAACCACGCTGTCCAATCGTACACAAACTCAACGATCCATCTCATTTTACCCGCATTCGAATTTCATTTTACGAACTCAATCACTGAATTTACGTATGACCATGTACAAAGAAAAAGTAATACAGGATACAACAATGGATGTGAGCGGCTAAACTGATAGCGAAAACTATCTTATCGCTGCTCAATACGATATCAATAAAGTTGACGATACGACAGCGCAGGTAGCGGCGCTGATATTTTGTGACGTTCGGTCCTAGACCTTCTACTCATAAGTATTTATCACACAGCTGTTATCGTACTTAAAAATACAATAAAAAGTTCTCGAGTTGTAATAACAGTATTAATAATTGAATTCTAACGAATACCTGATTTTTTCAACACACCATTAATAAGTGAAAGTATTATCTAAACTGTTATAGAACTCAGAGTTTCTTGATTTTTCGAGTTTCACGGCTGTTACTCTGACCGTCAATCCATCGGTTTAAGCAATATCCCTTAGCTTCCATTACTGTTGGTTTAGTGGTTAGTGCCCCTGACTGCTAAGTCGGAGGTCTTGGGTTCGATTCCCACCCAGGACAAATATTGTGTGATGAGCATGATCATTTGTTCTGTGTCTGGGTGTAATTTATCTATAATATGTATGTATTTAAAAAAATATATCAGACGGCCGTGTGTGAGATGTGTGAGGTATATTATTACATTAACATGTATATTATTATACTGTTCATGTGGTAAAGAATCCCGTGGGTGTCGTAGTAGTCGACTTAGGGAGCAAACTACGCAGGAAAACAGTATTGCAATGCGAAGGAAAACTTGAAACAAACCTTATGCCAACCCGTCTGACCAGCGTGAAGTAGGCCAAAACTTCCTTTCTAAGGAAAGACCTATGTCCAGCAGTGGACTATTAAACCCAGCTAATGATGATGATGATGATTTATGTTCTGTAGTGACAGGCGCAAGTGTATGTATGTTTGTTGCATCAATTTATTAGATACGAAAAAAAAAACATGGTCTTGTTTTTTTGGTGTGTTTTTTTTTTTTTTTCCGGATACCACCTATCGGTGGCATGTCGGACTCGCAAACCCGCACGCCGTCTCGGCTACTAATAGCCGGGGAACCAGGTATACCCTAGAAAGGAAGTCCCTGGTGCCCCGACATACCTCGGGCCATCTACAACAACAGGTAGACGACCCCCCCCCCCGTGTGGGAACCCCTTGTTCCCTCTGCTCCCTGGAAGCGAGCGCGCTTCGCAATGCGCTCGCCGCCACCCCGGCCTGCTTCTGCTAGGGTGACAGATGGCCTCACCTGTCACCCCCAGGCCTGCTCTTATGGAGGACGGAGGTCGTTCTGCGACCTCCGGCACCTGAGTCGCCTGCGGTACCTGGCCCGTTCCCGGGCCTGGCGGGCCTCTCCCGGTCCCGCTCTGCCGTCTCCTTCGCGAGCATAACTTGCTCGCAGAAGAAGACGGCAGAGTTCCACGCACTCTCGCTCCGCACGATAGCCGCAATCAGGCTATCGAGCGAGAGAATGTTAGAGTTACCCTACTCTTTACGTCATCAGAATGTATTTAATCTTAACAAAAGTACCTAGAGCTATACAACATGATTATAATTATTAGCGAAATAAAAAGCGTGCCAGATGGTCATAATATCGTCTCGATACTGATAGGGTTAATCAGTTTAATAGAATCGAGATCGAATCGAGAGAATGAGAGTAGGACGACCACATACGGTAATACAACTGTTGACTGTCAAGAGAACACGGGGTACAGCTGCCTGTAAGTGGAAGCGATACAGGCAACGAGAGAGATGAATGCCCGATATTCCTCTATGTCTCTGTTTAACTAAGCTACGATTAGCTATTGTTTCGATCGTAGAACAGGCGGGAGATTAGAAATTTCTCCAGACAAAAACAGAGCTCGACTATAAAGAGATTTCTCTCTCTCTCTGTCGTTGCCTATATTGCAAGATTGGGGCTCTTGTTCACACTATGCTTATATCTCTATGGTCAATTCATATCACTTTATTAAATATCAAAATACCTACTACATTTAATCGAAAATTATACGAAAAAACAACTTAACATTTAGTTTATTTTATTATGTTTGCAAAACTTATAGATAGAAAAATAGTGTGCAAATTAATAACAGCTAGTAATGGCCACTTCTGTTTCTTCATATACAAAAGAAATCACGCCAATAACTTAACATCTAAACACCTTACTAAGTAAACTAACCGAATAATTTAAAAAAAAAAAAACATTTAATGCATCGATAGTAAGCCAAAACTCCCTTGTTAAGGAGATGCTACGAGTATGTCCAGCTCTGGCCTATTAAAGGCTGTTGATGATTTTTTATTTATTTATGACACACAAGACAACTATTTTTATGTATTAGCACTTATTACATTAACAATATGTATGTAGTGACTGGCTGCTGCGTAGACGGGAGCGATATGCTCTTCTTACGTGGACCGTAGGTGCAGCGTGCTATGCCTAGACGCTGATGAGGCCATAGAGGTAACCAGGCTGGAGCGGTTGCTAGCTGTGTATGGTATCCTTATTGAGGCCGAGGTTGCAGGATGGCTGAGATTTGATTACTGCTCATCGCTGTGGGATTGTATACGATGGTGACAATGGAGCTGCTGCTGATCTTCTTTGAAGGCAGCTTCCATATTACGTCGGGTTTACAAGTGTGGAGGAACGGGTGTCATGTCCCTCCAACTCAAACGAAAGGCGGCCCAACGGTTAATATTAGGAAGTTAGAAGTATTTGCTAATCGGCGAGAGAATTCTTCAGATCGCGATACGGGATTAGCAATTCTCATTCAGGAGTTACTCCGTGGATCGGTGTGTCTTCGTTAGATAGCGCTGAAGTATGTTTCTGTTTTTTTGTATATTGTACAGTATGTATTTTCTACGTAAGTTGAACAGCTGTGAAAGATTCTAAATTCTAACCCTCAATGTAGTTTAACTGACCTTTAAAGTATGTATTAAACTAATATCGAGTTGTAGTATTGTACTTTTCCCAAGGTTAATACTATGATATTAGATATATAGAGTATATTACTACTATGATATTGTCGAACACAATTAACACTAACAAGTGCCCGTGACTTCTTCTGCACAGAATTAATACATTGAAGAGTCTATCTTGCATAGGTATCCTATATCCACCTCCACTTAATTGGTACTATATATTTCGGAAATCCCAATTAGTTGTGAAAATGTAAATTATTGCAAACGAACCTGTGGGCATAACTTAGCTATCAATAATTATGCCCCGAGTAGGCGTCTGAACGCAAGGTCCTGGTCGACCAAATCGGACGAGACCTGTCCACGCCAGCAATCATTACTGCCATGCTGGCGGAAGAGAAGAGCTGGTGCACAGTGGTCTCTTTCTCTAAAGCTGTAATGCTCTAGAAAGAGACCTCTGATCGGATCTGCTGGGGTTTAGATCCCCGCATGGGACAACACTGTGTGATCCACAAACTGTTGTTCTGAGTCTGGATGTGCTTTGTGTCCGTTTTATGTATGTTTGTAAAGTCCCCGCGACAAAGAATATCTATCTAGTGCAGGAGTTGTCTTTAGAAAAGATAAGGAGACTTCGGAGACAAAGTAGGGTGTCGACCTGATCTCATTAAGACGCGTTTAGGCCGCTACGTTTGTGTTGAAGCGATTGACGGGGGCAATTTTCAGCTTCCCCTGAGATAAGGCGATGTTAGGCGTGATGTTGATTCAGGGAGAACCTGAGATCACATTATGGTCCAGGTCCTCCAAAGAGTACGGCGCCTGAGGCCAGCCGTTGGGGTGGTTTTTACCAAAGTAGCAACACCATATACTCCTAGCTCCTGAATTTCCGAGGCGACGGAGATCTAAAGGGATTTACCAACCAGTCAACAAAAAAAAATCTACCAATATTCATTTGCTAAAACATATCAATTAAAGTGCTTACTAGTTAAAAACCGAGTTTTGTAAATCAGGTTTTTAAAAGGCAGTATGCCTATCAGCAAATGTGTATCACCTGTGTGTTTAAATCAGAGCCTCAATACTCGGTGAGATGACTACTCAAAAATAAATGTTTAATAACGTATCCGCTATATACTACACGATAAGCTTAATTTGGTTCTTTCGAAATCGGCATAGAAAGAGAAATCGATCCTCGAGTCGAATCATAAAACACCCAAAAAGCTGTTGGGTTTCGGAGGCACTAGTGAGTCTTTTGCTTTATAAATATTTATTTTGATTTTCCAAAAATAATCGTAAATCATGGACTTTGGCTGCCTAAAGACGAACAACAGTGCCATCATCGACTACAAAGGCAATATCTTAGCGCCCCTTTGATCATCGAGCCCTAAAGCTTGCATAGACACGAGCACAGCACTCCCTAAGCATTTGCGGACTAAGCCTTATTAGCCCATAAAACTATGAGTAGACCAGGCCCTGAGTCTATTACAACTTGACAAAAGTCACTCGTGAGCACTCTTGATGCGCACGTGCGCGCGCATCGAGTGTGACTAGCATCTGGTTGTTGTATTATCTGGTTTCTTCTAATCTTTTAAACATTTGTTTTGGTTTTTCCGAATACCGTAATATTGTTATAATCTACGGGATTTTTTATATTTCAGTCCAAGAATAACTTTATCAAAGATACTTTGAAATACCGCCTGACTCATTTCAAGACTGATATTATAATCACTAAATCCATAAAGCCCTATGGATGTTACAAAACGCAGTTTCTTACTGCATAATATTTATACACATAAAATTAAACATCAATTTTGGTAACAGTTGTTTGTTACCAAAATTGATGTTTAATTCATCATATACTTCAAAAATTATTATCTGTTATTGTTGTTGCTGCTCTCTATTTCTCAATCATATGAGGTCTTCAGGAAGCCTTTTCTCTAGCCTCCTAGTGGTTGTCTGTGTGAATACACACTCACTAGCAGTAGCCTGATGAATTCAGGTTACTGCTAGTGAGTTTGAATGTTTGCTTATCCGGCCCTTGTAAGGCTTGGTCCTTTCAGATATTTCTCCTTTTACAGT